GTGACGCACGGTGGCAAAGAAGAGCTTCCCCTCCTCGCTGCCCACGCCGTCCAGCACGTTCAGCAGCCCCGACAGGGTCACAGACGGCTGGGTGCGCGCTTGAATGCCGTGCGGCACTCCGAGTCGCATCTCGGAAGTAGCCGCGGCCTCGGCGTCGCTCGTGTTGCGGGAGGGGAACGCGCAGTCGATGTCTTCGATGAGGAAGATTCCGTTTTTCGGGATTGCGGCTGCTGCGCGCTCGAGGAACGAGTCGTCGACGCTCAGGAAACTCTCAGAGGGGTGGTATCCATGTAAATCAGAGACACGTACAAGGACGACGCGAGCGAGAGTGAATATATCTCGAGATTTAGAGCGCCAGCCAGTGCGTATATCGTGGATGCTGTGAACTTGGAAGCAGGAGGCGGGAGAATGGATCGATGGACATACTTTTGCCGGTTCCTGGAGGGCCGTACAGAAGATATCCTCGTCTGTGAGGAATCCCAGCATCGATATACCACTGCAACATCTCCGTGCCTAGAAACCCGCGCACATCTTCCATTAATGACTCCAGACGACCTGGCGGCAGGATGACCGAGCTACACACTTGGGCATCATGCGACAGAAGCAAAAACACAACGAGACCTACTCCAGAGATCGCTGCATCTTGTGCTTGACGGTCGTCCAGGTCCGACTCGGATGTCCTGCGTAACGCTGTAAAGATGTATAGTTACGTTAGCCCACAAAGTGCTCGAAACCCGGCTGCAACAACACCGACGGAATTTGTCAGATGCACAACCACATGCGGCTTGTTGACCTCCACGTATTTCACCCTCGCCTCCTCCACGAACTCATTTATCAAGGACATATCCAGAGTGTACATCCTGTCCACGTTTGATCCGCCAGATCCGAGAATCAAGATCTCCTGGAGACTCACGTGATGTGGATCTCCCCGCTCTGGACAGCGTCGCCGAACATCACCGTCGTCGTGTGCCCTGGGAACACCGCCTGCGCCGCTGAAGAACCAAACCCGCCGCCCAGACGCCCACCCGGGCCCGTGCGCGCGACCTCGACCCAATGCCCGCGCCACCGAAACAGCTGTGGTTGCGAGAACGTCGGGACGAATTCGGCGTTGGCGCCGGCAGCGGTGGAGGAAGACGTGGTGGGATTCGATGGCACAGACCACTTGCGCTGAGAATTCTGCGCGGAGACGAGAAAGTCACGTGAGCGACGCCAAATGTTTTCTTGCGTCTGTGGTGCGAAGTGGGCTGCCATCAGAGAGTGATGAGGAAGAGTGGTAGAGCGACGTGCCAGGAACAGGATAACCCATTCATACGCTGGGTCACCTGCGTTAAAGCGCAGAGTTGTGCAGTACTCTGTGAGCGGCAGACGCGTTAGACAGGGTGCACGTGAAAGGATGGTCTGCGCACGTATGCGAAACCGCTCTAGGAACCACCGAAACAACCGCCGTCCCGTCTCGATCAGGGACCCGAGAACCAGCAATTTGACGCTGGAGCCGACACCGATCCCGAGGATGGACGCCAAGGCGCCGGGACTGCCAGCGGATGGAGGGACGGAGGACGGTGCAGAAGCAGTAGCGGGACTGCGGAAGATGTGGTGGAAGTGCGTTAGCGGCGACATGACGTCCAAATGCAACTCGCGGGGAAGAAAAGCCATCGCTGGCGCCTATCTTTAAAAAAGCGCTCATTGCCTGACTGTGTTTGTCCGTCCCGTGAATGTGCACCGAGTCAAAGCAGATAATTCGGGAGAAGATCATAGCTCCCGACGGGCAGTGCCTACTAACAACTGCATTCATCTTTTCACTGTGAAAACTATTGAATGAGCCACACCAAAAGCATCAGAGGGGAGGATGATCTTCTAACTCCATATGATGATCTATTCCTTCAGCAGTCCTGTATCGTGCGAGCTGGGCTGTGGCGCTCACTGATCAGACTCCGATTGTCGAAGCTGCACCTATTTGCGGATGAATCGTTGTCACTCACCTCCCGTAAGTAAGATCATCAACGACGCTCACTGGATGCCGATAATCGATTGTTCATCAATGTCTGGTGTTTCTCAGGACCTCTGATTATACGGTCAAAACTTAGCCACTTTGTTGGACAATTTTAGGCGAAATTTTCTGAGACACTTAGCCCAAAATAGGAGGGCGTTGGACAAAAACTGGGGTCTTGCGGCGTCGAACTTAGTCTGCAATGTTGGACAAAAATGGTGCGATGGGTCGATGGATACTGGTCAAAGTAGCTACCGGTGGCCTGTTATGAGGTCATGAGTTCAATATTTTGTCGGAACTCATCTTGTTTTGTCTCAATTTGCGCGATTCAGAGGGAGATCAACCATCAAGGCGCCATCAATTTTCACCGTCGCTCCCACTGGACTGCTCCATGCCAATGCAGAAGCGCAGCACTTCATAAGTATGACTCAAGGTCATGCACACTTTGCAAATGCGATGAAGAGCCTTAAGAGCCGGCAGAAGAAGAGTGTGGAGTCGGACATGGAGGATTCTGATCCCGAGCGCCTTTAGCTTACCCAAAACAGCATCTGCGATGGCCTAGATGGGCGAAAATTTGATTTTTGAAGTTTCTACATATGTAGATACGAAAAATAGAATGTTCGGAACTTATGTACTGACAAAAATCCCGGGTTCAGCCTCGATTTGCGTTGGACAAAAATTGGCCGAAAGGCCCGACATCCGGGCTAAGTTTTGACCGTGTAATCAGAGGTTGCCTTGCTTGTCAAGGCACTCTCCACACTCATAATTCCTTTTTGATGGCCATGTTGATCCGATGCCACTGTTCCGCGTTCTTCCGACGCGCTCGTGCGCTGCAATGTAGTAAGTATGTACACTTGATGACACATGCATCTCCATTTTTTTTTGCTTGTGTACTTTATGTTCGCGCCTTCAACATTTACAAGCTGTCACTGTACAATCTAGAACCTGTACCGAGCGTGGTGCACGCATTGCACTTTCCTCTCTCTTCTCACACTGGCATTTTGAAGGTGTGTCCAAACAGCGCGTCGCGCACAAGGATTGCACAATGGTGATGTGCCAATATGTCACTCGTCGTGTCCCTGTCCGTTCAACCGTCCTGCATCATTCTCTCCCACCACAACTTGGTTGATAAGCTCTGCGCATATGACTTGAGTGGACGAATCATTGCGCCCGAAGACTACTACATGGGGAAACTTCCCGGTGCTACAGTGGCTGTAACTTTTACCTTGAAGTACTTCAGCTTCGAAAACAAAAACAAGGACACTAGAGCTGTCCAGCAGAACACTTCGAGCTCTTTTCTTATTTAGATCTTATCCAAATTTGTTAGAGCCTAATCGAAATATAAATGAGAAACAACCTCCAAGGTTGTGCTCCACCGCGATCATGTGACACCCCGAACACGGAACACAGGCCTGAAGCGACTCTCACGCACTTCTCCTCCGCTACATGGAGCCACCAGTGGGGTCGTTCTACATCTCCCTACGTCACAATGATGCGCATTGGAGCGGTCCCAGAAGTACGGGGGTGTAGTGTGCAAGCGTAAGGTCAAGAGGCGGTCGACAAACTTGACAGTGCAGAGTGCCCTGTCCACAGATGTCTTCTGGGTCAGAACGCTGATCGCACGGACCGCGAATTGCCAATTTTGGACACAATTTCGGAGGCTCCTTGTCCCAATTCAGTTTACTCATAGCTCCACTAAACAGATTTCAGTGAGCAAAAAATGCTCCACAACGAGATTCTTCTTATAAAAAAAATTCGTTTTTAGCTTCTGCTGGACAGCTCTACTATTGTGGCGGATATTGTGAAGCTCGGTATGATCGAGGCAAAGGTCGCTGTGCCCCCGAGCCCACAGAAGCGCTGTGCAGTGCCTGAAATGGACGAGAGCCTGAAAATGAAGAAGAAAGCATGATTGTAATGTAGTTACTGGTCTGCGGCATACAATTTCTTTGTGTCTCATTCAAGCAAGGCTTCCGGTCGCCAGGGGCGACGCTTTCTAGTCCTTGTTTCTCTCGACCGATCGAGCATCAAGTCGATGTAAGTCGATGATCAGAAGCAATTTGATTGTTGATCAAATCAGTGATAAAATCACCAAGTCATGATCGCCTGATTACTTCTCCCATCCTTGCAGTGTTCCCGCACGCCACCAGTGCAAGAGACACCTACTGACTTCACGCCGTGCCAAGCACACCTAAAGCGGCGTCCGTATTTCGTGAGCTCCTCCTGCCCGAGTCGCCGCCGACGCACGTTCGTGCGCGTGGGAGCGGAATCGAGATGCCAGTAGAGACCGACGTTTCGGGCATGACGAAACGGCTTGCGCCTGCGCAAAACGGCTTTTTTACTGATGGGCGTGGATTTGGCTGGCAGCTGATGCCATCAGGCTTGCAAGCCAATTTGTCGGCTTGTCATGCCCGACAAATCGGCTTGTCTCCCATAGTTTAAAGCGTAATCAGAGGCTATCTGCGGTATTTATGAGCTATACGTTGTACTCTACGATAGATAGGGCTCATGTACATGCTGATCGACAGCGCTAAAGATGGTCTAATCATATTTTACATAGAGATACGCCGCCAAGTACTCTTTTCTCGACCTGCGCATCACAGAGAGGCTCAAACGCATCACGGACTGTCGGGCTTTTTTGCAGAAGTGTATTGAGCTGGTCGGTGCCTGTGATATGCAACAAGGTGCTTGCGATTCGAAGTAGTTTCGAAGTCAGTGCCTATGAGTGAAAGTCTTATGATTGTACAGCACCATCATCATTCCCGCAACGCTCTGCGCTCATGAATGCTTAAAAACTTTGGAATATGTGAGTGGCACAGGTGGTATGTTTAGAAGGCATGCTCAGTGTTGGCGATCGCATATCTTACTAGTAATGATAAGTAATTGGCAATTACTTGTCATTACTTATCTCACTACCGCCCTCCTGCTTGTTCCACGACCTTCTAGATAAATACAGATATTTAGTATATATACAAGAGGTAGCTTACAGAATAATACAAGTTCTCATTCTTACATTCTCATTACTCAGGTCCATATTTTTCCGATCCTGGTTCGATTTTGACGCGCCTCGGAAATCCACGGGCGGTGAAAGAGGTCGGTCGAATTTTCGAACGCGCCTCGGAACTCCTCAGGCTCTGTTTTGGGTGTTAGCTATTGATTGGTTTCGAGTCTCGACAAACCCCGGAACTCCACGGGTTGTACAAAATGTGAGTGGCATTTTCGGACGCGTCTCAGAACGTTCGAGCCTCTGACGCTTCTTCACGGAGCACTGCGGATACGACCCCACATCCATATCCCGGTCTACCACCGCACTGGAGGCGAGGCACCAATGTAAGCACTGATCCCAATCATGAGGAGACAGCGGAACAAGCGGAACCTGGAAAGCAATCTCCGACGGTGAGCGTGAGCAAAGCGCAAAGAAAGTGCGGGGACAGTCCCGGGCAAGGGGGCGGCAAAGCACAGCAAAGAGGTGGTGAGCTACCGCTGATCTCGCATTCGAGGCGAGGCGCCGACGTACGCACTGATCCCGGCCAAGAGGAGACAGCGGCACAAGCGGAGGCTGGAGAAAGCGATCTCTGATGGTGAGCGCGAGTAAAGCGCAAAGAAAGCGCGGGGACGGTCCCGGGCAAAGGGGTGGCAAGGCACAACGAAGAGGCGGTGAGCTATCACTGAGCACGGGCTACTCGTGCTTGATGGTGGTGACAATTGAGGCGTCCGAAGCATAATGCAGCTAATATATACATTTAGAATGAAGGACGATGTACTACGACCATTAAATAGCACGTCCGACGTGAGCGCGGGGCTGACGCGATGAGCAGCGACGATATCATTGATCAGATCTGTGCACAAGCTACGCCCACGCCCCCATCACACAAGCCAAGCCCGGCCCGCTAATTTTAAACTCCGACATGGGGCACAAGCCTGGTTGACAAGCCGGTATAATAAGTCTCGATGCCAGTACTCAGTCTGACACCGGCCGACTGGCGAGATGGTGCGATCCACGCGTTCGAAGAGGCAGATATAGCTGTCCGCTCTCAGGGTGTTCACACCGGGCTACTGTGCTGCGCCACTGCGTTACAGGCCGCACTGCAAATCGGTGCCGGTCGACCGCTATTTCGAATCTCTAGCACCGATACATACACGCACCGACCAGGAACAGGTATGTACGTAGACAGCGAAAGACCGCGCCAGCGCCGCTGTCACGGCAGGAACCACATGGAACTCGAGAACCACTGACCGATGAAGCTTGAACGTGGATGATGATTTTGAATCGGGGGCACTGGCCGGGCCCCTCGCAGGCTTCTTGATACCCATCGTGGCCTGCCGCAGAGTATTTATGTACAGAAAGACCGCGTCCCCTGACGAGGCTCCGTCTGTCGACCTGTTGTCCCACCCCCAGGATGCTCACCCCCGCTCTACTCACGCTTTGCGCGCTCGCTCGCACCGCCTCGGCCGCGACGGCGCAGACGTTCGTTCCGCCCTCCAAAGGGCCGCTGGTGCAGACGGCGAACTACACGACGTTCTCCAATTCGACCATCAAAGACGGCAAGCCCGTGAAGGGGAAGGTGTTTGACCGGATCGTGCAGGTGTGGTTGGAGAACACGGATTTCGCGGTGCGTGGACTGGGTGGGCTGGGCGATGCGAAGCTGACATGACATGGCCAATGACGTAGACCGCGGCCGCGACGCCGATTTTCCAGTCGATCGCGAACCAGGGTATCCTCCTCACGAACTGGAACTCGCTCACACACCCGTCCGAGCCGAACTGTGCGTTCTTCATCCGTTCCTCATGATCCGGCCATTGACGCGTGCACACCAAGACATCGCTGCGATGGGCGGCGACTTCTTCGGCACACACGACGACAACATGTACCACGTTCCGGCGAACATCACGACCCTCGTCGACCTGCTCGAGGACCGCGACGTGTCCTGGGGCGCGTACCAAGAGAACCTCCCGTCGGATGCGTTCTACGGATTCAAGTGCGTCTAGCCGCCCTATTCCGCGTCTATCACGCAAAGTAGTAACACGTGGGACACTTAGCTTCGCTGCGCCCAATTACGCCGACCCGAGCGCGCCCGCGTACACGTACTACGTGCGCAAGCACAACCCGCTGATCATCTTCGACGCGATCTCGCAGAACCCGGCGCGGGCCGCGCGCATCCGGAGCTTCAACGACTTTGCGAACGACCTCGTGAACGGGACGCTCCCGCAATGGATGTTCGTCACTCCCAACATGGTGGGTCCTGGGGGGGTTATGTGCGCGACGATGCAACCAGCTGATACGCATATCCGGGGGATAGGTGAATGACGCACACGACACGACAATCGACTTTGCGGCGTCGTTCCTCGAATACTGGCTTGTCCCGCTTCTGACGGACCCGCGGTTCAACGGAGAAAAGACGCTCATCTTGTTGACGTTCGATGAGAACGAGACGCAGACAGAACAGAACACGGTATTCACTGTGGCTTTGGGTATGTTACCACCGGCGAAATGATTGAAATCTCATTTTCGTGATTCCAGGCACGGCCGTTCCGCTCAATCTCCGCGGAACGACTGACGACACGCTCTACACCCACTACTCCGCCCTGAGCACGGTGCAGGCGAACTGGAATCTCAAGTCGCTCGGACGCCAGGACACGAACAAATCGGTCAGCAACGTCATCGAGTTCGTCGCGAAGGAGGTCGGCTACAAGAACACCGCAATCCCTCTCAGCCAGGTGCCGCACTTCAACATCTCCGGAAAAACCCCGGGACCGTTGAGTGCGTCTTTCCCCTCCGGATTAGAGACAGCCATTTGAAACGCATCATTTTAGACTCGGCGCTGTTTGTGCCTTTCTCGACGCCCGACTTGAAGGCCAAAGGCGCGGGATCGGGTGGTGTGTTGACGCTTCCGGGCCTCAACACTCATCTGACGCCGGGCAACCTCCCGCCGCCGAAGAACATGACTGCGCTCAACTCGACTACGCCGTGGCAGATGAGCCCGCGCACCACAAGCGGGAAGGCCATCATCCCGTGTGCCGGGGCCGCGTGTCCGTGATCAGTTGTGCTGTGTTGTAAATCACTGTGTACCAATTTATCGACGAAGCTTCCCTTTGAGAACGTATTCATTAGTCAGTGGTATGACGCTGGGTCGTAGTTGTTTTTGTGTTGTTTTGTTCGTCATCGAATGCGAAACAGTGGAGCACACTAGTCGGCGTTCTTCGCCTTCGGCCTTGGGTTCTGTCAAAAGTTGCAGTCAGTACGAGTTGCTCGGCCCATGAACGGAATAAAATCATGATAATCCCAAGAGAGTTCTCCCTTGTGCACGATCCCGGCCGCGCACCGCTTTCCTCTCGAGTACTGCAAACTACTGCATAGACGCAGAACCCCAACCCTCGTGCCGCACAAGCAGCCTCAGGCCGATCCGCACGGCGCATAGTCTCGAGGTTCTAGCCTGCGCTTCCGATCTTGGCCGGATCCCCCTTCTCACCGGGGGCAGACGACGTGCCAGATGCGTCTATCGTGCCATGTCGGGTTAGCAATCTCGCGACAATTCAGTGGTTGAATCATGAACGGATTTCCGCTCACAGATGCCCTCTTCTTCTCTTGGCCTAGTCCGTCTGCTTTCAGCTCAGCGCGAGCCCTGACTTCACGACGAGCTAGTGATGATTGAGTATGCTGCAGTCACATCCGAATTCTGCCGATCCGACCCCACATAAAAAGGGGGCCATGGCGTCCGAGTCCCTAGATTGTTGTACAGTCCACGATGTTGCTTGCTCGCACTGCGCTGCTCCTCCTGGCCACCGTCACCGCCACGGCGAACGCCCAGAACACCAAACAGGGGCTGCTTGATTTCTACGCGACGCAGACCAATCTGGAGGACAAGGCGAACCTCTTCGCCGCGCAGAACTACGGCAAATACGCGCAGCCGAACGTCACTCAGCTTCAGGTCAGTCGTTTCGTCGCTGAACATGGATGCGTGCGTGACACTAAGTGCATCTCCCACTGGGGTGCTTCAGAACATCGCCAACCACATCAAGAACTGCAGCGACGCGCTCGACCTTGCCACGATCTCCGTCACGGGGCTCATCCCCCGCGGCCTCAACTTCCCGCTGATCGACGCTCCGGCGCAGGACACGATCAACAAGCGCTTCATCCCGCCGACCCAGAAAACAATCACGGGCCACCTCCGCAAGCTGCTGAAATACACCCCGTTCTACGACGACGTCCAGGCCAGCCCCGCGATGAAGATCAAGATCTGCCACTGGGTCGGTGGCCTGGCGTATCAGAACCTCATATTCCTGGGTCTCATGGGGCAGGCCGCTCCGGTGCGTGCCGCCGCTGTTGTTCGCGAACGACTGAGACCTGAGAAGCGGCTGTTCGATTGCGCATGCGTATGCAGATCTATACGGACGCTTGGACACAGTTGCAGACGGAGGCTGCGAGTGTTTACAGCGAGTTCTTGGGCGATATCGATGGGTTCGCATGCGATGGGCTGTGAGTGGACTTGTTCAGAGCGGTGGGAGCGGAGAGTAGTTCTCCAGTTTGTCTTGTTGCGTACTCTGTCAGAAAGGAGGAACTTGAAAATATTGTCCCTCGCGCTCCTGGAGCTCAAAGATCGTGCTGATTCATTTACCCCTGATTCCTACATGCGGTATCTTCCCATCAGTCTGCGTGGTGCGGCTTGCAATCACTCTCCAATTCCGGCTTCACTCTGTTTGCCTTGTGTTACGAAACTCAGAGAAGAACCTTTGTCAAATGTAATAAATTTTCACCTGATTTCGGAGTTTCGGCCGCCAGAGCCAATCTGATTCCATTTCCTCCTTTTTATGAGGGAGATCAATACGAAAAGATGATTGACGGCACAAATCGTCTGGTAAATTGACCCTGTCACTGCGGGGAGACTTTTTTTTTTTGAAATCAAAAAGATCTTGGAGAATGTACATGCTTTGGGGGGGCTTATTTTTTTTCCATGGAAAACGCGTGACAATCTAGAAGTCCGATTCTCACCGTTCTGTTTTCAGCCAGACTCTCAGCCAGGGACGGGCATATGTCTACGATTTGTTTGATTGAGGATGAAATGTAATGCAGCTCGCATCCAGTACTGGAAAGTTACTTCTCTCGCGGCGTTTCAGAGTCGAAATTCTGCACTCGCGATGTTTCGGTCACTTTTCAAACTGGGGCTGAGTCCCGTGCCCGGTCGTGGCTGATGCCGGATCATACTTTGGCCGCCTTCCCTGCTCCTCTATGAACTGCAAGCTGCCCCACATCTTCTCGAGCACGCCTCTCCACACTAGTTTTTGCTTGAACAGGATATTTTGAGCTTTGTTCGGTGTCTTTCTATAGATAACACTCGCCATTTCGCACGGTGAAGCGGAGGTCACGTCATCGAATTCTTCTGTCGCGTGACTGACCCACGTCGCTGCTCTCGACGTCGCGTGATCGGCCTATTTTCATGCACCCAAATAAGATTGTCTGCGGCGAATGCGTGTGCTGCAGCATATGGGCGCGGGTCTCACCGACAACCCCACGACGAGGATGAATGTGGGTGTGCATGCGGGGAACAGCAGCTAAATTGGGGACCAAAGGAGGTATAAAACCTGAAGTCATTGGGCGTACCAATCCCCAAGGTTCCATCCAGGCATCCTCTCATCGTCGCTCTCCAGCACTAGCCAAAGCCAAAGCCACAGCACAATGTTCTTCGCCTCTGCTCTCGTCTCTCTCCTGCTCGCCAGCGTCGCCCTCGGCCGCCCCAGCATCGCAAGCCGCCAGAACCGCCGCCGCTCCGGCCCGCTCATCCCCTCGAACGGCCCCGCGGCGAACCTGATCAGCAACACGACGGTCTCGCACGTGAAGTACAGCCAGAACTGGGCCGGCGCGAGTCTCGAGAGCCCGTCGGGCACGTACACCTCGGTCAAGGGCACGTTCACGGTTCCGACCCCGAAGGCGCGCGGGTCCGGCAGCCACGCGGCGGCGGCGTGGGTCGGCATTGACGGCGACACGTGTGCGACCGGGATCATGCAGACCGGTATCGACTTCACCATCGACGGCAGCCGTACTTCGTACGACGGTACGGGTTTCCTATTCAGTCACGCAGGTGTTGGAGGCTGACGTCGCCTCTTTCCGCAGCTTGGTATGAGTACTACCCGGCCGCGTCGGCGGACTTCTCCGGCTTCTCCGTTAAGGCGGGCGACGTGATCACCCTCGTGGCTACCAAGACCTCCTCGACCTCCGGCACCGTTTCGATCACCAACGAGACCACCGGCAAGAGCGTCCACAAGACCCTCACGGGCAGCCACAAACTCTGCGGTGAAAACGCCGAATGGATCGTCGAGGACTTTGAGGAGGGAAGCTCGCTCGTGCCGTTCGCGGACTTTGGCACGGTCACTTTCACCGGTGCCAAGGCTACCCTGGCCTCGGGCGGAACTGTCGGACCGAGCGGTGCCCAGCTGCTCGACATTGAGCAGAGCAGCGTTCTCACCTCGGTCAGCGCCACCAGCGACTCGGTCACCATCCGCTACGTTTGAGCCTAGAACACCATGTGCGAGTATCCTTTTGGTCATGTAAAGGAACTCTCGTTGTATGGATCGTTTCCGTTGGCGACTTGGGATCTCTCCGTTCATGTAAAGATGCCTCCAGTCTTTCAATGGATTAAAATTGTTCTGTGATGTTTGCTATTTGACTAGTCATTATATGTTGTCGCGATAACCTGTTTATGGTCAGCTTTCACCATTCGGATAGTATGCCGTGAAGTCGTCCGGAATTCTTGGGTGAACGCCTTTTCGTAGAGCTCGGCGTCATTCTTTCTGGCAAGTACCAGGGTGTGCCGTTGAAGCGGAGTGCACTAGCCTCTGTTAGCACAACCAGCCACTCGGTTACCATCCGGAATGTTTGAAGCTCGCCGCGTAACTCTGGTGATTCAAAGAAAGTCCCAGTTACAATGTTTCATTTCGGTGTGCCTTTCTTTTCTGGAACGCTACTTATACAAACCGATCAATCGAAATAGGTCCCTGCATGTTTCCTATACCGACTTGAGCCCTGGATAGTCCAACAAATCCCCTGATCAAACCTTTCCATCCTTCCTTGAATGGTATTTTGTTTCTGAATATTTTCGGTTGTGATACGCCAAAGTTGCTCAGTTCATTTTCAAGAGGAACCTTGGCTCTGCTTCCGTTGAACAGTCGATGAAATCTTTCTGATACCGTCGACGTAATTGGGTCTCCCAGGTTGAGCGGCGATGCAGTTTTGAATGCGACAAGAGCATAAATTAAGTGTGCGGGCACGGTATGCTCATTGATTCCACTCTAGAATCATAAACGACACCCAGTGATAAATGATTCATGATCCTGCTCAAAGACCAGCAGCCTTCAGCATAGCAGGGAAGTTGGGAGTACCCATGCCAGTGACGGGGTCCCAGCCCGCCTTGGCCGAGAAGCCGTCCGTCCCACAACCAGGGTTATTGCCAGTGGTGATGTCATTGAACATTTGTGGGTTGGAGTACAACCACGGGTTGAGGAACCCGAGCACAGGCTTCCCAGCGTTTAGCAGCCGGTCGTTGAGCAGGCCGATCACGGATGCAAAGATAGGCGAGGAACAGGATGTGCCGTCGACAGGACCCGGCACCCCGATTTGGGTCACCGTGACATTCACACCACTGGCGGAGACATCCGGGTACCCACGGCCAGAAGCATTGTATTTGCCCGAGTATTGCGTGCCGATCGACTTGATGTACGAGGTGACGGCGGCTTGTTCTAGAAACCATCCGATCAGTGAGATAACTGGCCGAGAAAAACAACTCACGCCAAGGCTGAGTGGGAAAGTAGTTGGAGAAACCACCCGCAGAGAGGCCCGCACCCGTTTCAGGACTGCCAGAGGTGGCACCCACCAAAGTCAAGCTGGAACCAGCCGTCAGTTGTACGATCGGAGGGGTACAGAGCAGAACACACTAAGGGCATGAAGGGAATGTGGGGGCGAATGCTGTTCCATTGCACTGCACACCAGGGGTCGAAGCTACACCGCCGTCGCCCGAAGCAAACAGGATAGACACTCCACGAGCACTCAGCTGCATGTACGAGTTGCACATGGCACTAATCAAATTATGGGTCTGTGAGGTCATCGGGAGATTGGATCAACCTACACGGTGAGGGGTTCAGACAGAGAGGTCTCATCAAACAAGCCATAGCTGGTTGTGAGGACCTGGGGTGGAGCGCTCTGGGCAATGAGCCCTGTAATGAGATCGAGGTAGCCGCCGTCCGCGCCATCAGTATTGTTGGTTCCCAAAGAAACGAACGTAACTGGGACGTTGGTTGCCAGGCCTACGGTGTACTGGATATCAAGGTCTACGGCCAACAATAAGTGCTGGGAGCAGAAGACCAATGATGCACTCACTAGCTTCGACGCTGGCATCGAATGGAGTCTGCGAGTCCGTCCCGTTGTCGAGCGAGAGGAAGCCGAATGTGGTCGAAGAGTTCATATCCGGGCGCTGCACCTGGAGGAAGTCCACCAGATCCTCCCTATTCGCATACGAGTCGTACATGCCGGAAACACCAATCGAACCGGCCTTGCTTTTTGCAGGGGTCTTTGGGATGCGGTACATGGACTGTAAACACCTGGGAGTCATCGTGTCGTTGCAGGAAACATGGACAGACTCCGACACCGGTGCCGCACGCGACTTGCTTCTCACAGACATCACGGGCGGAAGCGGGCGGGGGCCGCTGAAGCTCGTCGTGGGAGTGATGACACGAATGTGGTCCTTCAGCGCCGCGGGGATGGAGTACTCGAGCGTGCGGATCGACTCGGTGCCGCTGGCGGTGTGCGTGAAAACCTGATATTTGGCGCCGAGCAGCTCGTTCGCCTTGGACACGGGGACGCTGACGGAGATCCAGTCACCGGAGGGGGAGACGCGTGTTGATGAGAGGCCATGCGAGGAAAGCCACTCGGACACGGCGGCAGTGGTCTCTGCAGTGGGAGTGGAGAATGAGTCGACCTAGGAGGAGTCAGCGCACGGTCTGCAGCGAAGAAAACGCGGTCACGTACCTCGTCCTTGGAAAGCCATTGTCCGTAGGTCGCACTGCCCGGTGTCGCAGCAGCGAGCAGTTGGGCCTCCAGCCCTTCGAGATTGTTTTGGGCCAGGTTAAGCTTCAGCTTCATCATCCTCTCAGCCGGCGCCGATCCCGACACGACGAAGCCCTGCGGAACAACCGCCCGCCGTTCATGAAGGACGAGCGTGTCAAAGACCGCCGTTGCAGACGCGAAGCTCAGCGCGAGGGCGAGGAATCCAAAAGCCAGCATCCTGCAGGTTTGATGAATGCGGTTCAATTCGCTTCTGTCCCCACCCTTATATCCCAGCCACTAAAGAACCCGGCCATCGATCTTTAGACATCCCCAGAACCATTTCCACGCTGCGAATTCACGCTTTGACATGTGCAAGTCGGAAGCGGGGAGCCCGAATGTAATTTAGCCGAAAGGATCATTTGAACTGGGCCTCCGAGCGTTGCTGATAGGGCTAAACTGCCCGTGAAGATGTCTGATGAAGAGAGATTCGAAGTTTTGCGCCGCATGACACATCCCGTTGATGCGCTGAGCCTCATCAGCTCTTCGATCATCCGCCGAATTCTACCGCGGGCTTACAGTCAGGGAGTATTATTTGGCCGTTGATATGACTTACAGCACTCCCTGACGAATTGCTCAGTCGGGAGTGATGATCGAGTAGGGGAGATCACCACGTCTTCTTGTGACAGTGTGAGAGGAGTGATGGTGGCTGTCCACCGTCACTCCTTCTCTCGCTTCGAGCATCTCGAACGTCTGAGTTTCGCAAATAGCCTCAACATTCCATCTTCACTCGAATTCACTGAATCTCGCCCGAATCCGTTTGGATAGCACCCTGACCTCACTTGATCTCGCTCATACACGCAACCCCCATGACGCCGTTCACTCAGCTGCTAAGTCAGACTCCCCGTCCACGCATCAACGAGCTCTGTGCGCTTTGGGGCCTATCCGCGTCCGGCAATCTGAACGACTGTCGGTCTCGCCTGAAGGCGTATATGGACGACAACATGGATCTCACCGAAGACGACACCTTTGCGGGCCTCTTCACACAACAACAGCGGAACGAATATGCAGCGAACCCCTATCCACCTGCATGGGAAGGCATTCAGCAGACCGATCGCGCTGACTCGCCCCCTACCGCCGATCAGGACGTTCGAGGCTCGTCCGCGACGCCCGGCAATGATCACGCCATCCGAGGCTCGCCCCCCCTGTCTGGCGACTACGATCGCGCTGGCGGACTGGGCCCCGTTGATTCGGCGGCAGGCCGCGAAGCTGGCACAGCACAGCGTCAACTTCTTCAGTCCCTGCCCGTGGAAGCGCTGGACAGATTGCTGGATTCTTTTTTCAGCGGTCGGATGAATGGTACGTCTAGCCTTTTCTCATAGTCGTCCCATGTTCCCCCTTTGTTTCGCCTCTTGCACATGCCCGCTAGCAATCGGCACTTCTATTCTTACGCACGCTGCTGTGCTTTCACATGGATATGTATGCGCCCTCCCAGCGAAGTCCCGCATCTACCTACCACGCGTTCGAGCGTTCTGATCGACGCACTTCGTCCTCTCATGCCGCGCATCCGAGCGTTACGTCTTGCACTTCACTTTCATGCATCCGAGCATTCCGCGTTACACGCGATCATATCTGCCGCGCATTCGAGCGTTACGTGTTACACACAATGTGGTCTGCCGCGCATCCGAGCGTTGAATAGACTTGTCGATGATGCTGTCCGTGCCACGCAGCGGGCTGTTATGTTTAGGGCTGCTTTTCTGCGCCCGGTTGTTATCCGAACCTGGTCACCTACTCACGGGTGTACACACCCGCATGCGCGCTGCCGAGCGTTCTGCGCACTGCGTACGGATCTTAACCCATGATTTTGCACACCTCGCATTTGCATACGCTGGCCCATGTGGCCGACGCATACCATTTGATTGTTATGTTACATGGGCACACGAATCTAATCCTCTTTTAAGACACTGCAGTTCCGCCGACCACCGTAGTGCCACGCCACAATCCAGTTGCTGTTTCCGGAGTGCGACGTCGGCCTGATCGCATCCAGGGATCGGTTTCCACCGACGCAGGCATTCAGATCATCGAGCCCATCCTCAACCGGTTCTTGGGGACTGGGAACATCTGGGCGCATCATATCCCGTTGCACCTACTCACCGATGCCTTCTGCCGCCGATACGGCGTTGGGGCAACCACAAAGGATTTCGATGACAATCGCACGCTTGATAAAGCATCAAACACGGTGCTGACAATCCCGAAAGACATCCCCTTCGAGCCCGAACTACGCTTATCCCTCGCCGAATGGACTCAGGCATGGAAACGCTTGATGTACCTCATCGAGCGTTACGTTCCCCAGGAGCTCAACCTATGGCAGCAGCACTACTTCAAGATTATGCACTATCACAACCGCGAGCGGGTGTGGCCAATGCTCCTTGCATATGACTCCCGCGTGAGACGCGCATCCATCGTCGAGGCTCTGGACCCCTCTGTATGGCAGACGAACATCTGGGAAGACGTGAAGATTGAATTCGACGCCGAGAGGTTGGATTTGGACGGAGTCAAGTCTTTCAGCGATTCGCTTGCCCAAGGACCGTCCTCGTCTCGCTTTCCGGAAAGAAAGTCCTTTCGAGAGGGCAGCGAACACTCCTTTCGCGACCAGGTCACCCGGCGCTTCGGAGTATATGAGAAGCGCGACAGCATGCATCAACCCGCTTCCCGCTCAAAGGCCAGATGCTTCGCTTGTGGTAGCCAGGACCACTCTTCACGAAGCTGTTCTGCCGGATCTCTTATCAACGGCAAGCCCCTGGTCATCTGGTCGGACAAGCCCGGAGAGCCGCGGAAGGACTGACGCGGCAACCAATTCTGCTATGGCTTCAACGGCAAGATTGGGTGCACAATGGGCCGTAGCTGCAACCGACTCCACTACTGTAGCCTTTGCGGCGAGAAATCCGGTTCACATGGCGCTCAGGAATGCGCATCCGTGTGATTTCCTTCCAGTTGTGACCCCCCTCCTGCCGGATAGGTGGGACCGTGCGCTGATGGATGCCGGCGTACACGATACATTCCGTGATGTACCTATAGGTCTTCGGGATGGTTTTAATATGGGCATCACTTCCTCTATCTCCAGAACGTACACACCCAAAAATCACTATTCTGCGGTCGCACAAGCCAACACCGTTACAAAATACATTCAGAACGAGCTTTCTAACCGACATTACACCGGGCCTTTCTCAGCGACTCGACTGGAAGCCCTCATTGGTCCTTTCAGATCATCCCCTCTGGGCACCGTGCCCAAGTCTGGCGCACCAGGGGAGTTTCGAATCGTGCAGGATTTCTCGTTTCCACGCAACGATCCCTCACGCATGTCCGTCAATTCGGAGATTAATATCGATGACTTCCCATGCGAATGGGGCTCGTTCTCGGATATTGTCATCCTCGTGATCGAAGCTCCCCCTGGAACCGAGGCGGCAACTCTGGATGTTGACGCCGCCTATCGGCGTTGTCCCATTCACCCGACGCAGCAACCACACTTTGTTGTTGAGTGGAATGGGGTCTTCTACATCGACCACGTGTGTCCATTTGGATTCACGAGCTCCGGGGGCATTTTTGGCCGAGTTGCAGATGCGATGGCAGCAATTTACCGCGCAAAAGGGATTGGCCCACTCAAGAAGTGGGTTGATGATTTTGTTTTCTTTCGTTTTCCTTTGCATGGCAGCCCGTCACCAAACCCATATAGCCTCTCGGATATTTATGACGTGGCAAAAGACCTGGGTTGGCCTTGGAAGCAATCCAAGACACGCGACTTCGCCTCGGAGTTCATATATTTGGGCTTCCATTGGAACATCACCGACAAATCGGTATCTATTCCAGACGGGAAGAAGTCAAAATACATCGCTAGACTGTTGTTGTGGACCCCCGATGCATCGTTCACTGTCAAGGAAGCCGAATCACTGCTCGGAACACTGGTCCATTGCTCTTTGCCACTGCCTGAAGGAAAGTCACGACTACCTGCAATATCGAAATTTGCGGCATCCTTCGCTCACACTCGATCACCCTTCTCACGCCGAAAGCCAAACGCGACGGTCTTGGATGACGTATCCTGGTGGTTGTCTCAGCTGCATAAACCGTTCTGCGGATCTCGGCTTATGAAACCGCCCTCATTGTCTGGTATACAATTCTTCGTGGATGCATCAACCTCTTGGGGCATTGGCGTAGTTTTCGACGGCGTCTGGCAGCGCTGGAGGCTGACACACTCCGCCTTACGCGATGGTCGCGATATTGGATGGGCCGAAATGATAGCGATCGAGCTGGGCCTCCGTCTCGCAATACATCAGAATCACTCCGACGTGCACTTCAACGTTCATTCGGATAACGCAGGGGTTCTTGGCGCCTTGTCAAGCGGAAAATCTCGGAGTATGGAACAGAACCGGGTGCTGCGCAGAATCGTAGCTTTATTACGGACGTCCTCGATTTGGATCTCGTGCACACCTCAGTTACCACCGCCATCACGCGGTTCTCCCCCCGCGGGGTACCTACTGGGTACCCTCAGACGTCTTGCTGAGGGTACCCAGTAGGTACCCCTGGCGGGGGGTGGGGGGGCCATTTAGTCGATTTAGTAGCGGGGGCATATGCGGGGGTCAGGAGGAGGGGGGGTGTATGTAGCATGTGACTTGTCCATAAGAGCGGGTAGCTGGGCGGGAAAAAAAAATCTGATCACATGACGCGCTGCATGGGCGGGATGGCGGGATAAAAAAATCACGTGATGCGCTGCACCAAATATTACCAAAATGCTGGCAGGGGTTGGCGGCGTCATTGGCGGGGTCACTACCACCCCCCCGCACACCATGGCGGGCAGTGGGCGCATTATCACGTGACTTTTTGGGCACCTTTTTTGCAGCATTTGGCATGATTTTGGAAATGCTGCTTGATACATTGCATGCTGTGGCAGACAATGGGCGCAAAATCACGTGATTTTCCGCCAAAAAAATGGAAGACTCCCCAAATCATCCCAGTATAATTTCCATAGGTAAATAGGCTAGTTAAACATGAACTTGAGCTTAGAAAAACCAAAATGCACCCTGCACAATGGGATTGGTGACACACTTGATCCCATCATTTGGCAGGGGCTGCCGCGGGGGGTGCCGCGGGGGGTGCCGCGGGGGGTGCCGCGGGGGGGTGCTGCAGGGGCTGCCCCAGGGTTGGTCTGTTATGATCCATTTTTGTTCATTGAAGATCTTGTAGAGGTGAGCAGGGCAACAGGCCAACTGGGAATTTATAGGAAGACATTGAAATTGATGCAGGGGTCAGATGCGGGGCCCACTGCAAGGTCTACTGCAGGGGCAGGGGTGCATTATATCAAATTTCAGATGTATCTATTCTGGCCATGGCCATAGAATGTCACATAATTATCCTTCAATTTGGCAGGGGTTTCTTGGTATGGTCTGCAGCTAAAGATATTTGATTCCCTTGTGCTTTAGCAGAGCCTGGGATATTGAAAACATGCAATAGCACCTGTATAATCTGTTTATGTAGGGTCAAATACAAGTTATGATTTGTTCATGTGTTGACCGGCAGGGTGGGTAGGTTGGCTGCACTGGGTCCACTGTCATCTCATTGATTTTTTGGTGCGCTCATTCTACATACATGGCTATTAGTCAATTGTTCACACTGTTAGCACAGTGTAATCTTACCCTGCGGCACATTGTACCACATGTCAAGTACACATTGAATGTCTCACTTCCTGACTGGGACTCATTGAAAATCAGAAGTTCTGTGATGCTTTGCAAATGATTTTCTCAAGCTGCAACATGAACAGATGGAACATAGCGGATTTGACATGCCCTCAATTCATTCCTGGGTCGTATATAAGAGGATGAACTAACTCACTAATAAGTTGTCTCACAATAGCCAGAGATTGAGCATGAATTCAGATTTCATATACAAAATTCTTTCCACTTAGAGCTTGGATACTTGCAAGACAAACTGCAGAAACATACATGATTGCTTTTGCTACTGGGACTGTATACGTTCTTGCCATAACTCACTGCCTGCAACTCTACCTGCACCCCCACTGGCACCCCTGCAGGCACCCCCTGCCAAACTGGCACCCCCCACTGCACCCCCGCATGCACCCCCGCCAGGCTGACACCCCCTGCCACACCCCCCGCTGCACCGGTGCCTTGCCCCTGCCATCTTCTCATATGTAAGATTACATAATCTGACAGCTCGGAACACGTCAAGTCACCAGCCAATCAGAACCTGTATAAACGTCGTACCTAAGTGTTTCCTGCTCTTCTGACACTGTTTCTACAGTTATGCAGCTGAAAACCATCGGAATAAGGTCTCCCTATGCTGTTCTTGTTGAATATGTAGGTATTTCATATCATTTGTTCATCCAAAATTCGAAACATGAAAACAGTTCACAGTTGCTCAAGGTTCCTACATAGATAATGGTTCAACATAGTTCACTTTGGGTATTGCAAAAAATATATTTTCTACAAATGAACAACTCAATACAGCTGAATGATATACCCCTTGGCAGTGTCTGAAACAAATTCTGAGAGCCCTGGACCCTGGAACCATTCAAAAACTTGAAATGGGTCCGAAAAATAGGGTCTTGATAAACATGAGATAGGGGCCAGTTTGAAGAGATGTAAGCCACTGGTCATGTTCAATGTGGTATTTGACAATGTTTTGGTGCCTTGCCCCTCACCAAATGGCCTCCTTTCCCACCAAAAAGTGCACATACACACTCAAGCTTATAAATCAATTGTCGGCCAGAAACAAGAGCAGGCAAGTTGTGTCACTGGAATTGGGTAAAGGTAACCTGGAAGTCACTCGGGTTGCAGTACAGAAGCTTTGGAAAGTGATCCTGTAGTTGATCCACATTGGGTAGGCTGGCAGAGGCTTGGGCACCCCCCGTGGCACCCCCCGCAGCAGCCCCCGCGGCAGCCCCCACCATCAACCCTGCCCCAGCCCCTGCAAGGATTGGATGGACAAAAGTGCTGCCTAATCAATTGTTAGTGTTCACAGTATTATCACATCCATTAAAGTGTCTAAATGGTGTGTAGACAAGGAATATGAAATCCATCAATCAACAATCCTAACACCTGTATCAGATATCCTGAAAATGGAGAGGAAGATTTGGGAGCAGACAGACTATCGGAAGCAAACAGACAGGGACAAGGAGCAGTAGCTATTCCTTGCGATCAATTTAGCTGCACATGGAAAACTCCCTTGGGGGATTTGCCAAACAAATCAAGTTGCGCATTTTTCAAACATTAAATTTGCCCTAATAGCTTGAGCAGACCATGCCCAAATGTACCAAGTTATAACTTGTATTTGACCCTACATAGACAGATTATACAGGTGCTATTGCATGTTTTCAATATCCCAGGCTCTGCTAAAGCACAAGGGAATCAAATATCTTTAGCTGCAGACCATACCAAGAAACCCCTGCCAAATTGAAGGATAATTATGTGACATTCTATGGCCATGGCCAGAATAGATACATCTGAAATTTGATATAATGCACCCCTGCCCCTGCAGTAGACCTTGCAGTGGGCCCCGCATCTGACCCCTGCATCAATTTCAATGTCTTCCTATAAATTCCCAGTTGGCCTGTTGCCCTGCTCACCTCTACAAGATCTTCAATGAACAAAAATGGATCATAACAGACCAACCCTGGGGCAGCCCCTGCAGCACCCCCCCGCGGCACCCCCGCGGCACCCCCCGCGGCAGCCCCTGCCAAATGATGGGATCAAGTGTGTCACCAATCCCATTGTGCAGGGTGCATTTTGGTTTTTCTAAGCTCAAGTTCATGTTTAACTAGCCTATTTACCTATGGAAATTATACTGGGATGATTTGGGGAGTCTTCCATTTTTTTGGCGGAAAATCACGTGATTTTGCGCCCATTGTCTGCCACAGCATGCAATGTATCAAGCAGCATTTCCAAAATCATGCCAAATGCTGCAAAAAAGGTGCCCAAAAAGTCACGTGATAATGCGCCCACTGCCCGCCATGGTGTGCGGGGGGGTGGTAGTGACCCCGCCAATGACGCCGCCAACCCCTGCCAGCATTTTGGTAATATTTGGTGCAGCGCATCACGTGATTTTTTTATCCCGCCATCCCGCCCATGCAGCGCGTCATGTGATCAGATTTTTTTTTCCCGCCCAGCTACCCGCTCTTATGGACAAGTCACATGCTACATACACCCCCCCTCCTCCTGACCCCCGCATATGCCCCCGCTACTAAATCGACTAAATGGCCCCCCCACCCCCGCCAGGGGGTACCTACTGGGTACCCTCAGCAAGACGTCTGAGGGTACCCAGTAGGTACCCCGCGGGGGGAGAACCGCGTGATAGCGGTGGTAACTGAGGTGCTCGTGCACGTATGTCCCCTCCGCGCTGAACTTGGCGGATCGCCCTTCACGAGGACTAGACGTCCCCGGTTACCGGCGATGTGGATCGAATTTTAAATTACCTTACTGTCTGTTGGGACTTGTATCAGCCCCTGTGTGACTTAGCAGTATTCACTCTTGCTTCTTTCTGCACTGGGGGGACGATGCCAATGCACGAGACTGGAAACAATGGCAACAATGGCAGCGACACAAGGCCAAGGATCTTCCAGCAGTTTTACAATCACAGCCCCTTGCCAGCAAACGCAGCTTCCCTGGGCCTATCTCAGCGCACAATGGAGATGATATCGACCACATTGCAATCTGGATGGGCCGGAAATACTCTCAGCAATATGGGTGGGATAGTGGACTCCTTCCTGCGCTACTGTGACAGCGAAGGCGTACCGACTCAATTCAGGCTGCCAGCAGACGAGATGATACTCTGCGCTTATGTTGCGTCAAACGCCGGAAAATTGGCCGGAACAACAATCAGAAATCACATCTCTGCGCTGAAAGCGTGGCACGTTGCGCAGGGAGCCGATTGGAACGGAAAGGCACGGCTGCATTACGTTCTGGCTGGCGCAGAGCGGATGGAACCCGATTCGGCCAAGAAACCCCCGAGACCTCCGATCAATCGTGATATGTTATCCCGCCTGCATGAGGGCCTGGACTTCTCGGACCCACGCGATGTTGCAGTGTACGCTACCGCGTGTACTGCGTTCTGGGGCCAATGCCGTCTCGGCGAAATTTTACCGCTTTCGACGAGCTCAAAGGCGTCAGCATTCACCCCTAAACGATTGCATTTCGTCCCAAGGTCCGGTGCCTCACGTACGAGCCATTTCAGAATACCCCGAACGAAAACGAGTATCCAAGGCGATACAATTCACCTGCCACGTCAGTCTGCGCCACTGGACCCTGTCACCGCAATAGAAATGCATTTTATTGCAAGCCGACTGGACTCCAACGCCCTGCTCTTCAATTTCTCAAAAGGGGGAAAGGATGCGACACTGACAAAGTCTGCATTCCTCAAACGATGCAATGAAATATGGTCGGCAAACGGCTATCCGCGGACAACCGGTCACAGCTTCAGGATTGGCGGCACTACGGAATTGCTTTTAGCCGGAATCCACCCCGATGTTGTCCGCACAATGGGCCGATGGTCGTCTGACTCCTTCCTACGTTATTGGAGATCCCTGGAAAATCTAATACCAAAACACGCCGAATTTTTATCTTAAATTTGCTTCCCTTCTTTGGGCGAGTCGATGGCGCACCATCAACTGGTCAGCCATGTTGGGTTCATTTGCTGCCCCACCATCGACTCGGCGACCTGGGTTTCCGTAGTCCACCCATCCCCACACGTGAATACTACTGTTCGTCTTAACTATAAATATGTAAAGATTGTTTCACGGAGCACGCCAGGAACAAGACGGGAGTGATGATCGAGTAGGGGAGATCACCACGTCTTCTTGTGACAGTGTGAGAGGAGTGATGGTGGCTGTCCACCGTCACTCCTTCTCTCGCTTCGAGCATCTCGAACGTCTGAGTTTCGCAAATAGCCTCAACATTCCATCTTCACTCGACCCACCCACCCACTCCTTCCTTCCTTCCTTCATTCCCTTCTACTAATGCTGACAACTTTTCCTTTCCTAGACTCACAGTAGTACAGCAGTGTCGATGTTGGGGGTTCATTTGCTGCCCCACCATCGACTCGGCGACCTGGGTTTCCGTAGTCCACCCATCCCCACACGTGAATACTACTGTTCGTCTTAACTATAAATATGTAAAGATTGTTTCACGGAGCACGCCAGGAACAAGTCAAGTTCTTCCACGTGATCACTGGGATTTCCCTATTTTACTGTCGAAAACAGTGTTAACACCAACTATTTGTTGGATAATGAGGCTGGAGTCGAGTTTTGACTGTCTGTGGGAAGATCAATGCTGCTGCTTTTTTCTCTCACGAAATGCGATTCCGCTTCGAACCTTGCTGGCAACCCGGACGTTGCCTAGACGCAACTTTCAGATCCTCGTAGCGCAGCTCGACAAATAGGTTTCATACAAGACCGGGCGGTGTTCAGCTGCTAGACATTTAGCAGAGCGGCTCCTTCACATCTGTTAGCGCTAATAGCGAAATTTTCAACATTGGCTGCGCTTGAGCTACAAGCACCGACTGCGAGTAGCCTTTTAGTCATATGAAGATACTCTCATTCTGCCATGCATTTCCATTTGCGAGTGGGAATATTTTCATTCATGTAGCGACACTACCACCCTTATTCGAATCCAAGGTCGTTTCTTTGTCGAGTTTTGTATGGGAATCGCAACCCGTTACATCTTCTTGCGCTGACGCATCTGCACCCTCCGATGTTAATTCCTGTCTGGGCAATTCCAGACTTACTGGCGAAACTCTTCCTTATTGGGTCGCAATAGTTAGTCTTTCATTCAAATTTCGAGAATCAGTCTTGGATCTCAGTGGGCTGCACGAGAACAGAGAACTGTCGGTATCCGTCTGTCTGCTTCTCTGGCTTTCACAGGCAGAGACGGACGATAATGTTTAGAACCGGGGAGAAAACAAAGGAGTTGAACAGGGCAGTATCAGGTTTATATACGACTTCGATCAACATAAACAAAGGTCTCTTCCTTTCTTATTGAGTGGCCCTGCTTCCTCAAAGACCGGCAGCCTTCAACATAGCCGGGAAGTTGGGCGATCCAAGACCGGTGACGGGGTCCCAGCCCGCCTTCGCCGAGAACCCATTCGTTCCACAGCCGGGGTTCGTGCCAGACGTGATGTCATTGAACATCTGCGGGTTGGAGTACAGCCACGGGTTCAGGAACCCGAGCACGGGCTTTCCGGCAGCCAAGAGCCGGTCGTTGATCAGGCCGATCACAGACGCGAAGATGGGCGACGAGCAGGACGTGCCGTCGACCAGGCCCGTCGAGCCGCTCTGGACGATCGACACGCTCTGGCCAATGGCGGAGACATCCGGGTACCCACGACCCGATGCGTTGTATTTGCCCGAATATTGCGTGCCGATCGACTTGACGTACGCGCTCACAGCGGATTTTTCTGGGATTCGTGAGCGTCAGGAATTCGTTTGGCAACGATACGTACGCCAAGATTGGGTGGTGAAGTAGTTGGAGAAACCGCCCGCGGAGAGGCCAGCGCCGGTTTCAGGAGTACCGGTAGTAGCACCGACAAGAGTTGCGCTGGGAATTCCGAATTGGTTGGATGAGGCGCTGGAGGAAAGACTCGAGCTTACTATGGGCAGGTCGGGAACGTCGGCGGGAAGGCAGTTCCGGAGCACGAAACGCCGGGGGTTGAAGCGACACCGCCGTCTCCAGTCGCAAAGAGGATGGACACTCCGCGAGCGGAGAGCTGCATGTACGAGTTGCACATCGCGCTGGTCAGAATCGGGGTCATTGGTTATCGTCCTCGTCATCATCATCAGAGTGACTCACGTGGTCAGGGACTTGGACAGGGACGCCTCGGTGTCGAAGCCGTAGCTTGTCGTGAGGACCTGGGGCGGGGCGCTCTCGCCGATGAGCGCGGTGATGATGTCGAGGTAGCCGCCGTCCGCGCCGTCCTGATTGTTGTTGCCCACAGACACAAAGGTGACCGGGACACCCGTCGCCAATCCCACGGTATACTGAATGTCCAAATCTGCGCAGGGAATCAACGACTGGCCGAGCATGAGGGACGGAGCGACGCACTAGCTTCGAGCCCCGCCTGGCTGGAAGACTGCGAGTTCACACCGCCGTCGACGGAGGTCAGAGCGAAGGAAGTGGATGAGCTCATATCCGGGCGCTGCGCCTTGAGGAACTGCGCCAGATCCGCCTTGTTCGCATACTGGTCGTACATGCCGGCGACGCCGATCGAGCCCGTCTTGCTCGTCGCGGGCGTCTTCGGGATGCCGTACATCGCCTGCAAGCACGTCGGCGTCATCGTGTTCTTGCACGACGCCGGGACAGCGTTCGCCACCGGCTGCACCTGGGACGCGGGCGTCGCCTTGTTGCCTACCGCCATCACGGGGGGAAGCGGGCGAGGCCCGCTGAAACTCGTCGTGGGGGTGACGACGCGGATGTGGTCTTTCAGCGCCGCGGGGATGGAGTACTCGAGCGTGCGGATCGACTGGGTGCCGCTGGCGGTGTGCGTGAAGACGTGGTAGTTGGCGCCGAGCAGCTCGTTGGCCTTGGACACGGGGACGTTGATGGAGATCCAGTCACCCGAGGCAGACACGCGCGTCGACTCGATGCCATGCGAAGAGAGCCACTCCGACACCGCCGCAGTCGTCTCCGCTGAGGGGATGGAGAATGCATTGACCTGACCACCGTGAGCGAAGAGCTGGCGCAGGAAGCACTCTGTACGCGCACCTCTTCCTTGGACAGCCACTGCCCGTAGGTCGCGCTTCCCGGGGTCGCAGCAGCGAGCAGCTGCGCCTCCAGCCCCTCCAAGTTATTCTGCGCGAGGTTGAGCTTCAGGTTCAGCGTCTTCTCGGCCGGCGCCAACCCCGACGCGACGAAACCCTCCGGAGCCACCGCCCGACGCTCGTGCAGGACGAGCGTGTCGAAGACGGGCGTGGCGGACGCAAAGGTCAGTGCGAGGGCGAGGAATCCGAGCGCGAGCATTGTCAGGCCGTGTGTGTGGATCGGTGCCTGCGTCGCCGCCGCATGGTTTCTTTTATGGAGGAGGAGAGTCTTATCGACCAGGAAATGGGATCTCCTTCCGCAATGTGAGGGCGAGCAGCTGGTGACATGGGTTCACATGCTCATGCTGATACAGGAAAACCTGGTGATAGTGTTAGGCGGCCGGTGACTGCCGATGATCAACGGGCCGAAATCAGCCCTTGCCTGCAACGAGAAAAGAGTGCAGATAACTTACTTATGTGCATCCAGAAATTCCGTCATAGCTGATTCGTTGTCAAGATGGCATACAATTGCCCTTCAAAATGACGCTATTATCGCTCCAGGTCCCTTCAACTATGAGCCATCTAAAGTATTTTAGATTTAGATTTCGACGCTGCATACTATATTGTTTTACTGTTCAATTTAGGTGAAAAACGTGTTCAATTTGGGATAAAATTTTTGGATATCCCCACATCACAAGTCCAACAGGTAACGAACCCGAGCGTGAAGCGCAATAAATCATCGAGGTGAGCAGTGGAGCGAATAAATCCACGCGTGCTCGTGACCTTACCCCGCGTATCAAGTGGAGTTCTCAAGGGCGCGAAGACCCATTCCCGATCCGGCAAGGGACGCCGCAGCCAACTGATTATCCGATACTTTCCTAATCCATCCCACCGAGAATTACTGGGCCCTATTAGCACTTTTCTCTTCACGTGGCAAGAATTTGGTCGCACATACATAGACCTCGCTGCTGGTCGCTTTCTGTCCGAAAGTACGGTCTGTGGAGATCACTGTTCCAGTCACCCCTATAGATAGGCCATGTGACACTCCCGCGAGTGGCCGCACGGGCGAAAACACAGACGTTCTGCGCGAGCGAGGCGAGCACCCGTCATCTTAGTGGTTCCCGCTCCTCGGTGTCGACATCGCAGTGGAAAGTCGCGCACCTCACACAAGCGGATGTTAATTGACCAGGTGGCGCACCCTCAAGCTTGCTCAGAGCAGGAGGGTTTACTCCGCAAACCTCTTCGAGTGACGGGATAAAGAGGCCGCTCGAGCGCAGTAGATAAGCTATACCCTTACGAGCAACGTGCTGCACGCGTCTCGCGGTAGTTGCGCCTTCCGCGTGGCAGCAACCACGCGACTCCTTTCTTTGCCGAGTCTGGAAACCGTCTCAGGAAAAGTATGTCCTACTAGTCCTACCTGAGGCTTTCTGGCTACGACTCATGCAGCGGCCATGCCATGCCGCATCGAATCGCGTATCATCAAGCACGGAGTTTGCCTTTTCGGTCGATAACAAAGGTTGTTGTTTTATCTGGATCTCTGGACATTATCTTTCGTGATCTGCTCACTTGTTTCTCAGGTAACGAGGAAAGAAGAGCATGGGTCAATTATAGAAACAGATGGAACCAGGTCAAGCTCTCCTTGGCACACCTGGAGTTTTAATCAGTCTAGGTAAGTATGCCTCCACAGGATGCCTGTAAGAGAGTGGACGAAACTCTTATTTGCATCCTGAGGGATGTGATCTTAGCGACCCGTCACTGATCAGATGTTGAACAGGGCGCTTTCGCTCAGCTCATCACCGAAACGGAAAGATGGAACGAGGTCTCACCAGGAGAATTCACGCTCTTTTGCTCATATTTTTCGAGGGCAGTAAATTGCGAAAAACAGCACCGTTGGTGGTAGAATGTGCAAATAGTACAATACAGTCAACCAATCTATGATACAGGAATAATTCCACTCTCATTCAAATTTCCTCCTCCGCTAGCACATCCTGTAGTTGCAGATACAGCACAGCATCGCACAACGCATGTGCCTTTTCGAGTGTGGGCCGGAACTTGGACATCTCTGTCAACTTGAGCAACCCCATCCGCACAGGCTCCAGCTGGCGTACTAGATCCTGCAGACTCTGACTCTCACCCACGTCCTCCTCGCCGCTGTCCGCCATCTGGATCACAGCGGGGTTCCGGCTCCGGTACCACGCGCCGGTCCCCGCACCGCTGACGGCCCGGCGGGACATCGGACGGTGGGTCGGAGCGATGCGTAATAGACGCAACACGGCGGTGTAGGCCGGCGCACGGGTCATCCACGCCCCGAAATCCGTCGTGCGCAGCAGACCCGCGGCGTATCCCGGCACCCGCGAGTGGCGCAGGAGCACAGGCAAGGCCGGGTCTGTGTCCAGCGGCGGCTGCTGCCCATCGCTGTCGGTGCAGGGATCGAGAAAGTACGCGAGCGCAGAGAGCGGGGCGAGTAGCGGCTTGTCGGCGATGCGGCCCGGTTCGCGGGTGAGGATGTGCGCGCGGTCGAATGCGATGAGCGCGGTGAGCCCGCCCAGGGCACGTGCGGCGGCGCAGTGTCGCGAAATCACGGCGCAGGGCGAGCAGGCGGCGGGGCATGCAGTGGGAACCCCGCAGCCGCGGCAGTGCGTCTGTGTGCAGGATGTGCAGTGCGCGTGCAGCAGTGAGACGATCAGCGCTGGTGGGACGTCGCTCGCTGGTGGGAATGACATCTGTTGCGTCTTCAGCAGCGATCGACACAAGGATAGATGCACGCACCCCCTCGAGCGAGACTGCAGGAATGACCGCTCCGCAGCCTGGGTTCTGGCACGCAAAGGGAGACGTAGCAATGAAGTGCAGCTTAGCCAAAGCCTCGGCGGTGTTTGCGCTATCCTCTCGTGTACTATGCCTGCTCTTCCCGCTCTTCAAACTAGTCGCAGCGCTGCGAATAGACGCAGCATACGCCGACCCTGTCGTGACCTCGACAAGCCTCTCCAGTGCCCCATCAAGTCGCTCATGCCTCGCAGACTCGGCTACCTTCGTCAGCAAACTCGAAAAGCTCGGCTTCATGCTCAGTCCGCCGCTGGAAGGGGTCCTCGACCCAGAAGACGCACTGGGCGCAGAGACGACCGACGGCGTGCGTAGCCCCCGCGTAACCGACAGCGGCGATAGTCTCTGGCTCCCGCCGGGATGCTCCAAGGCCGGAGATCGGAGCCCAGATAGCGGAAGCGGAGTAGGCGTTGTGCTGCGCGATCCGTATCCGCTGTCCTCTGCGACATCGATCTCGTCCTCGTGGTCCAGCTCAGCAGATTCCCGATAAGAGTAGCGTGATGGAGACGGCGAGGGCGGGAGCGGCATGGCACGGGCTGTGCGTGCGGAACTCGGGGACGTTGGGAGCGGCACATCACGGGCAGTGCGTGCGGAGCTTGGGGAGGACGGTAGCGGAATGGCACGGGCCGTGCGTGCAGAGCTTGGGGAGAACGGGAGTGGCACAGCACGAGCACTGCGTGCGGAGCTCGGTGTGCGCGGTGGATCTGGCGAAGACGGAGATTTGAGGGACGGTGGCGCGGTGGGTAGCGGCGTTGTCCCTCCCGGGGTCTTAGGCGTGGGCACAGGCAGCGGACGCCCTTTCGTCGGCGACGACGGCGAGAGCACCGAGCTTGGCACAGAGCGTGGTGTCGGTACAGGCAGAGGGCGGGTGCTGCTTTTTGTGGGTGAGGTCGAGCGAGTCGGTGAATGACTGGACTCCGATAAGGAAGATGCCGAGTAAAGTGTGGACGACGCGGAGGAGAATAACGATTTCGTGGGCGATGTCGAACGAGAGGACGACGCTGATGAGGACGATGGACTCGGGGAAACCGGTAACGTCCGTCCCGTCCCAGAGGGCGCGTGATAGCTCCATGTCGATGCTGTAGACGCAATCGAGGCTGGTCGGGTCTTGGGTGGCAGTGGCGGTGGTACGGACACGGAAGAGGCTGGGAAGTCGAGCCGCGTCACCATGCTCAGGGCTGGGGCTTTCACTCCTCCGCCTCCTGGTCCTCCATGGGTTTCTTCTCTGGCAATCCCTGCGCTTCGGCCACTTCCGGACGAATGCCCACTGGGCCCTGCACCGGGCGTCTCCAGTCCGAGAGCAGACACATAACCGCCCGCATGTGCGTAGCGTCGCGACTCCGCCATCGCGCGCGCCATCTCCTCTGGGTCGAATTCCGCGATGGGAGGCAGTGTCGACGACGAGCGGCGACGCGTGCGCATCTTGCTGCCGAGATGGTTCGAGTTATCACTGAGTCTGTGGGTGCACGAGGATAGTGTGAAGGAGGGAGAATCAAGATCCGTTCAACAGCGGAGAGTTTAAGCTAAAAGCATCCCTTGTTCTCGAAAGTACAACAATCTGTGCTTCTGCTCGTACTCTGTAATCCCCGGCCCACGTGTCCTGTCGTCTGTGGCGCCAAGAAAGAGAAACCCGAAATAGAACTGAATGGAAGAGAGTGTGTGAGAGCGTCCAACGTAAAGCAGTGGCAGTATCTGGAAGTATTCGCACACACGTCGACGTTCAGATTCTAAGGTGTGACAAGACAGCCGTCGTGATTCATCACATCACAGGACGTGAGCTTCAGGCCTGATCCAAAATTGCCGTGTATGTGCAAGTCTGATCACGAGTTTCAGGGCCAAATTGTCAGCATGCGGAAAGATCATCTTTCTTCTTCATTTGAATCCTACTTTTGACCGTATGAAGGTCAGGTCCTGTCCTAAAGCCACCAGATTTGCGCCCACTATGCATCTAGATCGATTTCCATCCGTATTGTAGCTTGAAATGCTCACAAAAGTCCGCGACCCGGACCTGAGTAGGTAGAAGCCAGAAACTCGTTTTGGGGGTCAAATGCACCCGCTTTAGCGATAAGAGAGGCACCTCTTGCCTGATGCGCGTCAGCCGTGTCCGTTTCCCTTTGCACTTCGATGCATCCCTCGCTGGCTATATCAAATGTGGCTAAACTCCCTCTTTTACTCAAGGTAAGATTATATCTACCGTCTGCCTCCCGCTCCATGCCCTAATATCAGGCCCACGCACGAGCTGTGCTGACCGCCCTGCGCACACGGGAAACCCCAGATGCGGTTCGCAGCAGATTAAACGTTCTCCTCTTCGACATCTCCGCTGCAGACAAGTCGCTGAATCCGATGACACCGCTTATCAACCAACGCCTTGTGCCCGTGTTCTTCGCCGTGCTCGATCCCGTCGGCATCCCCACGATCCTCACATGGCTCGAGACAGCGGATGAGCAGCGCAGAGGGATAGTGCATGTCAAGGAGCGATTGGGCGAGGCCGCCGCGTCGCTACGCGCGCTCGGGGACTTGTGCCAATCGGGGCTGGATGCCGGCGCTCGCGGTGATGTGTGGACGCGTGCATGGGAATGGATCTCCTTCTTCGACACGTACCGCGACATTCTGCCGAAGACCTGGGTCCAAGTGGGGCCCATGTCTGCAAAATTCACCGCGGTATGGCTGTTCGATGCGTTCACAGGGATCGCGACGGGTGTGGGCTCGAAGGATGCTCGCGACCCAATGAATCTCGACAAGATGCCGGGGTACCGTGTGTTTCTGGCTCGCACGTGGGCTCACTACGCCCGTCAGACAGGGCCTGACACGGATGAAGCCTATGGTCAGTTTACGAAGCTGCTTGCACGGACGCTGGGGAGGTGGGATAGCACGACATTCGCTGAGCTCGGTGGGGGAGACAACATCGCGATCCTCACATGCAAGCACATCCAGCGGCTGTTCCCGCGTCCCGACACTCCTCCCACCGAGGCCAAGATAGACGTGCTCCTGCATATATTGCCAGTGCTCATGGCTATCTTACGCCCCCCGCCAAACGCCCCCATGCCGTATGGACAGGACCGCAAACTTCGCGCAGCATTGCTGGCGAATGGAATCACCGCACCGCTGACAGTCCTTGTGCAGGCCATCCAGTTCAATCCGAACGACAGCCAGCTTCCGCCTGAGGGCTCGCTATTCACCACGCTGCTTCCGCAAGTCAGCGGATGCTTGATAGATTTCCCCGCTCATTCGCGCTTGTGCGAATCACTTCGTGCTGGACTGCTTAACCTCTTTGCGATCTGTGTCAACCCAAGGAACACACTGAACCCGCGAGCAGGGCGCAGATTCGTGGAGACGATACTCAAGGAGCAGCTGCTCCCCGGCACTGTGTATCATTCCGTGATGGAGCAGCTTGTGATCGCATTACCTCCGCTGCGCAAGCGTATCTCTAAAGCGATCGAATTCGGATATCCCGATCTTCTGCAAGAATGGAATTCCTTTCTTCAGATTTTTGATAACCATGCGTGTGTCATGCAGACCCCAAAGGCGGCGGAAGAGTCCTTTAGGGCTTGTGACTATCTCCCTGTTCGTCTTTCCTTTGTAATCAGCTTACGTGCACTGAACGTGCATGCAGTGCGGACAGCTTCGGTCGAAATACGAAGTGAAGCGATGTTCGGGATGTGAGGTGGTTTGGTACTGTTCGGAAATCTGTCAAGCAAAGGATTGGACAGGGGGCGGCCACTCGAGTCTGTGCTCTGCACTCAATGCACAGCGGAACAGTGCGGCCTCATTCGTGCATACCAAACTAATGAGCTAAGTATCACCTCCAGAATCACCACTCAGCAGGAAGGATCGCTCGTTCCTGCGCGACATTGTAATCCGATACTACCTAGACAGCCGCGTCGATATCCTGCGATCTACAGTCTCTTACTTGCAAGATTCCCCGCGGAGTGTGTTTCCCATCACCAAGTTTACCTTCATCCACGGAATGTGCGGCTGGCAAGTCGTACCGGCGACAAAGATGAAACCGAACGAGATGCAAGCGATTCTGACTGAGCGCAGCAGAAACAGTCTTGGGACAATGCACATCCACGTCGTTATTGTGCGCTCTGGCGATCAAGAAATCGAGGAGTGGATCCCGTTTCGCATGTCTGACGCGCGGCTCACGGAGGGCTTGGGGGAGGTGGCGCTGAGCTCTGGACTAACGCAGGGTGGTTCGGAGGACGTTGATTATGTCACACGCCAAGGACTGGCGCTGTTGGTGGGAAGGTTGAAAGGGAAGATGGCAGAGACGCATCAGCTCTGGGTTTAATGTGAATGTGATTTTGTTGCCAGCCGTACTCTTGTGGCATATTGTTGTTGTTTTTTGTAGCAGAAGATGGATGTGTTATCCGAACTTGCAGAAGAAGAGTTATTCTGGGTAGAGCCAAAGACAATAAGACTAGGGGAGAGGCAAGGACAACAAAATGATCGAAAATGAGCGACGCAGGGGTCGAACCTGCAATCTCCTGATCACAAGATCAAGTCGTAGTCAGACGCGATGCCATTTCGCCAGTCACCCATGTATGCTAGCGCGTGTACATTCATATATATTGAATTGCTATAATGGTTGTCGTTGGATGAGAATCTTCCTCTTGGTCTTGGAATTTGATGTCACTAAAGCAGAGAATTCTTGCTACTCACCGGGGGTGTTAAAGCAAATGGTGAGCGCTTGTTAGTCAGCAATTATGAAGTGCGGTCATTGGGTACGAGTAGCGATCTGTGAAGCGGTGTTACTACCGGTGAGGGGGTCCCGACGACGACGATGCTCCAGTCACAGCAACCGTAGATATTTGAATAGCTTCTGGAAGTGTCTACTTTATGTACCAGATCGATCGCCAATGGCACGCGGCCCAGGGTCGCCAAGCTCCATAAGGATGACCTCGGCGGATTCACAGGCTATGGTTTCACGGAGCTTCACTAAAGTGTCGGCCCACAAGACGCCGAAGCGAGCAAACGGACGGAAGTAGCAGAAAATGTCATGATGAGACAATGTCCGCAGGGGCTCTGACGATCAGCTGGAGATCAGCCCTGTCTTCCGTGTATGGATCACAGCATGCTAGACTCGTGCGCGGCAATCGCTGGAATGCGTGGAAACGTCAGCCGTTGTTGCCCAGGCGTGATCGGGCGGTAGCTCGTACAAAATATTCGGTGCAGGAATTGGAATGGGATCCACCTGGCAGCGACCGCCACGCCCCCATGCCTCAGAGACTGTCGACAACGAGGGAAAGCACCGAATGGGACGACGACATGCCGATGCCGCCAACGACACATATGGTCCCGAGCACTGAGCACCAACGCCTCGTCCGCTCGATGCGCAAGCTGACTTCCGTACTGGGGCAAACACCCGTCATCGACATGGCCGCACCGCCGGACACATCAACCCCACCAAGTCCTAACCCGGGACCACCCAGAGGACCAAGCGGGAAGCGCAGTCTCTACCTCCTCGGCTCCGCATCACTCTCTTCTCTCGCCCTGCCTTTCCTCAAAGTCGATTCCCAAACCATCTCCTCACGCGGCATCCAGCTCGCAGCATCACCAGTGGACAGCAGCAGCAGCGGTCCAAGCTCAGCCGCCGCCGAGCGCCCCGCTCTGGTGCTCCGACTACCAAGTGCACCTCCGGTGCTCCCCCCACTCTCGCCCATCTCCCCTGTCTTCTCGCCGGCCACACCAACCGACTACGAGGAGCACACGCGCCTGGCGATGCGCTTCGCGAAACTCACGCGGACGCTGGGGGAGCAGGTGCCCCCGTCCCTCGTGCTCACGGCACCGGGCGGCACGCAACAGCCGGGACCCTTCAAGCGCCGGCGGCGCGCGAGCACGCTGAGCACGCCTGAGTCGGAGCTGGAGCAGCGGGTCTTCGCGATGGCACGAGGGGTGGCGGACGAGGGGTGGATTGTGCGCAGGAGCACGAGCGTGAATGGCGGAGCGAGCGCAGTGAGAACGGAGGACATCACTGGAACGTCCTTCGCGCGTCCGTCGCGCGAGGGAGACCAAAAAAGGTTGTCGGTGGAACCCGTAAGGATGTCGCGAACAGCGCCCTCCACTCCCCTCGACCCAGTACACGTCCATCCAATGTCGTACACCGACCCCGGCGAGCTGTCCTCGATTTCAGAACACGCGCCTCCGAGACGATTATCACGCGCCGCAACCTACTCAGACGGCCAAGCTTTCTTCGGACCGCCCGGGATATGCCCCCCTCCGACCTACGAGCAAGAACGCGCTGTGGCCCAATCCGTCCCACGGTCCAGCTCGCGTGCGTCGATGCAATCACATCCCCGTGTGCTGCGCCGCATGGACTCCCGCAAAAGTATGCGGAGCATCCTCGTGCGCACCCAGGAGCGCGAGGACGAACGGGAGTGGGAGGGAGAGTGGGCTGGCCCGGAGCTGGAGAACATGCAGGATGTGATGAAGACGCTGAGGGGGCTCAAAGCCAAGTGATGCATGGGGGATGGGCAGGTCGGAGTCGCGGGTCGACGGGGAAGTGGGATGTTGCGCATCGCGATGTTATTGGTCTACGGCAGAATGGGTCACCAGCATAATTGCGGGCTGGGCTATGTAAAATATGTAGAGTAGCGATTGCGACCATTCGTGCTGTCTTCAGCGCGGGTCTATCGAGATGGATGGCAATTGTAGCTTGCCTCGTGTATACTGCAGCCTCGGCAACTAATCGTTCATTGATGTATGGTCCAACCAGCTCGGGTTGAAAAGTCGTGAGGATATGATCGCTTGAGCAGAGAAAAGCTTTTCGGTGGCGGTGTAACGGCTCCCTTTCCGTTCGCGGAGCCCCTGTCTATGCACGAGACCAGATTGCTTTCTTTCACAAAATGCCAGTGTATTTTCTTGGAGATCTTAGAGCCACAAAGCTGGGACATCATTCATTTCCCGGAGACGATGACCGCCGGATGAAATATCACAGAGTCTCGCGAGTTATCCTCGGAATTTGCGTTAGATGACTACCCCACCACGGTCTATCCTGGTTCTATCGCGGTGGATCTACTGTCCGGTCGCCAAGCAATATTTTGATGCGTCTGTCGGAGTCCAATCGCGTAATAGTGACTGAACTCTGCGCGACCAGTAAAGGCACATTAAGCTCACTTGTGATTCGACGAAGGGCTCAGATATCAGAATCTTGGGCTTCGAAGCAGACAATTAAGAGCTAATCATCGTCGTGAACCGTCTCTGCTATGCTCCAGGAAAATGTTTCGAGGTTTCGAGCGAGTAGTTCAATTCTGAAAGCGTACGAGTAGTCCAATATTCTGATTTCTCTGATTCCGCAGTTGTTCTATCCAGATATATATTGTCCAGGCGTGAGTCCGAGAAAGCTTTGGAACAAAGCCCTCCTTCCCAATCAAATGTCGAATTCTCGACAGCGGCCATCCGCATCGTGACGCCGGCTTGGCACTCGCATGGTTCTGCAATCGCGTTGAATTTCAAGTTCCTGGACGTACCAACTCCCATCCTACTGCTGTCGCCTTGATTAGGCAGGCTATGAATTTTCAACACGCGGAAATGTGTAGCGAGCATAAAAGGCCTTTTGTTTCTTTATCAAAGGAACCCATTTCGAAAGTTCAGAGACATACGCCAAGTGCGGGGTAGCACCTGCCCCAATGGTGGTCGCTTGTCAGGCCTGGGGTATGCATGGCTCATCAGATGTAACGTTGGCGGGCAAACCCATGGGACGGTTGTAGTGATATTCTCATGGTTCACTCACAAGCTATATCGAGGACTGGGTCAAAACTCTCGTCTCAGCGATCGAGAAACGAGTACGTTCTAGATTTATGCAGTGCGGATGAAATACCCATCCTAATCACCGTACAGCAACTAACAGAATTGAAGACGATACATTCAAGAGCAGAATGTAATCTGTTCGCCAGTTGAGATAACTGAGCCAAACGACTTTCTAACAATCTCACCGCCAAGTTCACATTGTTCGCCTCGCATTGGACTTGCACCTGGTTATCCGTGGAGACCTTGAAGGCAGTCGGGCAGTCCGGTCCGGTGCCTAGGCAACCTTCGCTCGGCCGATGCACGACTCCAAGATAATACGACTCACAGTCGGCGCCTGCTCCATCGCATCCGTTGTAGTAACTGAGTTGCAAGATCAGAGGCGGATAAGTAGAGTCGGATATGCAGCTTACCCGAAGCCTGTGGTAACCGAGAACGAATGACTGTGGACGCAGCTCAATACAGTAATATGCAACAGTGCAAGGAGAGCGCTGCTTACGGAGCGATGAGTGTCAGATCTGTACTGGACCCAGCGCCGGGCGAGGTCGGGTTGACGAGGGTTGTCTCGACCATGGTGCAGCCATCGCCGTTAAATCCACAGGCGCCTGTATTCACTTGATGAGTTCCGCTTATCAATCCGTGATCGGAAGTTGCACCAGTCTGCAGGTAGGCGATGGCAGCCACGAGCGGCCCGTTGCTAGTGAAAGGTGCTTTGGAGGACGCTGATTCCTGTTCTGTAACCAAAGGTTCCTGGCCGACGTACCTCCACTCGAAAGGACGTTAGGGCCCTGGATCAGAGTCGGCTATGGCGATGATCAGGATGATTCTGCGGACGCGAGGTGGGAGCGAACCGTTCCAAAGCCACACCTATTGATCAGAATGCGTGAGAGAGCGGCAGGGGATCAGACAAGTGATGCGAACTTGTTGACAAAGCTGACGGTGTGACTTTCCCCCCGCGGTGCAAGGGCGCGGGCACCAGTGCGAGCAGCGAGACAGGAGAGCACGACGAGGGCAGCGGTTTGGATAGAAGGCATCGGATAGAATTAGATGAAACAAAAGGTTGGGGGAGAAACAAATGGAAAAGCAGCGAAGAGAATATGTTGTTGAAAACAAATTTGAAGAAAATGAAGAATGCAATAGCGACTGTACGTTCAGTCCTCCACTTTAAGTAGGTTTCAAGCTTCAGATCACACACGTGGGAGTCTTAAATCTGAAACGGGAATCGCCATCGCACAGTTTTAACGGCTGTTGCAGATCAACCACTCGTTGTTCTGCGTCTCGTTTCCATGGCCCCGGGACCAGTGCAGTCATCATTTCTTCCATGTCAGGTCTGCGGATTCGAACAGCAGTCAGAATTTTATTTGAGATACGGATCTTGGTATACATGCCTGCACCACTGCTTGGACCCGTTTCTTAATGCCTCCACATAGTCGTTGAGATAGATCCACGTGACATTACGATTGATCTGATGACCCAACCTTGAGATGTTCGATGACCTCTCCTTGGAATATCCAACAGCTTCACCTTCAAAGTTGAGGCATTGTCAATCAGTTTAATTCCACTTCGTTCCCAAAGACTCTTTCAGGTTTATAGTCGTCTGAGCTTTGACGCAATGCTTGCTAATCTACGGGATTTACTCGAAATGACCCAGAATAAGTCGTTATCATATCAGTCACAGCCCTCATTTTCGGTAAATGCGCATTCCTACAGCTGCGATCTGTGCAGATCCTCGCGGCAGGCAAGTTTGGCTTATTTATCAAAGTGATTGCCGCAAAAATATGTGATTCGATATGATGCGATGCTATGAGTAGGAGGCCTTCCGGTAGATTTGTAGACGCGATGTGTGGCACTTGTTGAGAGAGGGTTTCATGCCTGGATTTTCGGCAGCCGCATGAATGGTGGCAGTACACAGTCGACATGTGATCCAACCCTAACCTTTCGGGCTCCCGATTCAGATTTGGCCCTTACACTCACAGTCACTATGGCCGACGCGGGGTACGCCTTCCCGGCCGTTCCAACGCGCCCAGTTCCGTTCTGACCCGAAGAGCAGATACCTCGGGGTGACTCCCCCCATATCCACAGCGCCTTCGAATGCGCGCGAGCTGGAGGTCACTAAGACGCTCATGGACGAGCTGAAGGCGCAGAACCAATTCGAATCGGAAGAGGAGGCACGAAGAAGGTGTGTGGCATGCCCAGATCTCGTTCGGTTTTCCGTACTGTAATCTGTATCCTTTGTCTCTGTATATATCGCGTCGACAGCCACCCACCACCCATGTCAGCACTCGCATCGGCATATCACTGGCTCCCTGCTTCTCCTCTCCCCTTGCTTCCGAAAGACTCACCTTGCACAGAGAGCTGGTCCTGGGCCGCATCGCCGCCCTCGTCAAAAAGTTCGTGCGCGACGTGTCGCTCGCCAAGGGCATGTCGGAGGCCGCAGCGACAGCCGCAGGCGGCAAGATCTTCACCTTCGGATCGTACCGCCTCGGCGTACACGCGCCGGGGAGTGATATCGACACGCTCTGTGTGTTCCCCAAGCACGTCTCGCGGGACGACTTCTTCACCACGTTCGAGCCGATGGTCAGAGAGATGGAGGACGCGGTCGAGGTCTCGGTGCGTGTTCTTGCGCGCGGGTGGTAGTGGGTCTACATGCGGAGACTGATGCTCTGGGGCTTCCAGGGCGTGCCGGAGGCTTTCGTCCCGGTCATAGGCGCGAAGATATCCGGCATCTCCATGGACTTGCTCTGTGCCTCGCTCAACATGTCATCTATCCCCGACGAGCTGTCGCTGAACGACAACAATCTGCTGAAGACGCTGGATGAGAGCGTCGTCCGCAGCGTCAATGGTGCATGCGTCTCCTGTCCACTGTTCGTGCGAAGCTCATGTCGCGGGTACAGGGACGCGACTGACGGACGAGCTGCTGCGTCTAGTGCCTAACGTGCAGGTCTTCCGTGACGCACTGCGGTGCATCAAGCTATGGGCACAGCGTGCGTTTTCGTCTATTCACTTCCTTTCACCTGCTCAGCCCTGGGCACTAGGTAAAGCCATCTACTCGAACGCAATCGGGTTCCTGGGTGGGGTGGCTTGGGCCATGTTGGTTGCGCGCGTGTGCCAGCTCTATCCCCATGCTGCGGCCGGTGCTATTGTAGGCCGGTTCTTCACGATCATGTCCAAATGGTGCGCGAATCCGCAATCATGGAACACTCGTCCAATCCACCCCAATCTCACGTCCTGCTAGGCAATGGCCGACACCGGTGCTACTCAAACAGATCGAGGAAGGACCGCTGCAGGTTCGAGTGTGGAACCCGAAAGTCAGTCTTCTCGAGGTGCCCAGATCTAGCTCTGATTGCTGTATCCAGCTCTACGCCGGCGACCGCGCGCACCGGATGCCCATCATCACACCGAACTACCCGTCGATGTGCGCGACGCACAACGTATCGGGGTCGACGCTGGAGGTCATGTCGGAGGAAATCAGGAAGGGCGCCGCGACGCTGGAGAGGATCATGGCCGGTTCGGCGGCGTGGTCGGAGTTGTTCACGAAGCACGAGTTCTTCCATAAGTACAAGAACTATCTGATGGTTTTCGCCCTTGCGAAGACGGAAGCCGCTGCGACGAAATGGTGCGTGTGTGGCCCTTCCGCCAGGCTTCATGGGCCTGCACCTGCGGCTGCTGATCTGTGGTCCCAGGAGCGGCACCGTCGAGTCGCGTCTGCGCCAGCTCGTCAACCGGCTGGAGTACGTCCCCGGCCTACGTCTCGCGCACCCGTTCAACAAGAGTTTCGACCGCGTGGTGCGCTGTGAGACGGAACAGGAACAGGCGTCCGTGATGCGCACGGCGGAGTTCACCTCGGAATCTGAGGGCCCGCAAGACGATCCGCGGAACGCTGACGCGAAATTCAAAGTATACGTGTCGACGCTGTTTGTCGGGTTGGGCGTCGCACCAAAAGATGGTGAGTCTCACCCCTGTCCCCGTTCTATCCCCGATTTGATGGGAATCGACACACGCACGCAGTCGCGAACCCTCTCCCGAGGCGGCTGGATGCGTCGTTCGCGATCACGGAGTTCGTCAAGATCGCCAAGGGCGAGACGTTCGACGAGGCGAACACCGGGATCGTGCTCCGGCATATCCGACACGGTGCGCTGCCGGATTACGTCTTTGCACCCGGGGAGCGGGAGGCGGCGTTGGCTAAAGTTAATGGCCGGAAACGGACGGTGAGTGGCACCCCGTGTGACGAGGGCGCTTGCTTTGGTTTCGTTGATGTCGATGTTGATGCCTGTTCGTAGAAGTCGCTTTCGGGGGGGACCCCGGTTAAGAGGCCGAGGCTGTCAACTGCATCTGTGTAATAGGGAAGGGTGTAGTCGATTTCGCGGTAAATTTTCTCCTGATATCTTTTACGATGCTTGGGGACTGTCATATATAACGGGCAATGCTTGGTCACTTGATGAAATTAAAATCCACAATCGCAAGATGGAGATACCCGACTGAGACCCTGAGATATCTTGTTCAAAAAAAGACATGAAAATGAATGCACTAGATTCTAATGGCCTCAACAAAGTGGTGATTAGCCGTTCTCGGATGAACTGGTGACAGCTTTTTGACATGGAAATCATGTACTTTGCATCGCCCTCCACCAGAATCAGGGATGGACTCGCCGTTCATTGGCGTTGGTTGACATGTTTTTTCGGTGATTCTCTGTGTTCTGGGGAGAACTAGTTCCCAAAATGTATGAAGATCCTGTTGGACTGTGTTCCGCGGCGGGCCTTGTATACTTCGTAACTGCGAACCGCGCCAGGCCGCTTCCACGCCGACTGACTGCTTGATTCATCTTAAGCAATATTCCCTCTCCCGCACAGTTTTCCTACCCAGGAGTCTCCGGCCAGATTCTCCGGCCAGACTCCGCGCGAACCCCGATCCGGAAAAGCGGGGCGGGGGCAACTGCACTCGGCTTCTCCGCGCCATCAAGCGATCAAATCTCAAGCGGCCGTGGGTCAAGAAATGCGGCCCACAGCAACACAAGCCGGTGAGCCGGTCGCACTCACGCGAATCGCTCTTTCTTTTGAAGAGTCAATCAGTGTCGTGTAAGGGGAACCTTAGTACGGTGATCACCCCATCGACACTGGCTATGGCTGATGTGGCCGCCAGTGCTGTCTTGCACACAGCAGTGAAGTGATAGGTTCAAATTGCTTCCGGAGACTGCCTCAGACCATGGGCCCGTCTGGAACAAGGGCACGGGTAGTTTTTACATGTTAGTGCCGCAGGAAGAAGTACGTGGGGCCACAGCTATCCTGGCTGTATAAGAAGAGGACGAGGCCCGCCCCTTCTCTGCCTACAAACCTCGCACACCTTTTTTATCACGCTGTCCAAGTCCGAATCCATCTAGATGCCCGCTGTGCCACCCTACACCTCACCCACTGATAAATGGGACCGCCGCCTTTTCAACAAGAGGATGCTTGAGGGGTATGACCCGGCGGAGAACTACTTCACTCCCCGCGCGTCCACGTCTCGCGCGAATCCCCTCACGCGGTCATTTTACGCGATGCAGGGCGAGACCTCGGGGCGCACGACCCGCCCCAATCACACAGCGCGACCGCAGGCCACACATCCGCAGACAGACTTGCCGCACCGCCGGGGGCAGGGGGATGCACACCGGGTCCGGCATCAGCCGCAGCGGCCGCTTGGAGCTTTGGCCCGGGGTAGGGAAGAGGTGGTCTATTGCAGTCTGGGACCCGTGTACAGCTTTCCCGGTCGTGATTCGGTCATCCCAGCGACCGTCCATGCGATCTTGTACACCCTGCCTTGGGCCCGCGCGAACCTCCTCCGGGATCGGAACTTTGAGTCCTTCTTGAGGAAGCTCGGTTTGGGCGAGTTTCCGGGAGATCTAGGACGCACGCCGTGCATTGTGACGGATCACGATTACGGTGAGAGCGATCCAGCGAACGAGATACAGCACCCACGTCAGCTGACGAGACAGCGGTGTGCAGATTATCTCCGACTCGACGCCGTGATTGTCACAGGGAATGAATCCATCGACGACGATGCCGGCGGGGAGGACGAGAGGATCACGACGCTGCGGGCGCACCGGTCCGCCAACGGGCGCCGGTACGTCACGATCGGGGAAGTTCTGCACGTGCTCAATGCGGACCTGCCCGACCGGATTTTTGACTGGAAGGAGACTACGGCACATCGAAACTCACACAGACACTGGAGGCTGCTCGTGGACGGCTTTGATGTTAGCGCGCGGTACGAAAGGTCGAAGTGCGGGAAGACTCGCGTGTATCACACGATTCGCGTGCGTTTGGATTTCCTGAAGAGACGCGGTCACCAAGTTTAGGTGATTTTCACAATCACGTCGTATGTATAGTGCCAGGTCAGCTTATTATGAAAGAGCCATAGCCCTAGGATTTAGTCAAATCCGTTTGGCTGTAGCCATAGAAATTGCATTCAAATCTATGGCTGTAGCCATAGGGCATGGCGGTGCTGATGTGAACAACAATCATTATGATCGACAACCTGTGATTGTGATTGACACCCAACAGCTAGGCGGTGGTTTCAGTGAGGATTGAACGGCTGACCTTCTAAAAATGTTGATGAAACCAATGCATTATCATACTGAGCTAAACCGCTGTTAAACAGGTCACAATTTCCCTCAACTTAGGGTAACCCGCAAGCGGCTTACCCTAAGTGGAGGGAAAGCTTTATCCTAGTACTGGTTATCCCAACCCCTTATCACCCAATAAACATATTTCTTGCCCCAAACAACCCTAATAGAGCCTCTAAAAGGATTTTTTTTTTGCTCCCTTGCCCCAACCCTAACTGACAATAAATATATTTCTTACCCTAACCGACCCTTACAGAGCCTGTAATAGGCCTTTTTTTTGCTACCTTGCCCCAGCCATAACTGAGAAAAAATGACGTCTCCGGGGACTAACCTTTAACCCAAACCCAAACCCTAGCCTGAACCACTAACCTCCGCGCCCAGAGGGGCGCGGCTTGTTCAAGACAGTAAGGCTGATCAACACTTTATGTTGGGGGATCATGGTGGTGCTGATGGCAATGATGATCTTGCACATGCCATGGTGATGCCGAGAAAAGCAACAGGACCAAAGGCCTGCCACGCTATGGCTGTAGCCATAGCAGTATTAGTCAAAGCTATGACTGTATCCATGCTATGGCTACAGCCATAGATTTGAATGCAATTTTTATGGCTACAGCCATAGATTTGACTAAATCCTAGCACTATGGGTGTATGAAAATCAACCATGTTCGACATGTCATGTGATACAGCCAGGGGAGCACGTGCTGATGGGTTCCTGATTTTCGAATAGAATTGGCGGTCCCCACCTTGGTTATCCCAATGAGAACCAACGGAGCCATATCACCGAGTGCGACAGAGGTGAATCTCTTGTGATCAAGGCCATGTCCCAGCGAGATGATACTTTCCCCTGGTATAGATGATGCTCACTCGGTTGTTGATCTTCCCACCGTGAATGTATTTCGTACTCGCTCAGCTGTCTCTCTTGATTTGAGAGAATCTCCGGACGCTGTGCGGTATCATATGTAGTCACCCGTCAACAGTCAAGCAACAATGAGTATCAAGAAGCCGAACACACCTCGAGATCCTCCTGGTCAGGTCCGCCCACAATCACCGGGAAGTCACAATCCTGCAAGAGCACCACCCGGATCGTCCGGGACTGATATTCCACAGAATCGACGGGAATCGGTATTTGCACGGACACTGGGAGCTGCTCGAGCGTGGTTTTGGCTTCTGTGGGGGGTACAAACAGCGCGGGAAAACTAAAATGCGGGTTCTAGTGGAGTTCTGTAGATACGGAAGGTAGCGTGGTTTTTTAATTTAATTTTTGGGGATCCGGAATTCACCACGGGAATCCCGCAGATCTGGTCCAGCGGGACTCCGGCAAAATCCAAGTCCCGCTCTCGACGAAGACCGCGCTAGTCAATGTCAGTATGTAGTCTAATGTACACAGGGAGGCTAGTTTGATGAACGCTGTGCATGTTTTGGACACATGTCCCCAGTTTAATTTAGACGTGAATCTGCGATCAAATTGTAAGGCCATGACGAGATTCAATCCCCTGTTGAATGGCTCTCGTTCACTCTCAAAATGTGCCTCGTTCATTCCACACTGGCCATCCATCGTTCATTCTGGTCACGTGAGGCGTCTGGACCGGTCTGCCATCAATGGTCTCGGGCTGTTTCGGGACTCTTACAGCGGGTGGTCCTGCGCAGCGCGCAGGCTCAAATGTGAGATACAAAGGAAATGCAGTGTATTGGAAGAGAACGGTAGACTGGTACTCTGAAGGAGCTATGATATAATTACTGCACGGTTCTTCGGCGGACAACTACCACTGGGATAGAAAGTCAAGATCAAAGAGCAGTCGGGATTGAGATACAACGCACCATGACACCTCGCTTTCTAGACACATTTCGCTTCTCACTCTCTTGTCTGGCCTCCAAGCCCGCCTCCTTCACCGAGACTCCAATACCTGGAGCCGTTTGCGCGCACAAGAGGACTTGTGAGACTTGATGAGTTGCGACTTATGCATTGAAATCTTGTGGCGATGCTCTTGAAGTTGAAGAGAAGAGGCTTGAGCTTTGAAGATCGGAGCCTTGAGCCTTGAAGATCGGAGACTTGACGATTGAAGGCTTGACAATTGGAGGCTGTCCAGCCACGATCCCAGATCACTTTGACTGATGTCCGTGCAGTCTTGCAACAGCTTTGAGGTCCTTGATGAGACTGCGAGACGTAAGCTTGAAAGATCTTGCAGGGGAGCCAGCAGCATCAAACAGCGATTGCGAAATAGCATGATCATGGTCGGAAGGAAGAAATATCACAAGTCACAGGAATGTCACATAATACTGTGAGCGAGCGCGCCGGAGCGTGCACTTTAATTGTCCTCTGAGACTACTCTATTAAGATACATTATAGAGAGATAAACTATTGCTACCAGCCTGATCATGAACACCACTAGCATTCTCAAGCATGGAAAAGAAGGTGGCATCGTCTATCTCAGATTGGGGAGTGAAAGGTGTCGATCCTGCTCCCAGATCGCACTCACGCCCAGATCGTTCTGCGCATCTTGGGATATTGACACGGACAGTGGCTCCTGGGATCAAGCCCTTGAACGTGTCCCGGTCGTCCTTGAGAATCTGATCAATGTACCTGTTGGACAGTCAGCGCTTGCGGTGTGATTTGACATGGCACCAGTCTCACTCTTTCCACGCTGGGGTGGTAAAACTCGATCCACGCTTGGATATCTCTGCCTTGAACCATTCTTCAACTTGACCCCAAAAGTCTGCTCCCTTCGTTGTGCGACCCCTCTTCTTCGGACGTTCCTCGATCTCCTCGAAATCTTGATCCCCCTCATCCTCGCTTTCCTTGGGTGTCTTCGAAAGGGTGGGGTGATCAAATACAAAGTGGCGCTACACGGAAGAGTTACAATTAGGGCCGCAGTGTGATGATGTTACTCACCAGTAGTGCCACCTGAATAATGTACGGATCTGATGTTTCCTCCGTCAACTCAATCCCTTTGTACTTGCGCGCGGACTTATTGACGAATACAGCAAGGCTGCAGAATGTCTTAGCATTGATACTTGCAACAAGCTGTCGGCAACACATGAGGAGCGAGACGTGTGAGGGAGCAGAAGGAACATACATCTGTGCGGAGACTATTCCGCAATCCCGAACATTGACGCTTGACAAACTGACTCAAGCATTTGACTCAAGTGGGGATCCCGAGGATGTTGTCTAGGTCTAGCCGTTGCTGATGTACTTGAAGATGCGCCTGGAATAGTTTGGTCAGCAACAGAAGCTCGTACACGGATGGGAGGCCCTCGCCATCACATCCAGATGTAACGTTGAGAATGACGTTCGTCGGGCATCGAAGATGTGGCTCGCGATGACAGAGCGCACGTTTTCCTGATTGTCGGTCAAGTCTCATATGTTACACAGGCACTGTACTCAAGACGTACCTTCTGAGGAGTGGTCAAAGTGAATGTATCAGCCAGTCGAATCTCCAAGTCGCGCATAACAGTGTGATAATCCCGTTGTTCCTTCTCTTGAAGTCGTCTGGCCGCAGCTGCGATGCCCAGCTTGGCAGCCAGCGAGTACAGGCCCATTGCAAGAGCAGATAATGAGAGCCCAGGTCCCAGAGATCCAATCTACGATGGTCAGTGAGTGAGATAGAAGATACGAGGATGCGATGCAGAACGTACGCGCACAAAGAACCACAATCGGTCTTTGTCTTCCGCATCCAACTTCCAGTGATTCGCGATTTGGTCCAACATGACAGTACCAACGAGGTCAAATCCACTGGGCGATGCAGACTGAGGCGGAGGAGTCAAAGGAGTGAGCAGCGTCGGGTTTGAGGGGAAAGCGGTGAGACCTGGTGCCGGAGTGGGTGAGCTGGGAGGGAACGAGTATTGAAGGGAACCTGGTCCCCAATGATCCGCATTGTGATGGACAGGGGGGAGGGAGTCATTCAAAGTCTCTTGCATGGTGAGATTCAAGGTGAGTTTGATGTGAGTGGGCGCCTTTATATCCAGTCAGCGCACGCGTCTGTTGAATCAACAAACGCGCGTCGCGCGCGTTTGTTGATTCCAAACGCGTCGTGGCACGTTTTGTGACAGCGGAAAAGGTATAAAACCGGGACGCTATGAGCGCACAAGCAAGAGGAGTCCCGCCATCATGCCCAAGGACATGTCAAACAACTACAAACATCACTTGTCCCCTCCGCCTTCCACACGCAGTCGATTCACATCTCAGCGCACTTGTAAAACCAATGCCAGGTGTGCGTTCTCATGATCCTATCCTCTGCATTGTCTCACCCCCCATAGATATTATCTCGATATCCCGGATCCTTTGTCTGGGGCCGGAGCGTTGAACACCCAGATCATGGACTCTCAGTTCTTTCCATTTGACGACCTGAACAGTCACGGTGAGCTTGACCTGCACATGGTCACTTCTCTGATTCGAAGCACCACCCAGCCCCGGCGGACCGCACAACTTTGGGAACGCACCCGAATGTCAAACCGGAGCAGAAGGATGAGCGCGTCATCAAGACGGAGGAGACTGTGACGCAGGAGACTGTTATCGCTCAACGAGTGCCTAAGTTCAACAGTGCATGATTCTCATCCTTGTTACCATCTCATATTCATCTGAGCCACAGAACCAAATGTCGATCTCGCAAAGCAGCCCTGGACTTTTGTGGAACTTTTGCCCTTCAAAATCTACGTTATTGAGCGGTTCAGGAGGTATCCCACGGATGGTCACACAATCAAGAGCCTGCTGGAAGAGTGGCAGTCGTCGTTTGATCAACTGAAGAGTCGGTATCATGAAAGTCGGAGCGAAAACAAGCAACTCCGGGCACATCTACAAGATATCCAGAACCTGTGTTACATTCAAAAATGATGATCTACTGTTAAATCTGTGAGAGAGAGGAAGATCCGTGCGGCGATCCGGGGTGGTGAATCTGCACACTTGAGTGCGACGGCAATCTGGCACCGCTTGGCAATGTCATCCGAGCTGGACGAGCAGCCATCGGAATGGGACGAGCAGCAGTGACCGACGGTAATGCTGGGGCGCTTGTTCGGCCCTTTGAGCCCTGCCGGAGCGACATTTCTTTGGCGGCACTCTCGTGAACGACCATTTCGAGGTTTCGGGGCAGTGTGTCAATCTGAAAAGTCTGGAGATACAAGGCATCTTGCATCTGGGCAGTATTCAAGACCACGTCATCGCGATCCCCCCGGTGATGAATCCGGTGAAATGCTGAGGGCGCGCTCACAAGTGAATCTACTATGAAAGTAAACCCAAGTATAAACACGTTCACACTCCTCGTAATCAGCTTCTCAGTGTGTGAAAGATGCGAGGGCTTCGGGGTGGACAGAACACCAGTATCACAACTCTCAATAGACGCAGATCAATAGTTGCGGAAGACGAAGTCGACGACAAGGATATATATATAGTAAACAATGGTGTCTCAACCAATATCTTCTATACAAACACAACCAACACTAATCCAATCCACAACCAACAATATAACAAGTCAGAACTTAATACGAAGTATTAAGATCCCTTGTAGCGACAGCGTCCAGATGGTGACGCAAAGCCCAAGTATCAAGTCGACGCACTGCCAACCGATACAACCAATATACTGAGTCGACGCACTGCCAACTAGTAGAGCCAAAATGTCAAGTCGACGCACTGCCAACTGACACAACCAAAAGTACTGAGTCGACGCACTGCCAACTAGTAAACCAAAATGCCGCGTTGACGCACTGCCAACTAACAGCCAATATCCAATGTCCAAAACCCAAGCACAACTAGTCAACGCACTGCCAAGCAAGAAGTGTGGAACCAAAGTTCTCAAGTCGACGCACTGCCAACTGACCAAAACAACCCGAGCACAACTAGTCGACGCACTGCCAAGCTAGAGGTGTGGAACGATCTCAACAAAAGCCCAAAAGGGCGACGACACTAAATGCCGCGACAATACCAGATGCGGCGAATCCGACTTTCTGATATCTCAACTCAAACTCAAATCACAGTAGCTACAAGTGCTCAGGGAGCAACTCCTCGCGACCGGGCAGGGGTAGCAGAACTTCTTAGGGTGGAATCACGCGGCACGCAAATTGTACAAAACAATCTGAAATGAGAGTGATTCACAGTCCGGGGGTAAGCTCCCTTAATACAAAGAAACGACGTGCTACTTATACTGTCTACGACGCTGCTTAGTAAAGTCCTGTACAACTGCATAGTAGCTACGCTATCTAAGATCGGTTGCCTTTTAGAGTAATTGAAAAGTTGGACGATCGGACAGGTCCTGAGTGATCAGTACCCCGCCCCATAGTCCATATGATACTTTTGATGTGGGTCAACCCACCGCGTCATACTTTTGGAATACGACGTGTTGGATTGGCCAACGGGTATTTCTTGGCAGGTGAGTCCAACGTGGGTGCCCCAAGAAGCCGTATGGTCCTAGGCACGCCAGTCGTTCCTCACATGGTTTGGTTCACGGATCTAGCCGTGTCGGTCTTAGTGTATTTTGGGTATGGGCGCGACTCGTCGTGACACTTGGAAGTGTCACCGCGTCGCGTCCACAATGTCCCGTGATCGAATGGATCCTGACATGTGACAAGTCGTCGCCGTGGCATGATCTGAGGAAACGTCCAACCCAAAACCGGGAGTTGCCGCGACAAGATTGGTTCAATCTCATAACGCCAAGTCCTGTCCAGTAGTAGTTGTATCATTGAGAACGTCGCACATTGCTCAGCCCTTCAGCCCAAGTTCCCATCTGCAGAGAATGACCCTTTTCGAGAAGTCGCCGCGACAAAGATCCCCTTTTGGGGAATTGTCGCGGCCCAAGCGTTCGTCACTAATAGCCCTGAGCCTGGTATAGACTCATAAGACCAATTCCACAGTAGTGGTCTGACTGCCTTGCTATCGTCGACACTATCCACAGTCGTCGACTAGGCAGTAGACCCTTATGCCCTACTGAACGTAACACTGTCAACCGCAACACGATACACCGAGTGGTTCAAGAGTAAACTCTGTAAAAAGCGCAAAAATACACCCTTACAGAGCTGGTGCAGAGTGTGTCTGGTAGCCAGCCTATCACCGGGCTTGTGATCAAGTCGTCTTGACACGTTCCTGATAGACCGGGACTGAGCTCGATGCGTCACACTGATACTTGATGCAGCTGTGTTGCACATTCACAGAACAGAGGATGTCCTATCGAATCTCGGTGAGTGTTACATTCAGTGATATTGGTTTCTGATCCAATCTGACCTCGAGACAGGTGATGTACCACCGCCCTGATAACACCAACCGTGGCATCCCGTATTGCTCGAGGCTTGGGTCGACAGTGGCCTCTTGCAGCAAGATGACGTCAGGCAGCTCGGAGAGACTATTCACCGACCCTGCTCGTTGCAACAGCTCCTCCAAACAACAGACGCTCCTTCGAGATTCCTTTTGAACGAGGACGTAGGATCGCAGCTCGCAACGGTCACCATTTAGCAGTTTCAGTCGGTTCCATGACTTGAACAGTCCGGTCTGGTTATTCCAGGCTGCTATGTGCTTAGCAGTAACCGTGTCTGCTGCAGGTCTTGATCTCCCTTTGTCGATGCTCTCGCTAACACCTGCAAGTCGTTTGGCGGTCCGAATCTGAGAGACGGCTTATTAACAACACTCACCTCCCACTCCACGTGCTTTGTCGTCCGCAAGTCCAAGATAAGAAGCGACCGTGCCTTCAATGAGAGCAAGCGGTCCTGGCCCTGCTGAAATCCAATCTCTTGGCGAGGAGTTACTGGTCTCACTGGGATCGGATCAGAAGTGCCCTCCGCTGAGCAAGTGCCGTACACGATTTCCCTGGGCAAAAGCCGCCGCAATATCACGTGAAGGTGCATGGCAATTTGAATGAACACTTTTTGAACGAATTATAGCATTGAACGATTCGAAGTCCTCCGTTGCGAACAAGATAGCAGGCCCAAATCGCCGGATATGCGCTGGTAAGTGAAGCAAGATATGAAATTTGGGCTTATTAAACCAACGGTTAGTCCATTGCGCAGCACAAGAAAGAAAGTGATCGATCTCGCAAGCCAATCGGTCCTGCGCAGGAATGTCTGAGATCTGACATTACAGACATGACATTGTCAATCTCTTACCAAATATATCTCTATGTCGTCAATCTGCGGTTGCCAAATGAGAGGGACAAGTTTCGATAAGGCCTTCCAAGTTTTGAAACATTCCGGTGAAACAAGATCGTACACAGTGAAAGGAGCCACCTGGGCGATAGCACGGAAATCCCGACCAGTTAAAGAGCCTGCATATTGAACGAGAGTTTGGCCTGCCAAGGGGGATATTCCAAGTCCGCGAGGGTCAACTGAATTCAAACGCGTTATGAGGAGCGCCTTCTTGTTGTCCTTGTTCTTGATTTGTAATTGAATGAGATCGCGCCAAAGATATTTGACAAATCCGAGGAGAACAACATGGAGAATTTCGACGGGTGTGTCCTGATGTGGGTCCAATCCTTTGATTCGCCAAACTGGACTCATCGTCTTGTCAAGAGCGGGCAGAGCGTCGGCCTGAATTCGAAGCGCTTCCAAACGGGCCGGCTGTCCACGCTTATTTTTGTGCGAGTCGAATAACTTCTCCACAAAAAACTGTTGGAAAGTGTCTTTGATCCCGGTCTCGGTACGCTGTTGCTTGATCTGTGTCTTCTTGTCCACAGTAGTAGAAGCAGTAATGAATTCAGAGCGCAAGTGTTCTATTGTCTCGGATTTCTTGCGCAAGCGGCCGATCTGGACAAATGTGAGTTCGAGTAATCTCTGATCTTATCACATAGCCACACGATCAGAGCGCAGAAACGATCATGTGATGATATTGAGGAATCTGCGCGCTCACCGTCATGAACGCTTTGACGCGTGTTACCATTTGTCCCATTGTCTCCAATGCTCGCTTCCCTGCTCCTGCCCGTTTCTTCTGCGACTTGGTGGTGCTGTTCAAACTGTCATCACTCTGTGCCCCAACACTGCTTGCATCGCCGTCACTGCCAACATCGGACGTGTTTTGAGCAGCGGCGCTGAGACCAGCAGAAGGCTGAGGCTGGACAGTATCTGGATCTGTTGCATGGCCTCTGACCCAACACGCACGGCAGAAGAATTTCCCACGCAAGCCGATGTGACAAGCAAACTCGCTTTGCATCGGATTGTCTCCGAGCAGAGCAAGAACCTCCGGGATGACGAGTACCGTCTCCTGAAGGACAATGTCCCATGCCCAGATTCCGTTTTCCTGGCTATTTTTAATAAACGAGACTGATTTGGTCATGAAATTGAGATGAATTAAAATGAACTCACTCGAGCTGCTCTACAACTCCATCCATCATTTCCAGCGGAGGAGCGAGGTTTGACGTGCACAAGAAATGTATATTAAACTCCTTCTGGCTCTCATGACGATTCAGACCAGCTGGAGTCATCAAGAAACTGTTGTGCTTGTTCCATTTCTTAGAAAGGTTCCCGGATGTATCATCACAGTATAGCCACATTGGGAATGAAACAACGCGACATCCCTTGACTTTTGCACGCCATGGATTGCCGAGAACGGGGTTAGTATATGTCCAGGGAATACTAGACTGAGCAGCATTTGTGTCGACAACATCTTCGAGGGAACTGATCAGTCGAAAATATTATTAACATGCGGTGCGTACCAATGATATATGACGGGTGAGGAACCCCATACACGCCAGCATCAGCCTGAAATCCCAAAAAATTCTTGAAGAAGTGCGAGGCAGGAATATCGACGCTGATAGTCTTGATAACACGCCAGCCAGAACCCTGCTCGCTTGCAACTGGAATCATTCTCCAGCACCTGGCAAACAGAGATCCTTCGTGAGTAAACCACCGGGTGGGTATGACAAATTGTGCTGTTCCCTCCACAGCCGATGCCATACACGGCTCGTAAATGTAATAATCATGGCCATGGAGTCGGGCCATTGGTGTCGTCTGAGTATCGGGAATCTCATTCAGCCACCGTTGACCCTGTTGAGCTTCTGATAATTTTGAGCCGGAATCTTTGGGGTAAAATGAGAGATGCGGTCGAACTCGGGGATTCGCCATTTCCTGCAGCGGTGGTCAGTCATTAATTATAGCTGACGAGAGGCATTTCCTGGAAGTAAACAAATCACCTGCGCAATTATTTGAGCAATATTATTCACAAAATATTTGTGACCGAGAGCGCCGTCATACGCTATTGTTTCAATACCACAGAGTTTCTGGAGCCCGAGATTCAACCGTTGCATCTGCTTGATGGACGGTACATAGGGTATGTTATTGACCTTGAGAAGCCACAGGAAGAGATCGAGTTGGCATTGCGAGAAGACCGAACAGGGAAGATGCATTAGAATATCCAGTGTACAAGTCTGATTGAATCGCCGAATCAGTTATTATGAATTGAGATTACATCAGGCCGGACTTACGATTCGATCTTCCCAAGGATGCCAGTACAGACGGCTGGCCTCGGACTCATGCTCATGATCACCACGAGGTCGCTTCGGGGCCGGCGGTAAACCATCCAAATGTGGGTCTAGGTCTACAAGAAATGTAAGTGGAAAGCTGCGGGAGATCGTATCTCAATACCTTGAGTGTACAAAGGGGACCCATCTGCACGAGTGTCCGCATCCAAATCATTGTCAGAACGCTCATTCTCGTCATCATCCGAGAACGCATCAATGTCAAAGCGGTGAAGAATCGCATTTGTGAGAGAGGCAACAGCTCTGTCATCGGGGGAAAGTAAGAATTCGGTGTCCCTGCGTGCTTGAATCATGTTCCAACTGATTCCAAGAACCGAGCTTGAGCTCCCTCCCTCCGATTGCAAGTCAGTTTGCCAATCTGAATCCGAGTTTGGAACGGGGTAAGGATGAGATACACCGCCCCCCAGTGAGGACAGAAGATTTCTGAGCCCTTCATCTGCGATGTCCTTGTCTGAGATAGTGGCATTTTGTGCCGGATCAACGCTGCTCGCACCACGCAGAAGCAGCTCTGTCTCGTCCTCTGCTTCATTACATCTCTTTAAGGCCCTTTTATGGGATTGACTGCCCTCGTGGCGGGTGCGATGGCTCAGCGCTCCGTTCCGCTCAATCCCATCTGCACAAATCTTGCATAGAACCACGAGTTGGTTGCTCGCATTTCTGCGAAAGTCCCAAATAGGGGCTAGATTGTATCAATCAATGATGTCAGTGTATGATTGCCGAAGCCACGGGACATCACGTACAAGCCCTCGCGTCCAACGCATCGGCACTCATGAAGCTTGCACGAGAGGCAGGTGAAAGAAATGAACGGTGCTGAAAAAGGGGTGGAATTGACTTTCGATCATCCAAAAATTGAAATTCTACCCATTTACAGATTGATGAACGAAACTGATTTCTAATTGAACGACGTTGGTAGTTCGGATCACACCGAGGTCTATTTTACACGCGGCAACTTTCAGTCATCCGACCGTCTGGCCGTGTAGTAGCAAGATCTCCCAACCTGTTGCATCAGTCGCTGCATTGACATTCGTTGAGATCGAGGAGGTCGAAGGTTCGAGCCTCGCGTGAACCCACCCCAAGCGGGACTGAATCCAGCGGGAGTCCTTTAGCGGTGTGCGGGACTCTGGCGGGGCTCCAGTGGGTCCCTCGGCTAATTCATGTTGCCCGTTGCTAGTCGAAGTTCAACATCGAGAATCCAGCGACACGTGCTAAACTGTGTTTAGCGCACGTACTGATGGGGCTCGGACTCTTCCGGGAATGCTTGGGCTCACGGCTGGTAATACAATACGATACGTGATCGATATCGAGACACTGTAGGGTTAGGATGAAATATATATGAAGAATGCAGTATCTGATCCACAAGCATACATCTGCGGCCCTCGCCCTTACATACACAAAAACACGTCTCCAATCCAAGAACAAGTTTGAGATCAAGAACAGATACACTTGTATAATGGTAGAAGTACATATGAAGAATGCAGTATACAGTCCATAAGCCACTCGTAAATATATCCAACGTGGCACGCACATGCGTCATGATGAGCAGCCAGCCTCACAGATTCTCCGGCACGCCGTACTTGAACAGGACGATCGGCACAAACACGGCGTAGTCCAGCAGCTCGCACACCCACTCCGCCGCCTCGCGCGACATCGACGCGAGTTTGAACGTCGCCCTCCAGGAGATGCAGTCCCTCGATCGGCACACAGCGAGCTCGGCCGAGCTAGCGTAGTCGGGTATCTCGATCTGTTTGAATGAGCAAGGGATCGCAAAAAGGGCCGGTGAGCGGTGAATGAAACTGACCTTCCATGATTGATCCGGCTCAAGATTGAACGTGATGAGAGGCATTTCCGAGTCCTCCGGTGTCCAGTTGAACTGTCTGGCCGATGTCCCCGGGAAACGCCGGTACCCGCTACAACACCCGGATCATTTCAGCCGACCGCGAAAATAACCCGTAAAATCCAATACACACCCTTCGTAAACATTCTGTCCGGCGGGCCACTGGAAGTGGCACCGGTGCTGGCCGTAGGTCATCACGAGCGGCTCGTCGACGATGCGCGCGAGCAGGGTATCGTCCGCGGGGGACACATAGTTGTGGTACAGCACACAGCCCGCGTACCCGGGTTTCCTCAGGGTCATGCTGATAGAGGGCTCCCTCGCGCCGTCGGGATAAAAGTACAACTGACTGACTGCATTGGATTCGTTGCCCGCGCTCGGCTGCAGTACGATGGTCGAGTGCGTCATTGTCTTTGGCATAATCATCGTTGCGGGAATGTGTAAGATAGGATGAGATGGGGGTCGGTGGGGAATGATTCCGGGCATTTTATACCGGAGGGTCAAAAGTGGCGACAGCGAACAATGACTGTGCCCGATGGGGCAGTGCTTGTTCTCCGAAATGATCAGAGGAGCCATCAGTCCTATTGTGGACAACTGAGCTTTTCAGGCATGGCCCAGCCAGTTACAATGGCCCATCCGTGCATCCTCTTACCGAGCTTTTCATTGTTCAGGGTAGAGCGCAGAGTGGGAATACTCTACTGGAAGAATGCTTGGGCTTGGATCGCGAACAACGGCACCCGGGATCGTGAGCCTCCTCCAAGCGTTCGGCGAACAATTTTATCGCAATCTGTAGCCTCCCTAAGGTGAAAGGTAAGCCAGATGACGCCGCCCGGGAGGTGGCGTGCGCTCAAGATGCGAATATCCCGTGACTAGTGAGACCCAAGACCAGCAGAGTCACGCGACCCGAAGACTGACGCCGTCCCGGAAGCGGTCCGAGGCACACACTCAAGGGTAAATCAAGGAAGCGGAAACCCGGGTGTACGTGAACAACCACGCTCGATGTTTTCATGCACCATGCTCTGGACGGCGAACAGTTCCGGCATGCGGCGATCACAAGCCAACACCTGCCAAATGGGGAAACCGGGGGAGGCTGTGCTCGTTACCCGACAAAGGCACTGCCACGCGCTTCGAAATGCGCGCTTATTTTTGCTGCTACACCACATCTTCTCGCCGTGCATTTGGAAGACAGCGGCAAGCAGCTGGACACACAAGCATCGCGTCTCCTGCCCCGACATTCTGCCGAAATCGGAGCCGTTGTTGCATCTCGCTGACTGCAGCGGGCGGAATGCAGGGGCCGTGAACATATCCAGGACAGTAACACCGAAAGGGAACATTCAGGGTCGGACTTGTTCGCTCGCACGATTTCGTCTAGGGCAGGCGCGTGACCGCGTGTGCGTGAGGACTCACATGCAGAACCCGCTTGCGCGGGAGATCCCGATTCGACAAGTGGCAGTCATCTTCATCACATCGAGCCGTTTCAGACCCGTCACGACGCAGGGCTTTGCACTCACCCTCATCCCCCATCTCCATCCCCCTCAGTCGCCCACGCATTAACGAAGGAATCAGCAAGATGGACTCGCAGCTGACGCTCGTCGACCGCGACCCGCCCGTGCGCCTCACGTTCGGCCCGGACAGCATGACCAACGCGCTCGTCTCGTGCGGCGGCGTGCGGCGGTACCGCATCGCAACGCGGCTGCACGGCTTCAGGACGGAAATCCGCGAGGTCGGGCCCGGGGGAGAGGATGCGGATGCAGCGGAGCCGGCCGTGGTCATCTCGCGGCGGGAGGTGCTGAAGGACACGATCCGCTTCCGGGGCGGCAAGGAGGTGAAGATCGCGCAGTGGATGCGCAAGACCAAGCTCGCTGGCCGGTGAGTCGCCCTCGGGGCCGCACGCCTGTCTCCCTTTTTTGACGGACGGACTGACTGACGTCCTGCTCGATCCGATGTGCTGCCAGTGTTGCTTACGTCGTGGAAAACGAGCTCGGTTCATTTACGCTCAGGGTCGATCCCGTATACCGCCTCGCCGTGCGTGATTCCGCCTCATTGGAGTCCGCCTGCTCACCCGGTCGTCCCTATAGCTGTTCGCGGACTTTGACTCGGAGACGCCCATCGCGCACTGGTCGGAAACAGACGCAGCGACGCTCGTCATCGACCTCCCCGGCCCCGCCGCGCCGGAGACGCACCTGGAGATCTTGGCCGCGTTCACCATCCAGGAACTCCGGCTCAGGATGCTCGAGAAGGCGGCCATCGTCGCTCAGCGTCGGGCGTCAATTGGATTGGGATCGCGCGGGGGCTCCAAGCTTTTGTCTAGTTGAATTTGGAGCGGGGGACTTTCTGATTGTGGATTATTTATCGGTGTACATGGATCCCTGATGAATCGCGGCGCCAAGCCTGTAAATTGATATTTTGTTAATCTAGGACGGTACTAATTTGGAGTTTTGTGGTCTCGAACTTGCATGTTACTCATTTTACTAGTCCTAGCTTTCAGCTTAAGGCAAGAATACTCCCTGCACACGATGCTTGATCGTTGACTGTTTCTGAAGTGCCGTAGTTTCCAACGGCATGCAGCCAGACATCGGAACTCTCCGGCTGAGACATTCGTCCCGTGATACTTCACGCGTGCAGTAACTGCTGTTCCGCGGAATAGTCTTGAGATTTCTAGAGTGTATACATAAATAATATACAGCCCGCAGTGCAGTCTATATACACAACCTATCCCACAATCTACGACTGTGTGACATACCCGAAAAGCCCGCCTTCCAATCCCCGGCTGACCATCATAAACTGGTTCGCTGCCTCCTTCGTTTTCTTCACACTGCGGCTGCTCACAACAACCTTCGCGAAGCGCTCCTTGGCTTCCGGCCCGGCCCGGCTCGCAGGATAGAAATCCTCCGCGGCCAGGATCTGCGGGACCCAGTTTCGCGCACCGCCCTGCGCGCCGAGCAGCGCGTCGTCCCACCGCGAGACGATCGCGCCGAGGAGCTCGAGCAGGTTGTTCATCGCGCTGCGGGGCGCAGTGCCCGCGAACCCCTCCAGCACGACCTTGACGACGTTCCGACCGTGGACGAGGACGAGGTGTCGGTGGACGGTGCGCATCGCATCGGAGATGGGCGAGAAGAGCGCGAGCCGGTGGATGAGCGTCGCGAGAAAATTCGTCGCGCCGACGAACGAGTACCGCTCGGGCAGCGAGATGCCGATGAGAGTGGTCTGAATAAGCGCGTCGAAGAGCGACGGCGCCGATGTCGACGGCGTCGATAGAAGCGACGCGAACGAAGCCGTAAAGTCCTGCGCAATCCGGTCCATCAGCCCGAAGAAGTCCTGCACGATATCCGGGTGGTCGACGATCCCGTTCCCCTCAAACACCCTCAGCCCAGCGCGGGCCAGCACACCGAGCGCAGCGGTCACACACTCTTCCGCCTCCGCATTGGGCTGCGTGCGCGCTGCCAGGATGGCCGGGGGCGGATTCATCGCTGCCACCAGGCCCGCAGCGAGACTCAGCCAGCTCGCGCTCAGCTGCTGCTCCGCGACCGACACGACCAGCCGTAGGACGGGGGGACCGGGTAGCGTCAGCAACGTCACGTCCGCCGGCAAGGCGGTGATGCTCTTCACGACATCGCCCAGCACGGCGCACACCTCCGCATCCGTCGACCAGAGCTGCAGTGTCCTCGAGATGCACTCGAAGATCGCGTCTCGTAGCGAGGCGATTCGGGGATCGGAGCGAACGGCGTGGATGAGTTGTAATGGTGTCGGAGAGGACGAGGTGTCTTCTTCGTCATCGTCCAGGGAAAACGACTCTGCGTCTGCTCGCGTCAGGCCCCGTGCGATGCCGGCAATGATGGAAAGCTGCAAGATTGCTTGGAGCCGGGGCTCGTCGTCCTACCATAGTCTCTTAGTCCAGCACTCGGTGGGGAAGTCCAAAAACCCACCTGAGTACCTGCACCAGCTGTGATTGCCTCCCGCACACCCTGTACTGCAGGCCCGACAATGGCCTCGAGCGGGTCGACTGCTTCGTGCGGTGGCAACGCCTGGATGACACTCGCAATGCTCTGCAGGATCTTGGGTTTCTCCGTATCCTACACGCGTATAGATAAGATCCAAGCACAACAACAGTGAATAGACGAGTACGCACCCCGACAACACTCAATCGCGCGTACACCTGTCCAAATGCGGCAATCTGCCCTGCCAGCGCACGCCGGTTGGCGTCACACAGCGAGCGCAGCGCAAGTGCGGCACTGAGACATACGCTATCCTCCTCTCCCACTTCCTGCCCGGTCAAAGCAGCGACTACATACGTTAGCACAACACCTAGCGCAGCCCCGCCCGCATCTGTCGCGAAGTAGCTTGCAAATGTGTCTATCAGGCCCAAAGCCGTTCTCCGTAGTCTGCTCTCGGCCACGCTCTTGCTAGCGGGACCAGGTAGTCGTCCCCAGATAGATTCGCGGAACAGGCGCTGGAGCGCTAATGCTCCCGCGCTGCTCGGATTCTGCGTCAAGGACTCGGTATCGAGCGCTTCATGCAGTGCGGAAAGCGAGTAGAATGCCGCTTCGATCGGCTGGAAACGTAAGCTGCGAGACATCATGCCATAGTAAGAACAACGCACCTCCCATCCAGCAGACGATGCAAACCGGCTGTCTAGACCTGCTTCAACCTGTGACACGTAGAAGACAAGCAGGTCGTCTCGGAGGATGTAGTACCTGCCAAAGGGAAGGAGGAAGATAACGACACCAAAGGGCTGCTCACGCATTCAACAATGTGTCTCCCACGTCGCGCCTGTACACCGCAAACACCTCCAACTGATCGTCGTCCCAAGCGCCCGGTGCCGGATGCGTGATCTTCGCCAGCAAAAGCCGCACAACAGCAACATACAGCGCCGTCGAGTGCGCCTTTCTTCCCTTTTCTGATCCTAGCGCATCTGATGCAGACGAGAATCCGAAAGAGGCCGTCCTCGACGCCGCAGGCGTGAATGGGGTCCCACCGAGCCCCCCGCCCATTCGCAGCCGCTCCAGCTCGTCATCTTCCCGATCATCCGGAGTCGCATCGTGGCCCGCGACCGGGACCTCCCAGAGCGCCTCCTGCAGGAGATACCAGAAACTGAGCGGTCCCCCTGCTACAACGCCCTCATCCCCGTCATCATCATCGCCGGCGTGTGGCAACAAGATGATCCCGCCGGGATCCAGAGCCGTTAGCGCCAGCATCATGCGCATTAAGCCTTGCGCGAGAATAGCGCGCGGGACTTGATCGCCGGAAACCGGCGACGCGTCGACGATGTGCGCTGCGACCCACTCGACTCCGCTTTCTGCGAGTGAGATCACCAGCCCCGCATGTGTGTGCAGCAGCCTGAGTGTCTGTTTCGGCAGATTGTCACCAGCCGATACGCCGTAGGAGGAGTACGAGGGGACTTCATAGCGTGGATCGAGGCACGGCTCAAATGCCCGCCCTGCCCAGAGCATCAGCGGCTCCAGGACGACGGACGGCGACCAAGACGTTGGGGGACTCGAGAGAAGGTCCGTCAGGGTCCGTGTGGCCGCTTCGAGGACTGCCGAATTCGAGGACGAGAGTAGTAAGATTAGTTGCGGCACCAGAGCAGCGATCTCGGAGTCCGGAAGCAGTGTTGTAGGAAGCCATGCGGTGAAGCATCCAAGCGCTGCCGTGAGCTCTTCTGAAGGTGTAGTCGGTGTTTGTAGGTGGACAGAGATGGCGCTGGCGACGGAAGGCAGAACGAGTGGCGCAGCTCGGCGGAGAGTCGATTCCAGGCGGATTCTGTAGTCATTCAAAACTCTTGATGCGATATGGAGCGGGGCTGGACTGACTTGGGCTGAGGTAGCAGCTGTGCAGACCCCACATCCTCCGCGGCACCAGCCAAAAACTCGTGAATCTGCGCCCCGGGTGCCCCTGCATCGACCAGCGTCTGCACGACATCCGTGATCCACGTATCCCAACTCTCGTCTACCTCGCCCTCTTCTTCTCCGGCCGCTCGAACAAGTCTCGGATCCCGGGAACACACGCGCACAGCGAGCGCCGCGATGGCACCGAACACCTTGCGCCGCACGACGCCGGTCCCACGCACGCTCGCGCCCACCGCGTCCCGTGCACCCAGCACCCCGAGGAGCAGCCGCCGTAGCCCGTTCCTCTCGCGCGCGGGGAGCTGCGCGTCGGCCTCGCCTCGCGCGATCTTCGCCTGCGCGGTGTGCGCGCCAAAGAATTGGACGTTGGGGTCCGCCGTGTAAGATAGCAGCGGGAGGACAAGGGACCAGGCTGCGGGGGCGCGCTGCAGCGAGAGGAGCGTCGACTGGATCTCCTGTACCGCGGTGGACGATGCGGGTGCGGAGAGGGATTGGATGAGGGCGATCGTTTGTTGAATGTCGGAGGGGGTGACGGAGGGCGGAGCCTGGGGCCGAAAAGAAGTTGAGGATGAAGAAGCCATGCGATGAGGATGCAGAGCGATTACTCTCCAGTCTGCTCTGTGACGCGGTGTGGACAAGTGTTGGTGAGGCTCGCCAAGGCGAGCTGTGAAAAGATCAGCTGATCTAATGTGATGTGCCACTGAAGGTCACGTGTCTTCAGGCAGGGTCAAAGAGCACATTGCGAAAGAAGAATTTTCAAGTGGATAACAGATTCAGATCCACAAGATGGGGAGTCCATGTTAATCTCTTTCTATAAGTGGAATGTGTGCCAACGTAGCTCTCGGGTAAAAGACCTCAAGCAATAATGAAATACGGACGATTTCTTTGCATGGATTTGTATAATCCCGCGAGGAACTCACACTGAGGAACCTCGACGACTCGGAATGAATCAAATATGAATATGATTGAGTGATATTCGGTGTTTGATTCCGCGCCCTCCACTTACTCCGAGTTCCTTTCGTCGGATGAATATCTCCAGATTCTACTGATGCTTAGATACATAATTCCGTTGATGGAGGAGGTGTGTCGAAGAATAAAGAACCAGCGAATGAAGCCTAGTCAGAGACGCAAGGCAAATGACGAAATTTCAGAACTGGAATCCCGCTCGAACCATACGCGGTACGTTCAAGCGAATGTGTGCCTTCTTTTCTCGCTCGAAAGCACGATTTGAGATTCAAATTGAAGCTTACATTATACAAAAGATACATTGGATCGCCACCGGGCACACTCTAAGCAGAAGAAACCTGGGCTCTCAAAACGCTCACTTCCTCACGCAAAGCCCGGACCTCTTCTCCAAGCGCTGCCATCTTCGTCAAAACTTGCTTCATCATATCCACATCGAAAGACACCCCGGAATTTTCCCCATCTGCGAAGAGCGCCTGCGAGAATGAAATTGGTGGTGATGGCGAACCCCGTGACGATGCATCGGGCGAGCTTCCGTCGCTCGTACCACCCGTGGACATGACGTCTTCAGTCGCTGTCGGAGGAGGGACATCTCGGACGTCCTCTGGATACATCAGTTCCAATCCGTCATCATCTAGATCGAGGTCCATATGAAGTTTTGGCGTCGCATTGTGGCCAGAAGACGAGCTCATCGATGGCGGCGGTGGCGGTATCGTGTAGTGGCGTGGTTTCACGACGAGTTCTACCTCACGCATTGGCTGGTCTTCCATTCCGTTCGGTCCGAGATTCTGATCTATGGCGCCGGTTCTGCTCTCGTCCTCGTCGTCCTCTTCAAGGTCTTCGGGCTGTTCGCTGCGGCGAAGAATAGCATCCGCTCGACCCGGTGCACGACTTCCCATTGTCGTCCGCGCCACCACTGCCGATGGTCTTGAGCTTGACGAGGATTTAGAAGATGGAATTGTCTGTGCTTCGTCAGCCTGCAACTTATTTTAGGCCTGCAAGCATAAAACCGACTTGACCTACCTGCTGCTGATTATTGCCGCCTTGATCTCGAGTCGACTGCTCTTGGGCATCGATGCTGATCGTGAGAGTCAAAGAGTTGACAACTATTTTATGGGTATCCTGCTCTGGCACATCCGTGCTTGTGATCTGTTCAGGTGCGTATTCACTCGGTGGGGGAGGTGGAATTGCCTGCTTGATGATGAGTGGAAACCCGATGTGAAGCGTAAATCGCACCTGCTCCTCTTCCTCTGTCACACTCTTCATCTCTACGTCGCGATCGTTCTGGACATCATGAGAAACCGCAAGACAAATGTGAGCGAATGAACAGACCGACTCGGCCGGGAGTGAAGTCCCATTATTCTCTTCACCTGCCAAAGTCTAGAAATGCATTAATGGGACTCTGAGATATTCTACGAGGCGGACCTCTTCTTCCCTGACGACAAGAGTAGGCTCTCCCTCAGGACGACCCTAGACAAAATCTGAGTAACGAACCACAAGTGTGTAAATTGACATACCGGCTCGGCCCAGCGGAATGTTCTCTTGTCATCATCAATAACAAATCCGGAGGTGAATTCCTCGGAGGAGATGCCGTTCTGCGCTTCTTCGGGCGTCAGGGCGAATCCTCTATAACCTTTAATTGCCCACTGCTTCCAAGCTATTGGAACGCGAACGATGAGAAATAGAAAAAAAAACGAGGAAAAGAACACCACTGACGCTTTTTGAGAAAATCGATGGCAAACTCTTCCTCCCCAAAATCGGCCACAAAATCCTTGACAAACTCATCCTTCGAGATAAGCCAGTGATACCAATACCGGACCAAAACCCGGTCGATCGTGGGCCATCGCCAAGCGCGCTCCATCGGATGGTGTTCCGCCGCAGCGTTCAAGAACGCATCGCACAACCGAGCGACATATAACAGCTCCCACTTCGTCCGTTCCCAGTCCTCCGCGCTTCCGGTAGACAGAGTGATCTGAGCCGAACTCCACAGGTACCGGCCGATCCAGAGAAGCGGCATGCGGTACGCCCGGGGGATAGTGATCTTCCGCCCATCCGCACGGGTGATGCTAGCCCACGGATCCTTCGACGATGCGAGCGTAGATTGTGGCGGGACGCTAAATGCCCCCTTATACCGAATGAACCGGGCGATTTCGAGATCAGAAAACCCGGACTGTAGATACGGGAGGTCGGCGGGGTGGCGCCAGGCGCCGTCGTGGGCCGGGGGATCTCGAGGGGCGGGTGAGACGTACCATTCCTTCTTCTCCCTGGGCCTGCCACCGACGGATTTCCTTCCTTCCTTCTCCAGTTTCGTCGTCTCTGCTTCGCGCTCCCGCTTGACGGACGCCGCCGTCCGCGCCAACGGCCGCGCGTCGTCACCCGTGCCGATGCGTCGTCGTTTTTTCGAGGGCCGCAACAACACCGGAGGAGCTGATATGATTACTGACTTGCGATGTTTCGCACCCCGCCGACTGGCAGAAGAACTGCCCTCGGCTTCATTCGCTTCCTCCCCCTCTGCATTGTCATCCAGCTCGGAGAGCGACAACGACGATTCGCTGGGTGTTTCGGGCTCGAGTTCCAGAAGAGATTTGCGTTTCGTGCGCGGAGGGAGCGTTATTGAGACCCTGGTTGGTGCGGGTTTTGCTGCTGCGGCTGTGGTTTGCGAATTTGTGTGATGGTGCGATTTTAGGGACGCAGACGCCGACGGGCGACTATTCGACGCCAAGTTTTTCGCAGGCATGGAGGAGAGGAAAAGCGGGTGAGTTATGGTAAGTTGTGGTTGGTTGAACCCGGAAAGGAAGGGGGAGGAAGGGTACGGAAGGAAAGTGGGGGTATGACTTCGTCCTTAGGTGCCAAACAAGCTTCAACATTATGAAAAACTCCGAGCCTCGAGTAACCCGCCCTTCCCGTGGCCCTCGTGTTTTGGATGGAGCGCTTAGAAGCCTTTATTGCTTGAAGTACGGATTTTATGCACTAAAAATGGAAGAAAACGAGCTGAGACGTATTTCACGGAATCGAGAACGACATCCTATATTGAGCTCACAGGCCAAGCCACTGACTGTTCGGCAGTAGGCGGGTAATCAGGGATGAGTCAGGTTGGTAACTAAGCCTCGGGGTAGATCCGTGGATGTTGCAATGGGCCAAGTTTAGGCAGCGTGAGTGTAATAGTGATGTATATATGCGCGTATAGCTCAGGGGCAGCGACAAAAAACACGGATATTTTAGAGTGTCAAGTAGGTGGAGGACATCCGCTTCCTGAGAAATGGGTACAACGAGGATGTAATGCACTCACTAGAACCTCGCGTACAAACCTGATCCCCCCTGCCTCGTTCCGCCCCAACGCAATCCCACCCAAATCTCGCTCGGATCGGGAGCACAATTTAATCGTCGAAAAGGCATATGTTGAGGACCAGATGTGCGCAGAGGGCATACCCGGGAATGTATGTGGGAAGATTCAAGATTGCCAGATAAGTGGGTGACGTGGCAGTGGCGAGGCAGAGGCCGGACAGGACCGGATCTCAATCCATGACGTGTTGATTGGGAGCGGTCACCCGGGTCTGATCGATAAATAAGCCTCAAGTCTCAAGGGGCCGTCTGTGACGTGCTTAGGCGGAGTTTTGTATCGCATAACATCATTTAACTGAAAACAAGGCAAATTGACGTTGGGTTCAATCTTGGTCGTCCTCTCGCTCCCAGAGGATTTAGCGAACTAACTTAACCATCATGATCATCACTCCCGAACTGTTGCGACTCTCGACTTACGGACTGCCGAATGGCAACCGCTTGTTCCGAGTCTTCCGACACTTCCCGTGGTGATGTTTTGCAAAAAGTATCAGGATCGCTTGGAAATCAGGTGGTATTGTGACGCCGAGATGGAGACAGGAAATACCAGAGATCATCGGTCTTCTTCAATCCCACGGATCCAAGCACCTCGCCTCTCCATCAGCTGACTACCCGGCGCACAGCATTCAGAGAGCCTCGAGATATTTGCGATTCTGATACAATTGGATGATCCAAAATATAGATAGAACGCTTGCTGCTGTGACTTGTGTTACCATCTGTGATTTGAGATTGAGCCGTCTGTGATGACCTTCCGCTCAAATCAGCGAATGCGGAATGCGTCGCTGAAACCGAGCAAGGATTGACCCTCGGGTTACGCACCCCCGGTCAATCTATACTGGAATCTGGATACTCATCGTTGGTACTTTCAACAACCTTGCGCCATTCCGACACGTGTTTCAACGACCGCTGCGGACACTACTTTTCAGTCCTGACCATTAGCTTTGATGACTAGATTACGGAGATGCGGCCCCGGTGAAGGACAGACGCCTTCTCCGTCGGAGAGCAACCGAGGCATTGTCGATCGTAACACGGAGAATCTGACGTGTTAATGTTTAAATGTTTGATTGGAGTCGTCAAGTGAGCAAGAAGCCGTTATCACTATCTCATAGGTCATCAAGATCAGACTTGCTGGCTGTATAAGACTGGGAAACGTTTCGTGCAAATCTGTATTCGCATCCTTCTTCACCTTCTCTTCGATTGAATTTTTTTTTTTTCGAATTCACACTCGTTCTATTTCTTTCTTTATTTCTCTCTTCAATCACTCTCTTTAAGCACCTTTTTCAACACCTTCTGACGCTGGCGAACGCATGTCTCACCACTACTTGTTGAAATCCACAAGAGACAGCCTTCCCCCATCCCCGACATCCTCCTCATCGTCGGCATCGATTTTCATGCCTAGAACACCCCCTTCGGACTCTGACCCAATCCATTCCGTGGGCAACCGCGCCAACTTCCAGCATCGGACTTGCAACTACGACGATTCGGCACTTACAGAATCGGATGCTCAGGAGAAGCGTTCTCAGCCTAGTATCGCACAGAGGCGGGCCTCACACAATGCTGTCGAGCGAGCTCGCAGAGAAACGCTGAATGGCCGTTTCTTGGTGAGATTTTCCCTTTTGGAGTCTATCACGTCGGTATTGACAGATGCGGTGGGTGGCTAGGATCTGGCTGCACTCTTACCGAATCTGAAACACCTTCGCCGGCCGTCCAAATCGTCCATCGTCAACTCATCGATCGCACACGTCCGTGCGGCGCGCCGCTACCGTCTCCTTGCTTCCCAGCAGCTCCGGACGTTGGATTCCGAGTGTGAGCAGCACCGCCGGGAAGTCAACCGCTGGCGTGCACGGGCGGGTTTCAAGCTGATACAAACGCCCCTTCGATCCGAAGCCTTCCAGCTCATCTTAAGCGGGGAAGAGCCGGAGTTCGACCCCCTCGATCTCGATGGGTTGTTCGAGGACGAGGACGAGCTGTTTCCGTCCCGACGACGCACGGCTCAGGCTGATGAGGCGTCGTGCGAGGGACCGCTGGTGCTCGTCGATCCGTACCAGGGCCATGCAGATCGCGGCACGCGTGAGCACGAGAAACAGTTCGACGAGCGAGATGCGCACGTATCTGACGCGACACCCACGATATATACACCTCCAGATCATCTCCCGGCGTTCCCATCCCCGCTGCGCTCCTTTCCACGTGATTCCTCCGTCCAGTCATCCCCGCAGTATCTTGAAACACCGCCAAGCAGCGGGTACAGCGTGGGCCCCACCGGCTTCGCCGAGCAGCAGGAGGAAGCCTGGATGTTCTTCGAAGGACAGTGGGGAAATTGAACGACATACCGCACACGAACAACTCAAACTTCGCGGTTGGTTACCCGATCGCTTTTTGATGATACCCAATCATGATGATGATTCAGCAGTGAATCCGTTTGTTGAATGTTTAATCTGCATCTCTGATCTGTAGTTTTGACGCACATACTCATTACGATGTTTTGTGTACATGTTCCGCGCTCCTAGTGGAATAGATCGCACACGACTCTAGTGATGTTGAACTGATTCAGGAAGAAGCAGCAGGTCTGCGGTGTTCCTTGTGAGCCCTGAATAACTCAGGACATTATGTGCCACAAGTCAGCGCTGTACCTTATTGTTTTCCAGCTCCAAGAGGCTCCAAGCAACACTGATCACGCAACCCCGCCTATTGTCCATATCCAACGGATCAACTATCACTCCATCACCCATCAAACCATCAATCACCACGCGGCGGTGTCAATTGTCAATTGTCATCTGCAAGGGCCGCTGACCCGGCCTTCTTCTTCTCGTGCTTCGTTGTCGTCTTTCCAGAAACCGCCAGCCCTTTCATCCCCTCAGGAGGCGAGCGAGCATGGCTGCGTCCCTCGAGCACCTGCGCGCGGAGATGGCCGCCTGGCAGGACGCTCTCTCTGCTTACGACGCGGGAGACCTGCAGCGGTCCATCCGGCTCTTCGAGGCGAGTCACGCACATATGGCGCACGGGTTCTTTGAGCCTCGCCGAATGGGGTCATACGGAGACTGAACGCCTTTGCAGCCCATCGCGGAGACCTCCAAGATCATCGTGAACGTGGCGCTGATATACGACCGCCTGGGCGAGCGCGCGGAGGCGATCGAGCAGTACACAAAGGCGATTGAGCTAGACAAGTACCTCGCTGTCGGGTAAGTCGACTCGTTCCCGCCATGCATCCCCGTGCACCCCCGCTGACGTCCACTCTCCCCCCTCCTCCGCTTGGCAGGTACTTCCAGCGCGGCGTGTCGCGGTTCCACGCGGGCGACTTCGAGGGCGCGGCACAGGACTTTGGCGAAGCGGAGCGAATGATGCGGACCAACGTCGAGATGTGAGTCGTCACTCCCGTATGTCCGTTCGGTCCCGAGGACATCTCTGATTTCCCCCCAGCGACTACGACGTGCTTGGATTGAACTACAAATTGAAGCTTCCCGAGATCCGGTACAACAAATGGCTTGCCTTGTCCCGACTGGACCGTACCGCGGACGCACGGGACGCTTTGAAGGCTTTCAACAAGAGCTCGCCCTCGCCAGATCTAAGTGCTAGGATGAAAGCTTCGGTTAAGGATGTCATCAATGCCGAGCCTTGCTCTTTGGTACTTTCACGAACTTTTTCCTCTTGAGACAAAGAGCCAATTTTCTGCCCAATAGCCTTCCGGGACCTTATATCGGCCTTCACCCATCAAGTTGCAGATGCTCATGGGCGCAGCTCCCCCCTCCCCGTCCTTTCCCGCTCCTCCTGCCACCATTCCGCCAACTACAACAGTAGCTGAGCAATCAACAAGAATGGAATCCTCGTCGAAACCAAGCAAAAAGCGACACAAGAAGAATCAGCAGTCGATAAGTTCTGGCGAAGCTCGTGAGTGCCCCGTTTTATTCTGGTGCCTACCAAGATGTTGACACAGCCTTTATTAGCCGATGCACCTGCCGGTGGGTATCCGAAATAGTTCCTCTTTATTTGCGTATGGCTGACTGGATCAACTCACATACAGATGTGACCAGCTCCGAGTCATCACGCGTCCAGCGCTCCTGGTTCTTCCGCCTCTTCTCCATCTTTACAAGGAAGGCTTGAGAGCTCTTGTCCCCCATATCTGCGTGCTTTGCTGTCTTATGTTATGTATTCTATATATCTATCTATCTCGTACCCGTAGGATTTTTTTACATACCTTAGAACATCTCCGCGGTCGGTTGGAATCTGGATTTCTGTGTACTCTTAATTTATTGCGTGGTTTGCGCGGTGGCTGCCTGTGAAACCAAGAAATGGGGCTTACATTTTTAACTTGTATTCTGAGGCAAAAAGGCTTCATGCATCAGGTAACAGTATCAAAAATCCAAAACAACCTAGTTGTGTGTTCTTACCCCTTTCTCTGTCACTTGTGAACAATCTCTTTGGGCATTAAACCATACAGTGCAACAATATGCTCCATGTTCAGTTTTGCCCATTCCTGCAAAGAATCATGTCTGAGAGCAGTGAGTGCTAAGGTGATTGATAAGGTCCTGGATGTGCTTGATAATGCTCAAATCTGGATACAAGATTGTTGGCAACAGAAGTAGCACATTGTTGTCTACGTTGCCAAACAAGTCATTGATGATTGGCAGCATATCTCTCCGCATGCTTTTCCAGCAACTTCAGAGGTTCAGTGGAGTATTTCTCAACATCATAGTAAGCGAGTCCAGTTAATTTGAGTTCTCTATTTGGAACTTGTTCCTGGTCTAGTCCGACCATAAGTCTAGAATTTTATGGGCAATAATGCTATCTTGGACAAATATGTTGCTCCTCAAACTGATCTTCAGTGGGTGCTCCCTACGCCCGGAACCATCAAAGCCAGGTCAGACTCTTTTCTTTCTCAATCCGGACCGGGACCTACATGTACTTATCATAAGTGTAAAGCAAAAATCAGACATCGGCAGGCAAAAGAACCGCGGGGCGCAAGTTGACAAGCGCACCGGATGCGACGGAGGTCATCCATCAGACGAAAATGCCTGGCGACCGGAGCAGAGGTACAGAAGCAATGGATGTTCAGTGAGATTGTGTCTCACCACGTGCAGCGACAAAAAAGGGCGAGCACGTGAAACATAGAGGTGTCCACTGACTATTCGCGCTGCGATACCATTCAGAGGCACAGTAGAACAGGACACAGAGGGAGAAGAGGGTCAAACTTCCTATTAAACATGACAGTGTAGTTTGTCTCAATTCCGCACATAAAACAGATACTACTAAACGTGACGCAGAAAATCTCCGAAGAGAAGAAAACATCAAAAAATTGAGCCATGCAAAACAAGGCAGGCTTAAACAAGTGCTCTGACCCAGTGCACACAGCAGCCAATCAGGCCACCATGCCCCGCGAGCCGAAGGAGAGACGCAAGCGTCGCCGTCATCCCACGGCGCTCTGCAGCATCTCGTGCGCATCCGACCCGCGACTACAACACAAGCATCCTGTGGAGATCCCGATCCAGCGGCCGATGAGCGCGCGGACGATCCATGGGCGCGCTGGATATGCGGCGGAGGGACTCCAGCCCCCGGACGAAGACGGTGTGTGCGGGGGAGCGAGCGGAGTCGGTGGGATCTGACGTGGTGCCGCAGTGACATCATCCTGCCCCGGAGCAGCGGAGGATAAACTGGACGCCAATTTATTGTACTCCGGGGCCACGTCTAGCGTCGAAAGCGACTGCAGAACAGGAACGACGACGAAGGGCAAATGCGCCTCTCACTCTCAACGTGAACGGTTCCTGGTCCCTGCGACATGAGAGTCGGTCTTCGGGAGTGCTCCAGGAAGGTTCACGCGGATTTTGCGCCTCGGAGATGACAGGAAAAGTCCTGCCTGTGCGGGACGAGCGTCGCGGAGTTGGGCGTGTCGCAGCTTGTACACGTGTCCGCTATTTGAGTCCATCGAGCCGAGCCACGTGACACGGGATCCATCCCCGTTCCCGCCTCAGACGATGCCCGGGAAGATTATGTTTTTATGAGGATTATTCGATCCTTCGACTGCATATTGGCTGGCCTCAACCTGTCTCAACCCTTAGATTGAACAAATTAGAGCCATGGCTTGAACTGTGGGCGCCGGGATGTCCCGTTCCGTGACGGTGTCCCCGTGACGTCCCGCGCTAATTTCCTGCCTCACGTCACGGTGATTCTCAATTGTTTTCATCCGCACCCATCCCCACGACCTCCCCGGTCCCAACCCCAAAGAGCTGTTCATCAAGCGCATATGGACCCCGCGCTGCATCACGGCATGTCCACCGTCGACGCGGAGGGCGAAAGCAGCACCGAGATCGAGGACCGCCTCCTCTCCATGTCGGCGGGAGAGTCATCCCGCCTCCGGCGACGGCCTGCCGTCGCGCTGCGCGACACAGGGCCCGCACCGCGCTCCCGGGCGTCGGGGTCGGGCTCCTCCCGCGGTGGCACGGGCATGGGCACGGGCAGTGGGAGCAGCAGCAGCATGCGGAAGGAGTGGTACGAGCTGTCGTGTGGGGGCGCCGCCGCCGCGGTGGAGGCACCGCAGTACCCGTGGTCCACCCACAGGGGCGCTACAGATCTCGAAGGGCGCGAGGGCGCCGATAAAGACGACTACAACGATGATGATGATGATGAAAGAGACGCGCGGCCGCCCGTGGAGATGATCCCCGGCCAGCCGGCGCACAAACGACGCCGCCTGTGTGCCGTCCCCCGCACGGATCGCGCGCGGACTACGAACGGGTGCGGTGGCACCGTGCACGCGCGCGTGGCACAGGGACCGCCGGTGCGGCCGCTTCCCCGGCCGTTTGGGATGGACCGTGCAGGGAGGGAGCAGCACGAGCGGGAGCAGACAGAGCGGGAGCAGCGATTGGGGTTCTGGGTCGGCACGGTGTCTGGGCGGCACACCACTGTCGTGCCGCTCGATGGGGTGTACTTCTCCGAGAATCAGCGGAGGGCGTTAGAGATGTTTGCACGGGATGAAGAGGATGGGGCTGATGGAGTGGATAAGTTTGGCTGCGGACAAAGGGAGTGCGGATGCGAGATGCAGGGCGTTGGCTGCGCAGTTTGGTACGTTCATACGACGCTTACGATCACACGACACTGACGACGAGCGTAGCGGAAACCCTCTTGGCATACTGCGTCTCTTCTGCGCCAACCACAATGGTGGCACGAATGAAAGCGGATACTGGTTCTTTCGGGGAGCTGTCAGCGCGACTGCTTTGCCCACATCGAATCTCAATGCTCAACCCACTCGACGATCGATGTACGACCGGCGCAGAGACAGCTGGTACACCAATACTGCCCAGTCCTTTTCGATGGAGGACTCAGACGACGATGAAGAAAGCATGCTTCTGGCTGCACCCCCACCGATCAGCGTCGAGGAGTTCGAGGAAGCACAGCTAGCAATGCGACGGCGAGCAAGCCTCGTAGAACGCCGGTCGAGCCTACGATCCCTCATTGCCGATGCTTCCACAGCAGGTGACACAGCTCCTGACCCTCCCGAATCTTCCACACGTGAGGCTCTTGTTCCCGATGCCCCGGGGTTTGTCGTCGTGACCGATGAGATGGTTGCCGGTGCACCCGCACAGCCTCCGCCGGGAGATGCTGCTGGTGCTGGTGCTGGTGGTGGCGACGTGGCAATGGGGGCGGTGGCAGAGAACGAGCCTGCGCCGTCTGCTGTAGACTCTGAACCGATGCCGTCGGCCTTGGCCTCGATCGCAGCAGAACGCGCACGGTTGACCGGCCTGCGGGAACGCATCAGCACGCTCGTGGCCCTGCGCAGCTCTTTGTCAGCGACGGCCAACTCCCCCGCTTCACACGCCGCGGTGACCTCCCTCCTCCAAGGCTTCCGCGACGTCATCCAAGATCAGTCGCGCACGCTCACCAGTCTGGGGCGGCTGCTTGATGGCGCGGAGCAGAGTTCCGCTTCTGGTGCGGTCAGCGACGAGGGCCGCCGCCTGCTTGTGGATGCACGGGAGACCATCGCGCGGGCCGAGGCTGCGCTGAGACATGCGCGGAGAATGGCAGACTCCGGAGCGACGAGTGTTGCTACCTCCATGCCCGGCATGTTTTTCGATCGTTAGCTTGTGTTTGCGGCTATGCTTGCTCCCTTATTTTTCGCTATTCGTTGCTCTCCTCCTTGCACGCGTATCAACTTGACCCGGAAGGCTATGTACATAGGCAGATTCAACAGCTTGAGACGGCTGCAAAATATTACGATCTCATCTCCATCATTGATATTTTCAGAGTCTCATTGATCAGCTGCAATGCTATCGATAAAGTGATCAATTCGGCCGCAATGGTTGTGGACAAAGATGGGCCTGATGCACCCACTGATCATCAGTTTCAGCAGATCTCTGCCCACCTCAGAGATACGTGAGGAACAGTTTCCCCTAGCGGTTTACATTTTGGTCCAAGTCGGCGTGCGAGACGACTTCGAACTGGCTTGGTGCTCCTTGGCACGATCCCCGCACCGTACATGCGGGTGCGAGATCAGTCATCCAATTGAAACAGGATCCTCACCCCGATCTGCTTTATCTGATGTGCTTCTAAGAGGGTAGATAATTTCCGTTCGACAAAAGTTCCTTCGGAATTAGACCACGGTTCAAGAAAGGTCGAATCTGTACTTTCTCGATGAACAGTTTCGGTTTCCAAGCCCATGGTCGCTCAGGCATGTGATTCTCTGCGGGGATGTCCCCGGCGGGACTAGCCGAACATCACGTCATCACTCTTGACATTTGTGTGGTATCACCCTAGTTTCTACAGCACCGTGGCACAAGATTGGCATTTACTCAGATCCTTGGGCTACATACAATCGATGAGACTCGGAACCAAATTGCGACCAAGGAGAAAGTTCCTCACACTACAAACACTGGTGTCGCGCCCCCGTCCTTGACTTGCGGGACAACAGATGAACCACAGCTCGGTGTTCCATCTGAGCAGCACAAGGACTGGTGTGCGTGCATCAGTTAAGATGCCCAAAGACACACAGTCCCGCCTGAAAGGAGAGGAATGCATTCCCCGATTGGTTCGCCTAAATTCAGCCTCACATATCGCGGAAACAGATTCCGCAATCACCTATATATATATCTTGTCGGTTTTGGCTTTCGTGCATGCGAGAATACTTCCTATCATAATTGTGCTCATGAATCCTGTCAGCCCTCGTTACGCAGCTGGTGGCAGGCGTCGAGCGACAAGGTACGCTGTGTCTATCATGTGTGCCTGCGCTCATGCCAGTCGTCGACTCATCATCCACCGAGTCCTATCGAGTCCCGCGAATCTCCATGATCTCCTCCATGCCGTCGATCCGGTCGACACCGGGCATGCCCTATTCTCCGAGATTCCTCATCCCCATGTAACAGAAGCATCCGTGTAGAGACTATTACTAGCCGTAGCGGTCATATGCAAACCAGACCTAATCCACACTGGAATTACAGAAATGTACCCTAAACCGCCACCAAGTGCGACATTGACTCGACGTTCGTCCCTCCGCTGTCTTAGATCTAGATCACTACGAGTGCGCCATCTGCCCAGCGAATGGCATGTACCAAGGCACCATTCAAGCACTCGATGTGAATCTATGGCGGTCCAAGCGTATCGAAAACAAATTGCCACGTAGAAAAGTCTAAGAATAGATCATACGGTAAGTTTTAGTACGCTGGTATTGGATGGATATGCGAGGGAATGCGATGTCTATATATATACGTGTCTATTTCTGGTTCGTGAGCGGGCGCGGTGGATCACATAGAATATAGAAAGTCCAAGTATACAATACAATACATGCGGGAGGCACGACGAGAATAGACGGACTGAGAGAACCTATGTGGCCCCCACATTGTTGCATCAGTCCAGCACGCTGAACGGCGCAAGAAAGCACACACGAACGAAGAGCAGAAGCTAGCGCCCCGGGCTCGTTTTGCCGCCCAGCGAATCGTATTTGGCGTTCTCGGTCCGCGCCCACGACGAGCCGGAAGCTTCGCGCGGCGAATACGGCATGGTCGCCATCGTCTTCAAGTGGACATCAGTGCTCGAAGCGTTCGCCGACGTGCCGGATGAAGACCACGGGTCTTTGCTGTGGGAAACGGTTTTGATCAGACATGTGCGAACAAGCGCAGCCGCAGCAGGGATCGGAGAAACGAGCCGGCCGCTTCCGTGGATGGTGTCTGGCAAGATCGTCTCTCTCGCGCTCGGCCAGCCACATCAGGCGATTTCCTTATTTGGAAGTGACGAAAAAGTCCGTGAACTTGGAAGGTGGTGGGTGAACGGTACTTCGACCAGGACAGTACTACGACCCAAATGTCTTTTGGGAGAACCCCATCCCACACATGCTCACACGCCGCCGTCCCCAAGGCTTTTGGCAGATCCGAGGAGAACCACTCACTTGACGCCATACGAAGATCTCGCCAGGATTCGAGAAGCCTCCTCCGCCCCGTATTGCTCCGCCAATTGACTGCGCGACCGTCAGCAGCGGAAATAGCACACGACGGCTGACATGCCTGGCATAGCGATCCACAATGAGCGCGACGTCCTCCTGTTTCAGTCGATAGGCTCTGGGCATCATCCCCTTGCCGAAACGATACGTGACGTGGTTGCTGCACAAGAGTGCGCAGACGATCACGCCTGTGAAGGTTATCAGAGGCCGTAACCCGAGGGAGAGCACAGGCTACCGCACCGATGTGGACTGGCACCAGCCCAAACGAGAACGTGTAGAACCGCTCCAGCGCCAGCCGCTCGAAAGCGAGAAACTGGCTTTTGCATCCAGGCAGCACCGATCGCGAATAGCATGTCGCGGACAGCGTGGCCTCGACAAACGGGCTGAAGTATCCACAGCACTGCAGCGCGCCCTGGATGATCAGCCGGTCCTCCGCCCCCAGCTCGCGACTCCACTGCTGGTTGATTTTGCCGTCCAGATTGAGATTCCGGCGTTTGTAAGCGAGATACCCCGGCACGACCATGAGCCCGAACCCGATCCATAAGAAAAAAGTGTACACGGCGAGGAAGGGGCGGTTGTTGAGCAGGATCCCTGGGAAGCCCAGCAGGCCGACGAAACAGAGGAACGACGACGCGAGCGTGGACAGCAGCAGCTCCGTGGAGTTGGCGGTCAGCAGCACCGCCGACACGCGGAACACGCGGAAGTACACGAGGAGCAGCGTGATGAGCGAGGCGAGTGCGTAGCTTATGAGCACGAGGTTCGCGGCGAACAGGATCACCTTGAAGCGGGTCCAGCGCACTCGCTTCCCCGCCCGCCCCACACCAGCGAACAGCGACCGAGATCGCCCGCCCCAATCGTCCTCGTCCTCGTCGCGCTCGCCCGGTATTCGGTCCGCGCCCGCTCCGAACGCATCGACGCCCCCGCCGCGCGCGAACCCCGGGATCCGCGGCACGCCCTTCCCACTGCTTCTAGCGCCTTTCGGTTTCCGCCTTGTGACGAGCGAGGAGGAGAATTTGGCGGGGAGGTAGTTGTGTGCGAGCGACGTGACGCTGCCGGCGACGGACGGGGGGCGTGAGGACGACGAGGACGATGCGGAGCCTTGGCGGGCAGCGAACGGTGCGTTGGGGGGCTCGAGTGAAGACGTGGAACTGTTGAGGGGCGGCGACGGTGAGGATGCGGGCGCCATGAGGTGGGACGAGCTTGACATGGGCTCTGCGCGATTCTGCCCGCGAGCGAGTTGAGAGCAGAAAAGAAGGGTTCGCCGTCTGTCAGCGGATGTAGCGAGGTAGGGGTTCTGGGCGGCAGCTTGAAACGAGGAGGCCCAGCAACGGGGGGCGAGAGGGTGAGAGGAGGGAAAAGTAAGAAGGTGTGCACCGTTGCCGGCGTGCGTGGGTTCGTGCGCCTGCAGACGCCGGTGGAGGTTAACCTTGTAGAGCTAGTGCTTGGACAGACAGGTGCAGGGAAGTCCCCGCCAAGAACACTCTTTCCCCGATCATTGGGTCAGGGCGATGAGCGAAACTTGGGTCGAGAGATGACGTAATACATGACCGCGCCGACAATGATAAATGATTGCCGAAAGATAGCCCTGATCTATCATCTGCTGCGGATGCGACTGTACGTAGTCCAGACTACGAGTTCGGATTCTGTCCGTGCGCCAACCGATGAGCGGAGAGGGAAATTACCCTAGATTTCGTCTTATCCCCCATCCGCAGCACAATTAAGTGAACCAGGTGGCATGTGATGTGATGGAGACTCGCCACCGGACGTCACAAGGTACTGGATGGATGAACGTGGGCCGAACAAAAGCTATGTATTAACGGTCGCGGCAGTGAGGTCAGAGATGCATGCATATCACCGAAGCAAAGGCGAAACACAATTGCTCAGGGGGCAGGATCACATCATGAATCGGTCGCAGTGGGCAACCCGGACGCAACCTTCGAATATAGCGGTTGAGAAGGGGAAAGCTATGACAGCCACAATTGAAGTCAGTGCGAGAGGAGAAGAAAGAAACGGCTCTCCGAACGGACAGGTTCTGTGAAGGAATGCCGATTTAATTTGGGACTTGAAAGACTTTGAATCCGCGCGCATTACTGCCGCCCGCTCCTCTACTACTCCTGAGAGCCTCCCGCAATGCAGGTATATCGATGGTAGCCCTCAAGCACGAAAGAGGCTGATGACGGATTAAATCATCAGGCGCTGACCAGAGCGGATGTTGCGGATGTGACTAGCCTTCATCTCGAGGGCATTAATTCCGCTGTCGTCCTCCCGAGCACGTCTGACGGAATCATAAAATATCGGCTGAGCCGGATTTCCTTTGCACCGTTCCAAACTTGCGGAAGTTGCGGAAGCAATGCCGCACTAGAAGGCAACCAGTGCCCGGCACCACAGCTCCCAGCCTCTGGAGATGAGGGGCCCTCTTTGCTGACAATTATGTGCATAAAACGGCTGACATGCTGATCCAAGGTGTGTCGCCTGCATTTACTATCACGGACCCACCGCTAGAGTGGACTCTTGTTAGTAGACCCGGATAACGTCATTTGCGAAGCGCAAATCGTTCTACTTACCAACCGACTGCGATGACGTAGGGCGGGCACGTCCGCTCCTTACAAGTTCTCGCTGGCTCCACTCGCTGTTTGCATCATCCCAGCTCATCCCAGCCATCTCTCTGCCGGCCCGGGGGGATAAGGTTGCGAGCTGCGAGGTATAAAGGCTCCGAATGGGCTATCTCCAACGTGTCCGTTGGTTTCCATGCCCCGGACTGAAAGAACTGATAAAATGAAGGGATCCCCCCGCTCTGCCCGATGATTGCCTCCGCCCCATCCCGTACCAGAATCCGTGCGTCCCCCTAAAATCCATCCCAATTACGCGTCTTGGCGACCAGCGACGACGATGTGTACTGGGAGGCGTAAAATTGAAGCTTGCTTGATGTGATGGGGATCGTCATTGGCTGCTAGCCTCGCATATCACGGCCGGCAGGCGTAGCAGCTGATGCCAGGACGCCTAATTCCCCAATGGGGATATTCGTTCTCACGCGGCAGACATCTTTTGACCTGCGTGGTCTTTCAGTTCTTTCAAGTCGACGAGTTCTTCAGCGGGCAGGCACCAGACGTTTCTCAGCACACTCCCATCCCCACCGCTGATCGGTGCGAGAGGTCCGTCTCGTTTGTCGCGCCTGTTTCGCAGTAGCTCTGACGCGTCCTTTTAGCACGCACACCCATCGACACGCGAATACTGCGCACACACAAGGCTTTGGAGCCCCAGCTGGATCGCGCGATCATGAGATACCACTCGCCGCTTTTCTCCGGACGCGACTCAGTCGCCTCAGACCAGGTCCTGATTGTCTCGTCTCCCGTCTTTCATCCCGTGACTCACTTTTCGCGTGCGGCAGAGCGTCGCCACGATCGTGCCCAGCGCGCCGCCCACGCCTGCTGGCCCCCCAAAGGAGGAGGAGGAGGAGGAGGATAGCCGCTGGTCGGAGGTCGTGCCACCGGATTCCGCGCTGACGTTCGGTGTCGAGTGGGACGGCGGGGATGCGGGGATGACTATCTCGCCAGTCGAGATGGACGAGGCGACCTTTCGACGCGCACGAGGCAGCGCCCGCACCGCTCCATCCGACATCGACGGCCGCTCACAAGTGCTCACGATCGGGACCGGGGGCTCTCTCTTTGGGCTCGGCCGAAGCGGAGACGCGGGGGAGGGGCGCGCGTCAGAGTACACCACGACCCTGCAATTTCTGAGCGAGAACCACGGGTTCAAGTTCGCCGACTCTGCGTACTTCCCTGGGGCCCCGAACGCCGGGCGCACGTCGAGCACGCTGGACGGGCTGGACGTGTATCTGCGCGGGTCGATGATGGGCAGGGCGCATAACGGGAATCGCTACGCCTCGTGTTTCGAGGAGCTCGACGGCACGTTTACGTTCGATCCGCGCACGTCGTTCGCACGCGACTGGTTGCATGACGAGAAGCGAGACAATGTGAGCGATGAGGGATTCTCCGAGGGCGGGTTGTATGAAGGTGACGACAGCCATCTGGTGCGGCTTTCTCCGCTGTGTTACTTCCACCGAGCTCATTCGCAGTCAGCCATCCCGGTTCTCGACCACTACGACATCGACCTCCAACTACGTGAATGTCGACTTCCCGGCCGATATGATGAACGACGCGTCCTCCGCTTCCTGGTCGAAGCTCGATGCCCCGAATACGCCGGGTTACCAACGTACGTCCAGTGACCGTTCCGTATGCCTCATCCACTCGAACGCGGCTGCAGAGATGTTCCCCAGACAACCCACAGCCAGCGGCAGCGACCGCAGCGCTAACACCGCCCCGAGCAGGAATCGCCTGCACAAGCACCGCGCAACCGCCCCTGCTGCGGGGCCCGCACCGCCAGTCGACGTGCTCAGCCGCTCCGGATACAACCACGACGTGCCGTCCCCCACACCCCTCGCGCTGCCCCTCCCGCCCCCAGTCCCGTGCCGGTCGCACTCGTCCCCGGGCCCCGCGCGCGCCCGGCCGCCCACCGCCACAGCCTCGCCCGCCGTTGCCGTGTCGCCCCGCGCGAGGAATCTGTCGATGAAAACGCTGCCGGCGAAGCTGCGCAGCATCGGAAGCAGCCACAAGGGGAAGAGTAAGCCCGAGCCCGCCGGGTGGGTGTGGGTCGATGTCAGGGAAGATCGGCTTCCCCCGGTTCCGACGCTCGATCGGCTGTTGATGCCAGCCTACGAGATGTGATTGTGATGCGATAGTGAACAACTGAACATGAACATGAAGTGATGTGTTAATGAACTGCTGGAGTGATGTCTCTGTTTTTTACCCTTACACACGCTGGTTGGACGGAAGCCTCGATGGCCTGAATTTGTTCTCTTAGATATACGCTGTATTTGTGCCTGTGAATTTCATTTGAATAGAAAAAAAACGACCGTCACGTATAATTCTGGAGCCAGTCTCAATGAGAGGAATGCACGTGAGAGAAGTCTACCCCCGGCCATCTCCGGGCAAGGATCAATGTCACGGACAGACGTAGAGTAGATATTTTGTGCCGCACTCTATATCACCGTCTATCATCTCAATAAAACGGCCAGGTCAGGTACAGTACGGGGCAAAGCAAGGTAATGACTTCCTTTCCCAGAATGGAGTCTCTTGGAATCCGTGATGTCGTCGGAATGAGCTCAGCTGACCGTAATAGAACCTCATAATTATACGACGTCGCGCATGATCACCTCCCGACGCGGAAGTCGCACGGAGGAGCCTGTTGCTACCAACCACCGTCGCAGGCGGGCAAAGCGAGCACTAATTCGTCGACCACGGCGGCAACACTGGGCAGAGTCGGTCCTGCGGGACGTGGTTTGGATAACTTCTCCGAGCAGAGACGCCGTTGCCCCGGGTCGTTGATCAGCGGTCGATTGCGCGCATGAGCATCGCCAAGACCCGCGCGGATCCAATCGGCGAGCCCGTCGCCACCCCGGTCAAGCCGTGCGCTCGCTCCATTCTTTGCGGTTTCGTGATGTGGAACGTCAGGGCGGAGCAGAGCAGAGGGCAACACAGGGCCAGGAACGGCATTGTGCGCCACGGGAGGACACAAGACATCTCTTGGTCTGCGCGCCCACCATCCTCTCGAATCTTGATCAGCAGCCCAAATGATATCAGTGGCTCACTTGGCGCATCGATACTTGCTAGCTTGAGAACCATCCGCGATGTCGTCGCGTTTGGTGCCCCGTGCGCAGCAGAGAATGGCACAGTCGGAGATCCTGGCACGGAGAGCGGATCGGTTCCATTCTCCGGTTTCGGGAATAGGGGAAGTCAGACACTCAACGTCGAGTCCCAGCGCTATGCAAGTCGAGAGCAGATGTGCCATGAGTTTCTTGCACACCCTCCGACGACTAAATCCTTAGCGCGGCTCTTTGACATCGATTAATGATCACACATTGCCATTGGATGTCAAATGACACGATAATTTACGAGAAGGGAGGGATGAACAAATCGTGTCACCAGCCGATCGTCTGTGAGCACGGGTCAGACTCGACGACGCTCTCTCGACGAGTGGGGAGAGCGACTCACCCCATCCTGGGGATCGTACATGGGTAGTAGGTCCTTGATACACCCAAACCGAATCTGCCCGGGATCGATGAAGAAGCCGCTCCATCTTGAGACGGTCTCGATGATTTCATCTCGTCTTAGAAGGTCCTTCGGGCTCTCGGTCCATAGCGCAGCGTGGGTGACCCGGTCAAGCAGCTGGTCGTCCGACTCGAACGTCACCGCGCGCGTGTGGAAGAAGATGCCTTCAGGGAGGTCGGAGGGCGTGGGGACGGCGTACAGCGGGGGAGGATTCACGACTGCGAGAACGGGTTCCGCCGTGAGTCAACGGGATAGGGGCTGGGGCCTCGTACATGTGAAACGGGTGGGACGGACCTTGTGCGTAAGGCACGCGCTTCTTGTCCTCCACCGGCAGCGAGTGCCTCCACCCATCGAATGCCAGCAGGTAGCTGAAGAACGGGCCGTACATCGTCGCCGCCGAGGGCGGGCAGACCGCCATAGCGACGTGCTGGAAGTACTCGGGGGGCATGAAGTACCCGCTGAACACACCGTGCTTCTTCCGCCGCGAGTCGTCTGCGCGGTCGTGCTGGTGGCGGCGGTCGATCATGCTGTGCTGCTCCTGCTGCTACCTGCGGTAGTGGTGGCGGAGAGCAAGGAGCAAGCCGTCGAGGATAAGAAATGTATTGATGCGGAGGAAAAAGGGTCTCTTCTCCGCGATTGATGTATTTGAATGGTCCACGTGCAGTCCTCAGATCGCTCGGTAAGCAGCGGCCCGCCATTGACCTGCATGCCTTCTGCTAGGTGCGGATGCATCGTCGTGGTTGGAGGCGCGCGGTTCCGAGGTCGCCCACGATCTCCAGATGGCACCTGCGGGTGACGTAGCTGGCGTCTCGCACGGGGGCAAGAAGACTGCAGAGACCCCGCGGCTTTCTTCCTGCTATTAGTGCACATGAAACGATCGGCCATCACGCCTTGGCATTGATGGTCACTCTGATCGATGATGCAGTCCTTGTGCGATCGCACCCCGGCCACCCCAGACCGCGGTTCATAAGAGGAACATGACTCAGCTGCCGCCGCATTCTGCTTCATTACTCAGAGGATGTCTATTCCATTCAGACGCTGTCCGTGCTGCTGAAGCTACCGACGAACCCGGGAGTAGACATGATAGATATCAATGACTTGCATCATGTGGTTCCTGCGGCAAGAGGCGGCCACGGCCGCTGCCTCGCACCCACTTTCGAAAGGAGTTAGCAGAATGGCCCCGTGATTGGCGGTCCACGGAAGCCTTGGTTCGACAAAATTAGGCCTTGCCTGGACCCATGTCTCTACTTCTAAAAACGCCGTCGGTTGCTATCAGCACTTGATTTCTTCTCGATAAACGTATCGCAGGAAGTTCATGCACGACGTCTCATCGAAGCACTTGATTCCATACATATCGAATCGTCGTTGCACTAGGGCTCGCCCTTTGCCTCCCATCTCTTCCAAAGTACCCATGTCCGCCGTCCCATGGTGCCACCTCGGTCGTCAAGGGTCGTCTTTTCGATCGAGGACGGGGCCTTGAAATCCGTCTCTAAATCCGTGTTTGGTCTTAGCCATTGCAACCCCCACGTGGTGGGAGTCGTAAATGAGCAGAGGACAGAGCGTGGTGAGTCGTAACCCTTGGGAAAACCTCTGGTAACAAGTATAAAAGCGTGTCCCCGTCATCGAAACTCGCATCCCCCTTGTTCGCGTTTTTTTTGGTACAGACATGAAGGCAGTCGTCGCTGCCCTCGCTCTCGTTTCGGTCGTTGCTGCTGATCGCACCTTCACCATCCACAATGCTTGGTGTGTTTCTCCCCTCCTTCTTTCACTTTTGCTGCATCAATGCTTACATGCCACCAGTCCCTTCACGATCTGGCCTGCGATCTTCACCTCGGGCGGAAGTGCGCCGAACTACCCGACCGGCTGGGTTGCCGAAGCGTCGACCTCGGTCTCCATCTCAGTCCCCGAGAACTGGGTGCGTGTCGGCGATTCGATTCGGGCCACCCAAGCTTACCTCACAACCTCACACCCACAGAACGGGCGGTTCTGGGGCCGCCGGAACTGCGACTTCTCCAAGACGAATGGTCCGACGTCCTGCCTGACAGGCGGGTGCAACGGCGGGCTGCTGTGTGACACCAAGACCGGCACGGGCGTTCCTCCCGCCACCCTGGCGGAGTTCAACCTCGGTGCGAACGGACAGGACTTTTACGATGGTGCGCCGGGTGCTGTATTCAAACTCCACCCCATTCAATCGAATCTCACGCAGTTTCTCTCGTCGACGGGTACAACCTCCCGTGCGTACGCCCCGATCCGATCTAATCTAAAGCCACCCAACCCGCATACAGTGTGCGCATCGAGAACACCGCCGGCTGCGTCGTACCCGAGTGCGCCGTCGACCTCGGCCCCGGGTGCCCGGCGAACCTGATCGGGCCGTTCGACTCGACCGGGTTCCCGGTGGGCTGCAAGACCGCGTGCTACGTCGAGTCGCTCGCGGGCAACGCCGCGAACTCGCACAACTGCTGCAGCGGCGCGTTCGACACGCCGCAGACGTGCCCGTCGTCCGGGGTCCAGGATTACAGCTACTTCAGTGCGTCGCGTGGCTGATTTCTGTTCTTTTGCTTCGAGTTCTTTTTATTTTCCTTTTCTTTTCTTTCGCGGTATGAGGATGCTGGCTGATGGGAGATTGCAGAGGACGCGTGCCCGACTGCATACGCATACGCGTACGACGATCTAACCTCCCTGTTCTTGTGCGACAGCGCCCTCAAGCCCGATTACACCGTCACGTTCTGCCCTCCCGCTTAGATTATTACCCTAGTGTGCTAAATCCCAACTAATTACCACACACTTATGACTCGCTCGCTGTCCTTATTCCCAATCCGCGGCAGAATGATCATTCCGACATCGCTGAAGTCTCTGCTAGTTGCTAGAAACGGCCTGATGATGCGCTGGTTGCAAGCCCTCGGCTAAGGACACACAAGCGGCGGGCTCTTGTTCTTTTTCGACCGTTTTGGGAGGGGCAATTGCCGCACAAACTGGGGAAATGCTGAAAGAGATTGGCCTAGAGAAGATCTCTTCTAAACGTAACTAATCATCTTTTTCAGCTACCGATAAGACATGTCACGCAACCGTTCATCCGAGCCAGACACCTTGCCGCAGGCTTCGAACAAGCCTCAATCTGGGTCACAGCACTCGGGCGCACCGCCACAGCTCAACAACAGGCCTCCTACTCTACTGCACGTCCGCACTCCAGTTGGCAGTTATCCGGTCTACCACAGCAGCGGCCCGCTGCGAACCTCAACTGAGAATCACGTGAACATGGGGGGACTGGCGGGTCAGCCTCACAGGTACCTCGCATGAGTCGCAGCCCGTGAAAAATAACCCCTGCAGTGGAAATCTTCCCGGGTCTCATATTCCTGCTTTATCAGGCTCGCGCGCTCAGGCACTCAACGCCCCCGGGGACCCTCGCCACACCATTCCGAACACGCGCATCCCTCATTCAGACACCGCAGGCCCTCAGTAAAATGTACATGCGCCCGAAATATCTACCTTGGAATTCCACTCCGTGTTCCGGAAAGTCGAGTATTGGGCACAAGTCAACTTCTGGGATCCACGGGAAGAGGTGGACATCCTGCATCACGTGCTTCTAGAGTGGCGACGGTCTCGAATTGAGCGCCGCATCGGGGGACAGCTCGCGGTTGAAAAAGATGAGCAAAATATTCACTGAGGACGCCCAGCCTGGGTCTGATCAACCGTTTGCGAATTGCGAATCACAGCCTCGGACCGGGCGCTTATCGACGCGTCGGTGCTCAAGTCTCAACAGTACCTCAACTATCTCGACAAGCCGTTCGTCGTCGACCTACAGGGCCAAGGTAAGCATTAACTCTCTCTCCATGAAGCATCTTCAAACCACCCACCAGTACCAGTCTTCCAAATCATCTACATCACAGTTGCCATCAACACGCAGGAACGCACCCGGTCCGGCTTCTACCCTGCCGTTCTGTGCATCACGGTACCCGAGTCCGCTCAGACGCTATCAATATACCAGGTCACATCGGCCGTGCGCAGAGAGGTCAACGTCACCTCTGGGGACCCAGCGATCTCCCGCGGCCCGGGATCGGTGCTGAGGCTGACCCGCATCAGCGGGCAATCAATCACACGGCAAGACTCGGTGGGGGGCCGTGAGCACGGCTGGGCTTGCTGCCACTTTGAGTTCGAGGCTCGAGTCAAGCCGGTGACTGGGCCGCTGCCGAAGACTCACTCACGGCACCGCAGGGAGGATAGGGCGGCGAATCAAGTGCGAGGTGGGACTGACGAAGTGCCGCAGGCGTACTGGGTGAACGCGGATGGCACGGTGCGTCATCCGGGTGTGGCTGGGCGGTCTCGTCGAGCCTAGCGCGGATATTTCACAGGGGAGAATCAGCACACGGACAAGGCGATCGAGAATTCTAGTGTGCAAGTTTGTAGCAATTACAAATAAAGATGCGACATGTGTCCACAAACCAGATCTACAGACACACATATCCGACGAAGGCAACGCCGAGCATAAACCACCACAACTGGCTCGTCATCGCCCCATACGTCGAATACGCACCACCCCCCTGCGTAGGCCCCGCCGGCTCCCCAGTGAGTGTTGGAGTCGCTCCACCTGCCACGGACGTCGGACTCGCCGTCCCATCCTTGAGGAAGATATCCGTCTGTCGGCCTGTCCAAATAACCATCAGTACCACCCCTCGCTACATTGCGAACTGTGATACGCACCCTCGACGAAACCCAGCACCTGGTTGTACGCCGGACTGCGCGGCTGGCCCGCCAGATCGAGTCCGTCCACCTCGATGTTGTTGCCGTCGAGCTGGTTCCAGTATATCATCTGCCGTGCGCCCGAAGTGCAGTTGCCCGGGTTGTCCTGGCACCACGTCGCGGGGATACCGGGCGCTACGGCCGCGCTGCCGGTGCTGCCCGTCACTCGGCAGCGAAATCCTGCGTTTGTTCGTAGCGTGTAATTAATCAGAGGTCCATTGGGTATAGATGGGCGACGTGCCTTGCATGTAGATGTTCGGTTCTCCACACCCGTTTGGGACCCAGCCCCACTGCGCGTTTTCAGTCGGCGTATATGGGACCAAAGACGAGAAATGCGACGCACAGCGCACATGCACCCGGCGTCGGGACACGCGGGGAGATTGGGTACCTGGTAGGTCGCAAGACGGTGCCAAGGCGTACTGCGCTCACATCAGCAAGTCAAGCGCGATCTATGTGCGAGGGGAGATTACGGACTGATATAGGGTCGTAAACACCACTAGATTCTCTGGCGTGACATCTTGGAGATTAGACTGCCATGCATCATGTCAGACGGGATTTGGAGGGAGATTGGGTATGGTGTAGGACATGCTCCTGCAATGGGACGCACAGTATAGGAGATAGCAAAAGCTGAGCCCGCAGCCATGCTCTGGTTCTGTGTATGTACTGCCAAGTGATTAGCCCAAAGTCGTCAGGCGTCCGTTGAGTTGATTCCGACGCACTATTGGGATCGGAAATGCAGTCTAACCCGCCCAGTCCGTTCGTGTAGTTCTGTCCGTCGGGGAACACCCCGACATTGGCGCCGCCGAACGAGAGAGTCGTGAACGCGCGGTTGACGGCCAGCTCGACGGTGAATTCGCCGTTCGCGGGTCTGCGGACACGCGTCGGGAGATTAGATGGAAGGGCGGGAGAGCACGCACAGATCGAGGAAGTCGCCGTCCGCGGGCGGGAGCTGATCGCACTGTATCACGTCACGTCAGCCGTCCGTCCATCCACGTCCACATCGTCCACGACAACGACAACACCAACGCACCCCGTCGTAATGATGGAACCACCAGTCCGTCTTCGTCAGCTAATAATAGCACACACACACGCCCGATCATCGTCAGCAGCAGCCCCGCCGCACGAGGCGATCCGCACGCACGTTGAACAGCGGGTTCACGATGTCGTTCGTGTTCTGGTCGTCGACGCCCGGCTGCGTGCCGTTCAGGCAGTACATCCCTGCGCGCGTGCGTCAGGTGCGCAGCCGGTCGGCAAAGGGGCGCGCGCACGCACCTTTGTGCCACGCGGCGACGTGAGCGTGTGCGCCATTCAGGAGTGCGGCGAGGCTCAGCAGCAGCGGTAGGATCGTTTGTCTCCGCGCGGTGCTGGGGGCGGGCATGATCGTGTTCGTCGGTGGGTGTGGCGTGAGCGGGTGCGGTGCGGTGAGAGGACAGACGCAGAGAATGAGAGAGAGGAAGGAAGAAGAAGAAAGATGAGGCTGGGGTGGAGAAAACGCGGACCGGGAACGGAGAACAAAAGGGATGGATGGAGGCACAGGCCAGGCCGGGCGACACCTTTAGCCCGGCGACAAAGAATGGCGTAGTCTGCACAGCCCCTCGTGTCAAGATTTGAATGACATGATCAACGCTGATCGCCGGGAGACTGCGCACGATCGGGGGTTGCGCGTGGTGGATTCTGGTATGTATTACGCAGCAGGGATCAAAGAATACACGCAGCGCAAAAGCCAAGCGATTTGGGATGATTTGAGCTCAGCAGCGAGGAATTATCACCTGGAAGGTTGGGCATGACGTACAGTATCAGTTCAATGTCGATCGCTCACCTTGAAGTCTTGGACAGCCAAAATGATCGAATCATGAAAGGTCTTTCGACATGGGCTTTCCCACGGGTTGGCGGGAAGGGTGTGTTGATGCCACAGCCCCTGAATAACGCTCAAGCCTTTGGTCTCGTCATCCACCTCTCCTCTCTCACACCAGGTCAAATCAGACAGTGGACAAGTCACAAACTGCCTCTCGCTCTGGCGTATGAAGGCACGTCCGATTGAGAGCAGACCCAGTACAACGTGGGGCCAGGAATGTTTCGAATGTGGGGCCGTGCTGGTGTTATTGCAAGGGAAGTCAAGAATGTAGGCCCAATGCTGAAGTCAACCAGAACGCCTCAGATGGCTCCGATCCATAAAAGAGTCTAGACTCTCATGGAGCCGAGAAACAGGACCAAGGACACTCAGCATGTGAATCCTGGGAAACTGATTCAGTGACTCAGACTAGGTCGAATCCGACTGTTCCCCTCCCGAAAGCACAGTTAGCTCGTGCGTTCGCGAGCTCAAGTGCTACAGAAATATAGATTGACAGCTCGCGGCGCCCGGAGTTCTTGGTTCAATCTATACTGAGTGAGTAAGATCGCGCCCCAGATGGTTCGCCAAAACTTTCTATCTTTTCGCATTTGACTCGTAAAATGCGAATTCAGCCTTTCAATGTCAAGTTGAATAGTCTGCAAAGCGAAGACATATTCAGGGTCAGAAAGCCAAGATGTGGGAGGCTGCTTGTAACCGCGTATCCATACGCTCCACCACCATGACTAGGCTATGGTTTTGCTCTATTTCGGCGGGACATATGCCTCAGTGGCCGGGGACTCAGCATATCTATTACGAGGCACGTGGGGTATCACGGGTATATCGGGTACTATGAATGCCGATTCCGAATTTTGTAAGCGGCTTTCTCTGTGTCTACCCTGATGCGTATCGCGTGCCTGATGTCCAATCGCTGCTATTCCTGCATAACAACAGCACAAATCCGCGTCAGCGCTCCAACTCGACACCCGAGAGTCAGCCACCCCTCACGGATAATCTGCAGTATTCATGTATGCCCAGTTCAACTGCTCGTTCTGGGCTCGAAATCCATCTCTCGAGCTGACATCTATCCTGCGACCGGGCCGCTGCGATGCCAAACTAGTCGAATGCCAAGGAGTCCGCGGCGGTGCGAGTTGGTCCCTGGATGGGTTTGAATAGGCGGGATTCGTCGAATATGTGTACGCCGATTCTAATGGAGTTCCCCCTTGAACAGGTGACTGATAATAGCCCTGGGACGGCGGTTGGACGCCGCCGTAGTTGTGCTCGTAGTCGTAGTACGTCGGGTATACATCTTGCGGCATGCTGCGCCGGGGCGCCTGCTGCATGATCAGGTGGCCGTGGTGATGATACTGCAACTCGGCCTCCGACGTAGTGCTATCCGGGCTGCCGATGCTTTCGGGCTCGTCGACGAGCAGAGCTTCTTCGAGCACAGGCCGGTACTCGCAGTGCAGCTTGCGCTTCGTGCATCGCTCGCACGTCTTCAGTGGCTGATCTTCTTTCACCAGGCACTGAAAACAGATCAACGGAGGTTGGTTAGTTGGTGCGTTGGCTGGTGCTGCGATCAAAAACGGGGAGCTCACCTTTATCTTTCGCTTCCGGCAGTTCGTGCAGGCCATGGGAGTGCGCCGACGCGCCAACGCGAAAACGGGAGGGGGGTAGTCAGAAGAAGTCGGGATCATGGCTGAGTGAGCTCGTTGCTTCAGCTATGGAGGATTGCATTTCATTTCATACAGCACAATCCTTATATGCCCTCACAGTTTATGTCAACTGCGGTGCCGGCAAGATCGCTGTGCCGGATTGAGTCATCCTATTTCTGGCCTCGATGCACATCCATCATCCGTTCCAGCCAGTAGACCCAATCCGTTCGCGGTCGTTCCGAGTCCTGAATGATTGAAGCACGGCGGATGATCCCCTGCGAAGGAGCGCACTGTGTGTCGAAAGAAAGTTGGTAGGCATGCTATTTGGCAGATCGACAGTTGTCCCTACGTCACCCGACAAATTAGAGATTTGGTTTCTGACAGCTCTGAGGATAGCCTGAAGATCCCACAGACGCACACATCGAATAGCATTCTCTGTGGTGCCGACACGAGAGTTCTATTCGGAATCGAATCAGAAATCTCTTCCGTGTAAGGTTTAGTTGTCCTGCTACCACTTCTGTAAGCATGCCACTGATAAGTATTAGCAACACGCACTGCCCACACATCAACGCCGGTGATCTCAAACCGCAATCACGCGATAGACAGAAAGCCGTAGGCAGGCTTCTTGACCAAAGCGTCAGTCCGCGTCCCGAGGCGTGGGAACGCCGCTCACCCGTTATCTATGGAGGCTGAAAACGTTATGCTGATAACCGATGTCTCAATCATGGATGGCCGCTCGGCAGATATTGATCAGATGATTGACGAAATGATCAAGACCCAAGGTAGCCGACTATCGCAATATCGCAATATCGCAACATCTTAATATTCGAAAAGCGCAACATTCGAGATGGGGTCAGCGGCCAAGTCGCCGGCACGAGCAGGCTCGTCGCGAGTCCGCACTCCCAGGCGACCTTCCAAGGCAGCGGCTCGTACGTCGTATTTGACTGGGGCAAGGAGGTGCGCGGCCTCCCTGATACAGCGCCGTCGAGGGTCAATTGACACACCCATACTATAGTTCGGGGGGATCCTGTCGCTGACGATCAACAACGCGACGGCGCAGTCGCAGTTCTCGCTGTCGCTCACCGAGTGCGCGGAGTTCATCAGCCCGCTCAAGTCGGACGACTCGTGCCAGCCTGCGCTGGCAGCTGCAGAACTGGGACGTGATCCAGACATTCCACGCGCCGCTCGCCACGGGGCTGCTGGCGCAGACCGTGGGACAGCAGTGCGGCGGGTTACGCTTCCTGACAATTGTGAGTGCGAGCGCGGACCCGCTGGCGATTACGTTTATGCCCCACTGGGACGATCTCAAGGCGTACCCGGGCTACTTCTACGCACCTAACCCCGGGTTTCACGACATCGACTTCCTGCCGAAGATCTTGTACGCCGGTGCGTCATCGCCCGCTCGCTGTCTGATGGCGCAGAGCGTGGCGTGGGTAGGGGCTGACCGCTAGCAGGCACGTATACGGTGCAGAACAACACAATCCCTCCCCGCATGGTGCGACAGGGGCCGTGGCCCGCAGGAGGTATGTTTTAGCACGGATTTGAATATTGGGCCGATTCAAACTATGGGATGACATTTGTAGGTGGCTGGTCCAACAATGCCTTGGGAGGTTCTGTGATTGGGCCTATCCTCGTCGATGGAGCAAAACGTGACAGGTGAAGAGTGGCCGGCCACGATCTGTCTGCAATCCCCGCTGATGACACTTGTACTGTAAGGAACATCTGGCCAGGTAATCCCTCATGCTCAGGGCCGCGATCTAAGCCTCGGAATCACGCGACGGATCAGGCGACTGCGGTATCTTCACGCACACGGAGCTCGTCGCGCTGAGCGACACGGAGCCGACCAAGAACTTGCTGAAGGTGATGTTCCGCACGCAGAAGCCAACCACCGGCGCGCTGCAGTACTCTGGGCCGCTGCTGAACAATCAGGGCAGCGATAAGTACATCTCGTGGTCGCTCATCGGGACGCACAACTACTTCTTGTATATGGGCGACCTCGATTTCGTCAAGTCTGTCTGGCCAAACTACACCAAGGCGGTCGGCTTCCTTGAAGGTCAGGTGGACTCGACGGGCCTGATGACCGTCCCGTCTTCATTCTCGAATGACTGGGGCAGGGCAGGAGGCGCCGGAAACAGTGAGCATCTGTCGCGCGCTCTCTCATTGTGTATCTGCACTCATGAGGGTCGCAGACGCTCGTCACCGCGACGGACCTGGCGACGCATCTCGGCAACGTCCCCCTCGCCGCCACATACCTCGCCAACGCAACCAAAATGCAAACCGCGCTCAACAGCCTGCTGTGGGACGCCGCTGAGGGCCTGTTCCGCGAGAACGACGTCCCGACAAGCATCTACCCGCGGGCCGGCAACGCGTTTGCGGTCCTGTACAACCTCACGACATCGGATGCACAGAACAAGGCCGTGAGTGCTGAACTTTACATGAAGATTAAATCACCAGCAGTCGATCGCAACTCATGCTGGGAAGTTTATTTACAGCTTTTGGCCAAGTTCAAGGCCCTCGACGAGCTTCACAATATTGATCAGACAATAGACGACAGGTGGGCTTACGCCCTTAGCCATGCAGCGGCAGAGTACAAGGACGAGATCGCACCCTTACCTAACCTGAAGGAGCTTCATGGTGGTGATGGTGTCATTGGACGGAACGTTGATATGGGCGGGGTGAATAACGGCTACGGATTGGGTGAGACTGAACTTTCTCATCTGTGGGCTTTCTTCTCACGCATCCAGGGCCGGAGCATCATGCCCGATTGAATGCAATTCTCGACGAAATTGAGCCGAACTTTGGTCCCGATGAGTCATAAACTGTTGGTCCCGATCTGTACGCATGGTTCTCGGATGAGAAGACCCGCGAAAATGATCAGTGAATTACAGTAATTACATGCTCACTACGCTATCTCGAATATTATGCTATCTCGAATGTTGGGCTTTTCGAATATTACGATATTGCGATGTTGCGGTGTTGCGATATTGCGATAGTCGGCTACCTTGGGTCTTGATCATTGCGTCAATCATCTGATCAATATCTGCCGAGCGGCCATCCATGATTAAGACATCGGTTATCAGCATAACGTTTTCAGCCTCCATAGTTATCAAGTCCGATCAGGCGCCCTTGTCGCGGATGAAAAGCCGCGGCACATCACGCTACTTCACAACTCCTCCCCGAGTCACCGTTTCGATCCTGGTTCCTGGCATCGCGCCTGTTGGCTGGTTTAGACTGCAGCCGGTACGCTGATGGGATTGGATGCGCTTTCATCGTTATCAGAGACGTGTTGATACTGACACTGTGTGGAGCTTATGGCTTGCATGAAACACACCGTCCGCAGCCGAAATCGCGTAGGATAAGGTTTCACACAAAGCGCGGGGGACACCGGCATCGCCCTCACTCCCTGTTGGAAAGTGATACAATTAGAGTTGACAGAGAATGGTGGTACTGTACTTGTCCGCTTGAGAGCACGGGGACCGGATCCTTCCTTGAAGGTGATCCAGAATTATTCCCAATGAGATGACTGATATTTTGATGCACGTATCCATCCCGGCTTTCACGCGCTGACGCTTGATCAGCGACCAGGAGGACGAGGATGTCTGGCAATTGGTTCGTTGAAGCCAAAAGCACTTCGTGGCCGAGAGCAATAACTCAGGTGTGGTCTCCTCAACAAGAAAAAACCCTCAAAAAGAAAAAAAGAAAAAACGGAATGAGCGACGAAAACACGAAATTTCGATTCACAGCCGGGGCTCTCCAGGATTCCTTCCAATTATCCTCCATTGAGCTGGACGTTGGATACTGCTCTTTAAGACGTAGCGCCCGTTGAGCGTTTCTGTTCCTCACAAAAGTACCCGCAAACCCCCGGCCGAGTAGTCGGGGCTCCGCTCCCCCTCCAGCGCGGCTCCGCTGATCCTGCAGCCCGTCGGAGGCCCTTTTTGCCGAGCCTACATAGCCGAGCCCTGTCGCACCCGGGTTTTCGCGGTCTCCGCTCTCCCCGGTACCACTTTCCCTGTTGCCAGACGCCCAACTCGCCCGCGAGATCCTCGACAGCGTCCTACGGACTGGTTGCGCTGAAACCGAGTCTGTGGTTTTGGCAGAACTCAGTCCTCGTTGGCTGTCATTCATCTGTTCTCCCAATCGTCGCCTTCGGCAGCGGCAGCAGCCTCATCTCCTTTCTTGTCCATTCAACATGTTGTGGAGAACAGATGTCCCGAACAACTCTCGACTCATGAAAGAAGAAAAAAACCTTATACATGTAAACTCTTGGTTTTTGTTATCATATCCGACTCAACTCTGTCAAATTATCCGGGAAGTTGTTGAATCGAAATAATGCGATGAGTCAGCAAACAGACTTTGACATATTCGATAAAGATAGAGGCTGTTCTAAGTCACATCTGCCACATCCTGTGCCCCTGAAGCTGGCCGGAGCGGACATAAGAGATCCGAGGGGTCTGCCTGCAATAGATGTTCCTGAGGGGCTCTCTCGCCGATCCTTTTGTGAGAGAGCGAGCTAATTTCAGCTGGGGTATCACGGGTATCAAGAATATTGACTCGGGACTTGACACGTGCCGAATTCAAGCTGAGTAAGTCGAGCCTCGCGCTGTCTTTTCTCTACGCTGATGCGTATCGTACCCGGATGTCTAGTGGTTGCTAATCCTACAGCACAAGAGGCCTAGTCTGTCAGCCCTTCAACTAAACACCAGATAGCGATCAGTCCCTCACGAATAATTGGCGAAATGCCAGTATCCAGCATCGAGCTGCGAGGGATTGTCCCGAAGCATCCTTCCCCTGCCCAAATTCGAATTCACTGCGACGGACTCCCGCTGAGCTTGCGTCCGTGCAACGACGTGATTCCAATCTTCCGACTCCATTGCCGCGATGCCAAATAAGTGGTCTGAATGCCACGAGTCCCGCGGCGGTGCGGTCCGCTCCCCGGATGCACTTGAATTACCGGAATTTGCCGCAAATGTAGGCGTACACTCTAATTGGAATCCTCCTTGGACCAGTGACTGATAATAGCTTTGGGATTCTGGTCTGGCTCCGCAGTCGTACTGGCGGTCATAGTATTTGGGGTACAAATGTTGCGGCATGCTGCGCCGGGACGGCTGCAAGATCAGGGGTTGCTGGTGGCGGTGGCGGTGACACAACTCTTCCTCTTCCCACGTGGCGGTGCTGCTGCTGCCCGGGGTGCCGATCTTCTGTGATTCGTTGCCGGGCAGAGTGTATTCGAGCACGGGCCGGTACTCGCAGTACAATCCCCGCTGTATGCATCGCTTGCACGGCGTCATTGGCTGATCTTCGTTTTTCAGGCACTGGAATTCGGAAAATCATCGATGGGATCGGCTTAAATTGGATGCAATGAAATAGGTCGAACTCACTTTTACCTTCAGCTTGCGGCAGGCTGTGCACGCCATGGCCGTACGCCGACGCGGAAAGGGAGAGACGGGAGAGGAGGGTGAGGGCTCCATGGCGGGCTGAACCAGTCTCTGCGGGAACTGAAGTCTGTACTTTATCTAGCGCAAGCTTTATAACCACTCTGTTGTGTGTTGGCTGCGGCTCCGGCACGATCTCTCGACCGTATTGAGCATCTTGGGACGGCGCTCGATGCACAAGCCGGTGCCCAGGAAAAGTTGCAGTTCGTGCCGAGCCCCAAAGGATTTGTGCGCGGCGTATGATCTTTTGTATCAGAGGGCAGTCGGACCGGCGACAGCTCTCCCGTATGCTGTTCGACAGATTGACGAGCTCCTCCATGTTTCGGCCGTAGAACAAACTTCGGCGAAGACAGGCTCGAAGCACCATTGAGCGAAATGCGAGTGCACACCCTGAATTGCTGTGCTTCGTGGAGCCGATCCTGCCACTGGATTGAAAACCAAAAAAAAAGAAAAACCTAGGCTTATCGTGCAAGTTGCCACCACCTTGAAAGCATTCCGTAGACAAGTGCAGGGCATGCATGCACTACCCCCCCCCACACATGAACACCGTGATTCCGAACTACAATCCGGGAATGAGGCGAGGATTACAAAGGAGGGTTTGTTTCATGGACTCCCGACTGCTTCGGATGAGCGCTCACCAGTCACCGCAGATCGACCCGTCTGTGTCACGTACAATTCTTATGTGACAGGGACAATTGAAATTTATACATATAATCTTGTACGCACGCTTAGCTAGAGTCCATACTTGTATATTTTCGTAGCCGATCAGGCTGTCCATCATTATCTCATCAGATGATGATGGACGGCCGAAAAAATACCAATCATCTTTTACTCTTGACCTCGTCCGACTCGACTCAACAAACCTTCAGCGACGTCGAACGTACTCGACCGGCGCCCGGCAGACCAGGCTTAATCAGTTTTGAATTAGTTTCCTATTATTCTCGAGGCCTGCCATTTAGTGGCAGGCTTCTGGTGAGCCTCGTACTCGAGTTACTCGAGTCTCGAGGCTGGGCCTTAATAGCTACATACTCCTAATTCTATCCTTCTACCTATTTCGGATTCCGCCACGGTTTTCCAGTGGAAAATCACTCTGCCGCGTTACATCTTATCTCGTGATGTACATGTCCATGTTGTCCCAAGATGGTGAACATAATGCCCGAGTAGAGATTTTTTTGATAGAGAGAAACATTCTGGATTCTTTCAACAAAGAGATATTAATTTCGGGAACCCCGTGTAATCTAGAATACTATATACCTGGCGCTGTAAAGGTTTCAAAGATCAGCGTGGGTTGTACAAGGCAGTAGTCCCTCAGCGTGGCGAGCGAGGGCAGGGCTTTCGAACGAAAATGCACACTCACATTTTCATTTCGCCGCCCTAGCCGATGGGGAAGGCGATGCGTGGGAGCCACCAGAAGCTGTTAAGCTTATCAGTGTGTTTCCAGAAGGGGCTTTCTAATGCAAAGTGACTCACCCCCACCCCAGATCTGATTTGGCGGGAGAGGAGGAAGGCCCTGCGCCATGCGCTTCGCGTTTGTTGTGCACCGATCACGAGAAACCGGATTCCCGGCGGAAACGCCTTGGCGCCGGTCCAAAGTCCGGGAGGGACGAGGCCAGGTGCGCACCGAGACGACACCGGTGACGGCCACGAGTAGCAAGAGGGCAAATTGAACGAAGGACTTCATAGTATGGAGAGGAGTGAACTCCCATTAATGGGCAGCGGCTTAAATTCACTCCTCTTGACACTTGACTGAAAGATTGGATTGTTCGGAAGCTGGAGATTGGAGTATGCGGAAGATTCGAGAGGTCTGTTTTCACTAGCGTGTTCTCCTTTCTACATTTGATGAGCCATAAATTTGTTATAGATCCTTCCTGTCGAGTGCCGGCGTGATCTGCCGCCATCACTGACAAGCATGAATCACGTGAGGCATTACTCACGCAAGTCACTTTGAAAGCGAGGGAAGGGGTGTCAAAGCGTGTCAACCACGAATAGAGCGAGTCTGCATCATTGCTAAGTTTCACGTCGACTTTGACCGCTTCCCGTCTGCCATATTCAAACAGCTGCCGTGTTCTCTTCGTCCCACTCGCGGATGGGAAGATTCGCTGCTTTTTGGCTTTCAATTATTACTCTCGAAATTGGGCTGTTTTGCCTGATTCAATTGCGCAGGTAGTATTTTGATTCACTGGGTTGTTCGAGCGAAGAGAAGTCTTCCTGTCGAAGAAACGCCGTGTCCAGAGCCGCTGACGCTTGATCTCATCCAATGTCAATACCCTCTGGGATTCTTCATATTTCTGTCCGCTATCTTCCCTCTGTGACTTTGGACCGGCTCCGGAAGTGGTTGCTACCTAGTTTTCCCCGACTTGTTCGATGCAGGCAGAGACGTGCTCATGACGTGATGTCCATGTGGCAATCGAGCTTCTCGTGCGCCGTCCGCTGCTTCGACTTCCCATGGAAAAAGGGCGGTTCTTACACACAGCCGTAACACAGCGTCAGACGGACATGGCTAGTGTCGTACAATACAGTACACACACCCTTCCTTCTTGGGTCTCCTTGCCCTCCCTCCCTCCCTCCCCCCGCCTCTATCTACGCTGCGCCTCCTAAACTTAAAAGTAGCGATTATCACCACCCCTGTGAACTTTCCGGCTCTCGCTAAGCTATTGACGTGTCCAGAGGGGGGATAACCGCGCACACGCACCGGACCCTTTTCTCCGACGGGAATTCCCGTGTCTGGCCCCACGCACCCCCACCTCCCAAGAACCATTCCCTCCGTCGCGGCTTCTGTCTCGCCAGCATCAGCATGCCCGTCCGCACGCACCGACACCAGCTCTCGGACCCGTTCGCGCATGTGCTTCAGCCGCCTGAGAACGAGACGCCCGCGGAGCGGCAGGCCCGTGTCGAGCGTGAGCAGGAGGAGAAGCGCGTGAGCGATCAGATCGACGAGGAGCTGCGCAAGGAGCGCGGCGAGCTCAAGAAACGCGCGAAGAAGGAGGCCCGTGTGCTTCTGCTGGGCCAGAGCGAGAGCGGGAAGAGCACCGTGCTCAAAAGTGCGTCGTCGTCTCGTCCCTTCCTCATCTCTCTCCTCGCTTAGTCAACAGCCGACTGACTGACCGGCCGCGGCTCCTACAGACTTCAGGCTGGCCTACGCCCCAGCGCAGTTCAAGGCGGAGCTGCTCGCATGGCGCGCGGTCGTGCAGCTCAATCTCATGCAGAACGTCATCACCATTCTCGACATACTCGAGGACCGCCTCTCATCCGATCCATCGACATCCCTCGCCAGCACGGGCTCTAGCACGCATCCCCATCCGCCCCCACCACCACCGCCCCGGCCCACGCAGTCGACCGCCCGCGCCTCGATCGACTCCACGGCCCCCGAGCGCCTGGAGTCCGCCGCCGCCGCCGTCACGCTCACGCAGAAACACCGTATCCTGACACTCCGCCTCTCCCCGCTGCGCAAGGTCGAGGAGGACGTGCGCCGGCGGCTCGGCGCGGACGATCCCGAGTGGGCGTTCGACACATCGGGCGGTGCGCTGCCAGGGGCGCTCCCCACCGCCTTCGACACGCGGAAGCGCGAGTTCGGCGTGCGCGGCTGGATCGGTGCCCTGGGCCTGGGACTCGGCTCCGGGGGCGGGAGCGGCAGCGGGAAGAAGGGCCCCGCGGCGGAGGGCGAGGCGACCGTCGACGAGACGACGGGTGTGCTGGCGTCGCTGCGCGATGACATCGTGGAGCTGTGGGCGGATGCGGATATCCAGCAACTGTTGCGGGCGCGGAAGATCAGCATGGAAGACCACCCCGGATTGTGAGTGTCATTATTGGCGTTCCCCTCCGGCTGTCTTTCTCTCTGTCTGTCGAGGGCTGTGATTGACAGCACGCAGCTTCCTGGCGGATACGGCGAGGATTGCCGTGCGCGATTACGTTCCGTCGAATAACGATGTCGTGCGAGCGAGGCTAAGGACGCTCGGGGTGCAAGAGTGGAGGATAACGCTTGAGACTACGAGTGCGTTTACTTTCTCGCTGGGGCGGCCCAAGCAACGTTATGTGATAGCTTCCTCATGCGTTTTCAGGCGATTCTTTTGGCGCGGAATGGGTCATTTACGATGTCGGCGGGTCTAGATCCATGGTCGGTCCATCTGATTGCTCCCTGGTCAAACTCGTCCTTGACGACACTGCCAGCGACATGCGTGGCTGCCTTACTTTGACTTTATGAACGCCATCATCTTCCGTGCGTTGCTTCTTACACCTCTCCGTTTGTTCCGCCCTTTGACTATATCTGACCTAGTCGCTCGTAAGTGGTCGTCCCTAACCGGCGATTCTGATGGGTAAATCGTCGGCAGCAATATCGTGCTTCGACGAACGACTTGCCGAAGATCCTTCGGTGAACAGACTGGAAGATTCTCTCCTCCTCTGGCATGCCATCATCTCCTCGAAGCTGCTTGGCGAGACAACCTTGATTGTATTCCTGAACAAGTGTGATTTGCTGAAGAGGTTGGTTACAGACATATCCTTCCCTTCCCTCGGCAAACCTGATCCATGCATGTGTCTTTTTCTAGGAAACTCCAGAACGGCGTGCGCGTGAACAAATATATGATCAGCTTCGGTTCGCGGGAGAACGAAGTCGGCGCAGTCGTGAAATGTGAGCAGAAAACCGACTTATTTATCCGCTCCCGATTGACCGAGTTGTGATTGTAGATCTGAAGGACAAATTCAAAGACATGGCCCGGAGCCAATCTGCTGTATCCCGTCCGATTTATCTTCATGCTACATCTGTGACGGTCAAGTGATCTTCTGCTCATCTATTTCGTATCTGATTTTCGACTTTTGTGTATAGGATACGAAAGCGACGGCTGTGACATTGAGCGTTGGTATGCACATACTCTAACTTCGATTTATGGCTGCTGAACATTTTTGTTCTTCGCAGTCCGCGACGGGATTGTCCGAGACCACTTGAAGAACGCGGAGCTTGTTTAGACTGCCGGTTTAGTTGAACATTTACTCACATGATAGGGTTCGTTTTTGTTTCTATGTTTGGATTATCTAGGACACGGTGTGGGTATGCAGTAAATATATACACATATATATACATATACTCGACTCAGTATATGCACGCATTGATGACCGCTTTGGCCTCATCCCGAACGAGCATCTGCACGGGGACCTTGCCCGCCCTCTTCAGCTCCCGCGTCATCTCCGGACTGAGCCGGGGCACCGTCCCCTGCTCCGGCTGATTGTCCGGTCTGCCCAGCGCGATGTCCGCGTCGAAGATGCACACGCTCTCGAGCGCCCGCGCACGGACCAGTTCGAACAGCGCCTCGCGCGCGAGATGGCCGTGCCGGAAGCCGTACGCGAGCGACCGGAGCAGCGGGCAGTACGCGTCCTGCAGCTGCTGCAGCGACGTGAAGAGCTTCGCTGCGCCGTGGTGCGTGCGCGTATCCGTGTCCAGCAGCACGAGAGCGGTCGTGCTCGACAAACGGCCGAAGACGGGCAACAGCTCGGACGGGTGTTGCGAGAGACTGAACAGCGCGAGGTGAGTCAGCTTGTCCAGTGGGTTGCGGTCGAGGAAGCGGGTGATGCACTCGCGTGATACGCTTGGATTTTCGATAGTCAGTCTTTCAAGCACCGGCGCGTGGAGGTAGTCGAGCAGGATGGGATTGCTTATGTACAGGCGCCGGAGCCGGTGAAGTTCAATCGCAGGGCTGGGTGGCGGTGCATTGTGGAACACGTTGCTCGGCTGCACGTCGTCCCAGAAGGCGAGTGTGGCGTCTTCCAAGCCCGGACATCCGAGGAGCACGTCGAAGTGCTCGTCATACGATAAACACTTGGCGCGGTACCGCGTGAGGCCCGTCCACGACATCCTTAGCCCCGCGGACAGCACGAGCGGGAACGCCGGCGGTGCCAGCGCCACCGCGCGGAGGCAGGGCGCGGATGTCAGGTAGTCTGGCACCGGCAGCGTGTAGCTGCGGCCCAAAATCCGCAGCGCGACCAGCGCGTCAAGCTTGCCCGCCACGCCCCGCATCCACGTCAGCGAAGTATCTCCCGAATGGCTGAAATCGAGCGTCAGGGTCCGCCAGTGGCGGCAGGCGTCGACGAGCTGCGGGACGACGGGGAGGAACCCGCGCGTGCTATTGGACAGGTACACGTCCAGCTGCGGCGGATTCGCGCTCTTCACGGTATGCTCGAGCTGCCACTCAAGCCGCTTCAGGTCCTTGTGGTGCCATGAAGGCGGCAGTACCAGCGCAGACCACAAACTCGGTGTGCCACGCGCGATGCCGCGCCATTTTCGACACACGCGTACCAGAACAAAGCAGGGCCGGACCCGGAGACTCGTCTCAACATCGTCGTCGATGCTGACAACGGGAGACGCCATCTCGAATATCAGCGCCAGGATCTCGACCGGTATGAGACGGACTGGGGATAGCACGGCCGTGTACCGCCGGATGCGCTTCTCGAGTCTTGTTCGCCGGTCGTTGAAATCCCGTCTAATCTGCTGGTTCCGTTCGCGCTTGGATGCAAGCAGGACATCTTCTAGCACAGCATCGAGCTCGTCTATTGCGTCTAGGATCGATTCCACGTCTGCTGGGCCGGGCGCGTCGTTCGAAACCAGCAGGTGGGCGAACGGGGCCTCGATTCTAGCGTGGTCGCTTACGGGAGCATCGGTGGCTATTAAGGCACGGGACTTCGGAGTCGGTACTAGGAACCGCTGAGGGATATTGTATGCGGGCTTGGGCTTCGATTTGGACTTGGCCATAGAGGACCGGGGAACGAGCGCGGTTGTGGTGCGGAGGAAGGCGCAACACGTGTTCATTGGTGGGACACCAGCATCCATCAATCAGTCCATCAGTAGATCCATCAAGATGGTGAAGAAGAAGTCAACATGGACCGAAAAACAGTGATTTATTCGCGTCTAACACTTTATTCCGGAGCGTATCTATAAACGACTCCCAACATTTCCAGCCTACTCGCAGAAGGTGATCTAAGCCAAACCATCAGCCTCCAACGCAAAATCTGACAAAATAAAAGCTGACGTACCGCCAAGTTGACGTTCGCAGCCGAGCAGCCGACCTGGACGAAGGTGTCGCTGGGCTGGTGGAAGGCGGTGCCACAGCTGGGCCCGGTGCAGTCAGCTCCCGCACCGTCACATCCGCCCCAGTATCCGAAACCAGTGGTGACGGAGAACGCGTGGGGCGGGATGAGGGTCAGATCCGTGCTGGAAAAGCCCCCCGCGAGCGTGGTCTCGACCATCAAGCAGTTTTCACCGTTGAAGCCACAGCCACCTGCGTAGATGTATCAGCTGGGTTCCGTGCATCGAAGAGCCGGGGCCAGGGACATACCGGTCTGGAGGTACGCGATGGCACCGTTGATGGGGCCGCCGTGAGTCCAGGAGCCGCCGGTGGAGACGATTCCACCGTTGAGGATGAGGGTCGGGGTTCCGAAGCCACAGCTGTAATCGGGTCAGCTACTGCTCGAACGAATCGACTGGCATGCAGAGCACGCACTTGTTGACCAGGTTGATCGTGTGCTGCTCCGCGCTAACGGTGGTGACGGCCGCAGCCATGATAGCAAGGGAAGCAAGGAAACCGAACATCGTGCAGATAGAACAGGAAGCGAGAAGAGGCTAGGACAGGAGGGTTCTACGGTTGTGTGGAACTGGGGAATGCACACCGCTACACACTAGGTTTTATACCCCGCGCACGGTCTAAGCGATTCCTGCTTTAGTCAGGACCTGTGATGGATATGCCTCCAGGCACGGATAGCCCCGCACGCGGGCGCACTGGCCATGCATCGCACCCTGCTTCAGAGGGCTGCCGCTGATGATGCATTGCTTCCTTGTCCGTCCCTTGAAATTTCAAACATCCCGGATGATGGTTGGGCGACATGTTCGCTGATAGGCCGCCGGCCTCGTTGATGCTCTGTCCGTGTAGACTCGCACTCGGCTGGCCCATGCGTGATCTCGTCTTCTCAACAACAGCGGTCCTGGCTATCTTTCTTTGACGCGCATGTGTAAGTGCGAAGATCGCAAGACTGGCCCAAGTTTGAAGCTGCACATCTGATCTAAGGTCAAGATTTGATGATCGAAGTCAAGTACGTCAGGTATGAGACTAAATTCTGTCCTTGCCTTCTCGGTGGCCATTTCTTAAGGAGGACATTTGTTGTCCAAGAGAAAGCCGCAAAGTTCCCCATACACCCTCACAGGCAGAACCAGCGCGCCGCGGCTTCCGTCGTGCCGCGGAATGCAGAGGATCAGGATCAGGATCAGGATCAGCTTGATTTTCCGCCGATCCGACGGCGCCTCTGCGATGCGGTATCACAGGGAGATCAAGTAACAGTCAACCTCAAACTCATCCCTCAGCAGCCGGAACTATCATCACCTGTCCTCACGGACTCGAATTCGATCCCTCTTTGACTTTGAGCATGATCTGCCAGATGAGTGACGTCTGGAGGCACAGGCGGAGGCGCATTCGCCGGGCGAGGACGAAACAAACTGTAGCGCGAGAGCGTGTGCGGTGTTGAATGAAGCACGAAACGAGGCGTGTCCGGCCGTTCTGATCGAACCTGAATCGCGCGCGCGCTGCATCGAAAGTTCGGACCTGAGCTTCGCTATCTATCACCCACGTGCACCTGCGTTGCGTTGCGGCTGGATAGCTGCGACAAAAAGGGTTTCTGGGCCCTGGTTTTGTCTCTCTACCTTCCTCGCTATGAGTATCATCGCTGGCATCGACCTCTGCGAGCGCATGCTCGCACCAGCTGACGACTCTGGACATGAATTCAATTGCCACGGATCCAGTTTACCCGCGGCCACTCGATTCGGCTCTAGGCGTTCGAACGGAGACTCAACACCGCCGGCCCATGTCTAGCGTCGATGCGATGTGAGGTTGTGGAGATGAGGAAAAGAATTCTGGTAAAGATTGGGCGGGAGAAGGTTGTGTTTAACGGGCGTTCCGAGGGCGAGGTGAATACGTAAGATGCATACATACGAATATGAATGTAAATTGTGAAGAGCAGATACTGTATCTCCGATACTCTACTTACGGTGAGCAGCGCGCCGACCGTCGCTCGCGTCGGCTGTGCATGATAACAAAGCGTACATACTGTGGATTTGCAGAGATGAAAACTTGAGTTTCGTTTCGTACGCGGGCGAAAGCTATTCATAGCACGTACTGCGTTGATTTGGACCAGTTGACCGCGAGAAGGTCCGGACAGATCGCGATGGGCGGCAGCGCATCGAAGGATTATGTATGATCTGGGCTCATTCGTTCCCGACTGCAGATGAGCTGAGAGTCCGCTGAAACTGACGAGCGGTCTCGAAGGGTGCACGGGAGCTCACGTGTACCCGCACGTGACCGCTGAGAGCAAAACAATTGATGCCAACACTGTGACTCAGTACGATCAAACCTCGTGACTAAGCGCACCAGTGACACACTACCGAAGTCTACAACAACCACTGCGCCCTCGTTCTTTGCACCCGTGCACCTCAGTCAATGTACTCGCCATTTATCTATCCCAGAGACCCGGATTCGCTCCCAGACCGCTGAAACCAGATGTTTGCCTCGCCCAAGCGAGCCAGCAGCCCATCGCTCGAACGTGCATGCACGACCGTGCACCCCGTCTCATATCCTGTTTCGCGCACGCATACACTCTGCGACACACCTCACACCGCTCTGGTATCGCTAATCGGCCGTATATCCCGTACTTCATACGTTTTGGCGCGGTGAGCACGGGCGGAACTGTGTTTGAGACGAGGGGAAGCGAAACGGCTCGGGAGATGGGTCCTAGACACGGTGCCCGGTGGGAGCCCGGTACCGTGGTGGCGAAGAGGTGCATCTACCTCTCAGGGACGGTTCTCAGCTGTGGATTGTGCGGTGTGAAGGGAGAACATCCCCCGGCGGACGGGGGAGACGTCATACATATGCCGCACGACCGGGCTGCGAGAACTCGAATGTGCACACCCCCATAGTGAAGCTCTGTCGGTATGAGGTCCACGCTGATGCTGGGTCTGACGCCCGCCGGACCACTGTCCACCTGCCCAGTGCATCGCAAAGAACTGCCCCGGACTGCGCTCTACGATACGTCGCCTGTGCGTGTTGCCTGTATGACATCCTGTGTTTGCCTCAGTGCAAGCTCGGCTCTCTTGGATCACACCGCGTATCCCAAGCATGAAATCGGCGTCAAAGGCAGGACGAACGCGATGCGCTGTCGTCTGGGACTCAGAGGGAGGCGACCGTCCAGCATCCCCAGCGCGTGAGGGCCGCTTCGACCGGTGCACTTCGCAGGGTCTCTCGAAGCTGGCCCAGCTTCGGACGTCACCAGTCTCCTGCATACGGTTCAGCCGTGGAATGGTGTGCACACATCTGCCTCCATTTGTACAATCAACGCGCTCACCAGGGCTGTAGTGTTACTACCCGGAGCCTGCCTCCGCTCAGCGCGGCAAAACGGTGCTCGACAGACGTCCATCGCCCAGACGCCCGGATTATGGAGCACTGCCTGGCTACTCGCGGCAGCGCTCTGGGTCGCCTCCAGCTAGGACAGCGAAGCCGTAACGATAGAAACAGGAGCGCACGAGGATTCGGAGCCCATAGCCAAATGGACAGACACCGACCCACAAGTGTATCCGGCGTCAAGAGGGAAGGAAGGAAGGAAGATACGAGCTTCTGTTCCAACTCCACCGGCTCCGGCTTGTCGAGCTGAATCCCGGCTCGAGACACGGGCGCAGTCGCGAGAAGAGCGGGCGTTCTCACCTGACAAGACAAGCGACACGACGCGCGACGCGAGGTTCTGGGGAGGAAGGGAAGGAGGGCAGACATTGGAGCGCGTGCGGGTGCGCGCGATTCGGGTGCGCGGGGTGCTTCACGAAGCCTTCCACGAACAGTGCTACCACGGCTCAGTCAGATTGGACGCTGGGCCAGCCGCGGGTGCAGACTACCTGCCCATCGACACTCGCGGGCTTCTGAGTCTGCCTACCTCCTGGGTGCACAGCAGGTTGCTGTCCGGCTAGAATGAGTTGTCATTCCGGAGTGTAGTCGGAGTAAGGGCTACAAATTTGCGAGTAGAATTGTGCTTCCGCTTATCCATAACGGACTGTGCGGAAGAGTGGAAACCTGTATTTTCACGACGCATATCGCGGAATATGGACCAGGGCCTTCACGATCGGCGGCCGCTAGCTATGTCAATTGTTATCGCTGGGCTTCCAAGCTCCGGATCCAGTCCGTGTGCGGCCGCTCTTTCACGTGACTGATTTTCCGCATGATCGATTCTTCACGTGGTCTGATATCCCCAGCGAACGGGTTGATCTGCACGAGCATCGGCAACCAACGCTTCGAGGATGAACGAGAAAAGCATTCATTTAACAATAACGTACAGTTTTTACGAATAAGCACATGGTAGACGCCCACCCCAAGTAGCCGACCCGGATACCCTAATAAGTACACACTACTACACTGACGTCCGCTGCGTGCCAGAACCGCTGGACCCACCGCCCGTTCGCACATAACTATGTATACATACGCGACTCGCGGAGGGGGTCAACCAAAGAGAGGCCCTGCCAATCCATGCACCCATCGATTGATCAACCAATCAATCCATCACACAAATCATACAGCCGAGTCGGACGAGGGGGGCGAGGGATCGACGACGCGCTCGACGACTTTGGTCATGCGGATGCCGAACTCGAGCGGATCGGGCGTGAATGTCTGCGCGCAGATCGAATCAAGTCATCATGAGCGTCTATCACTAACACGGTCCACGGGCAGACGCACCGAGTCCTGCTGCGTCGTCAAGAAACTGCCGTCCTGGCAGGCACATCACCGCATCAGCACCCAGAAAATCCCATGCATCGCCGAGTACGAGACGCAGACGCAGACGCAGACGCAGACGCACCTTGTTCGACCCGCGCGGGGAGATGACGTATCCGCGGGGGTGCTGGTGCGGCGGGTACGTCGAGGAGTACGACGCCGCGTTGAACTTGACGCGCGCGTTGAGCGTCGACAGCAGGCAGTTGCTGTACAGCTTCGACAGCGCGAGATCCCAGATAAAGTTCCTGTGCGCGCGCGGGCATGATCAGCCGGGCCGGGTCGCGGCGTTAAGCGGCGGGTGTGCGTACACAGCGTAATGCTGTTGTTGATAATGGATCGAAGGGACGTGGACGGTCAGATGACGGGTGCGCGACACGCGCGAGAATGACGGACCGGGAGAACCATGAAACACACGACGTCGAGGATGCTGAATAGCGCACTGGCGGGTGGTGTTCTCAGTCGCTGTCACCAGCAGGAAGACCCAGCGGAAGACGCTCACGTCGCTGCGCCCGTCTGGATCGTCACTAGAAACAACGATGTCAGTGTCGCACGCATCTCCAGGTCGACCGGGGGGGGCACACGACTTACTCCGGATGATCTTATCGAGCACCGAATCGGTCGCCGCGAAGCCCGTCTTCTTCCTGCTCTATGTACCAAACAGCCATGCCACGATGAGCTTGTTTATTCCTTCTGGTTGGGGAAACGCCACCGCGGCCGGAGCTTACCAAGCTGACGACCAGGGTGACCGTGATCAGGAGATCGGCGACGCAGGAGGTCAGAAACCAGACCAGCGCCGGGAGGTGCAGGAGCGGCTTCTTCGCGAAGAGACGCAGGATCTGGATCTCGGCCTGGGAGAGCGTCGGGGCAATCAAATCAGTCATACTTACTTGGCGGTGTGATTTGGTTGGAAACTCACAGTGGTCCAAATACCGCCGGCTGGGTTACAACATCGGATTCAGAATTTTCAACCGCAGCGTGGAATTTGGAGACACGCACCGAAGCTCGTGAGGGCCAGCAGCGCGATGAGGAGCGGGAGCCAGAGCGTCTTGGTCAACTGCCGGATCCGCCACGCGAAGAACAGCTGGACGGGCATCGATATCAGGACCTGGCAGGCAGGCCCCATCACCCAGTCAGGCCATGTTCGTGATCACAAGGGGGGAATCCAGACGCACGATGCACAGCGGCTCGGCCATGAACACTGAACGGGGATGAGTGAGCGATCATGCACACCCGATCCGCGCGTGCGGAGATACGACGACGACTGACGGGTGGGGAAATACTTCGGCTGTTGCCCTGGAACGCGTGAGCACTCCCCAAGCGCCGACAGAAGGGGGACGGATGCGCAGTACCGTACTGCAGGATGAGCGGCTCGTATATCATCGCCATGTCGAGCGCGGTGTTCGTCGTCTCGACCGTGAAGAGGTAGACCATGAAGATCTTCATCCAGATCGCGTCCCTGCAGCCAGTCCGTCAGCGCAACTCCTCGGCGGCTCGTATGACGCACTTCTTGTATGTTTGGACGTAGGTGACCATCTGCAGACGTGATAAGCGCCCGGCCGGGGACGAGCATCAATGTAACGCACCTGTACGACGAGGATCTGCGCCGCGGGTCAGCATGGGCATCCCGGATTGAGAGCACAGGGGCGGCGCACCCCGTAGAGTATCATATTGAAGAACACGCCCACGAGCATGGGCCCGTATCTACAACACACGGATGGTGAGCGAGCATCCCGCACGGCGGCGGATCAGATGAAGGGACTGACGACAGATGCACATCGGGCAGCGGCTGCGGAGCGCTCGCCATCGGAGTCGCGCAGGGAAACGAGCGTGGGGCTGACTGACAGTCGCGATGCGGGGAGGTGGGAAGGGGGCAGGCAGGGGGTGCCAACAAGCCGGGGCGCACACGACAACAACAACGGACGGCTTCTCGTGTCCTTGTACTTATACTTATAACTGTCCTGTCCTGTCCTGTCCTGTCCTGTCCTGTCCTCGGAACCCACAGAAGCAGAAGCCGCATCGGGGGTGTGGGTGCTTCCTCGGGTTGCGCCGGGCTGGGCTGGGCTGGGGCAAGTGCATCCGGCCGCAGATGCAGTTGGGCAGGCGAAGCATGTCATGTCATCTCCGGCCAGACCGAAGGCAAACAGCAGCATTAGCATCGCGCGATGTACACAATGGATAGATGGATGGATGGATGCAGTCGGTCGGTCGGTCGCTGTCTGATGTGGATACTTGGACGTTCTGCCTTTTCGGTTTCGCGCGCGGCGATCAGGAAGAGAGCCTATCGGGACAGCTGGGGCCGTGCATGCGGAGAAACTGACAGGGATCCTGGGGGGAGGCGTGTTTACACGCGATGTTATATTATGCCCTGCGTGCGAGCTTCACAGCGGGGGGAAGCGTGACCCGAGTGGGTGGCGGGAACCACCTAGACGACGACTGAGACTGAGACTGGGGTAGGATCGGAAGGGACGCAGAGAGAGCGAGTCAAAATGAAAATTGCCGGCCAGCCACGTACATACCTAAATTAAACCCATTGCCACGCCCTGTCACCCGCCTCCTCCCGCCGGGGCTTCTCTCCGAGCGCAGTCCAACATACTCGATGTCTCCTTGCACACCGCAGAGCTCTGATGGATGTGTTGGCTGGCTGGCTGGCTGCTATCTGTCACAGTGTCAGGGTCAGGGTCTCGCACGTAATCGAAAGAAGTCGGCCCGCGTGCAACCCAACGCACACTGCGTCGCGTGTGGGAGCGGGAGCCCCACATACGGATCGGCGTGACCTCCCGCATCTTACGCCATCTGAGCCCAGCCCCGAGACAAGAACAAGGGCAAGGGCAAGGGAACTGACTATGTGCGCCAAGATGCGGGACGGGGAGATGGATCCTCCCCGCTATTGTCGGGTCGCACAGCGGCACGGGCGACCCTTGCTTCCCTCGCTCTTCTATCGGGACCGGGTGCACTTCGCGCAACTGACGGGAAGAAAGCTACAGCGATGGGTGGCTGCAAATAACTAACTTGCAGCGCCGTGCCGAGTGCGGGCATGTGCTCATTTCGCGACTGGGGAGTTGTGTACGAGAGGGGCGGCCGGCCGGCTAGCAAGACGACGACGTTGTTCGTCAGAGGTCTGCACTGTTCTGCCTCGAGCGGGACACTAAATCCTATCCGCCCAACGATGTGGCATTTCACGTGATCGGTAAGTGCTGTTGCCGAAGGCCGAAGGCACATGACCGTGCTGACTTGTCAGTGTCAAGAGTTGGGACGCGCTCGTCTCCAGAGCACACAAGGTTTCTTCCAGCATCTACAGACTCTCTATTTTTTTTTGAATATCTTGCAATTCTCTGCCCTGCCGGGGAGCCGTAGACCGAGAACTCACACTGTATGCATTGCCAGAAATCTATCAGCATTCTCAGTGGATTTGAGCAGTGCAATTTGTCTAAAATTTCTATGTTATATTTATGTATACGACTGCCAGATCTTGTAAATGAAAGCCCATGAGCTATCTCTTGTGATTTTGATTTTTGATTAGATGAGCTTGGGGTCACTCTTTAGAGAGGATGACCCATGTATTTAGGTCCAGGATCCTGAAAAAGCTTTCAAATTCACCCCCCTGACTGGTCCAATTCATTCGGAGTCCAATCCCATGGGATTTGTCTCTGTCTCTGTGAGACTTTCATCGCAGTGTCGGACGAGTTTTGGGCGCGTGGATGGTCATGTGACCCCGGACCGTGTGATCCGTCTCACGTGCAATGCCACATCGTTGGGCGGATAGGATTTAGGGCCCGATCGGGTGCACTGCTTGCATCAGGCAGATGCCAATCTGATCTGCCTGACGACCTCTCCGAGGCAGACCGAAGCTGATCGGAGCCCTTCGGACATCCTCCCGACTGCCTGACGCGCTAGGTCACATATAGTCACATAAGTACATACTCGTCTTCGCACCTCCAGGTCCGCCAACCTTGTTGACGGCCTCAGCAACCATAGGCCACACGACGGGCTTCCATCCCGCGCCAGATCTATGAGTCTTGATGTGTTTTTTCAGGGTTTCGACGAGCGCTGCATCACAGGTAGGGCCCCACACACACTTGTCCGCAACGAGGCCCTCCTCCGCTCTGCGCTTTCCGGACTTTCGTTTGGGAGGCGCGTTGTTGGATGGTGGAGGTGGGGGAGGGACGGGAGTCTCAACAGGAGGCGCGGTTGTCGTGTCCGTCATAGAGCGTGAAAACGTCTCAATTAGGAGCGTGACATCAGACTACATCTAGGCGTTTCTACCGAGCACCTATTCTAATCTGCCTGACGGCAGGCAAATGCCTGATCTGCTCGGATCAGGCATTTGCCTGAAATTTGGCTCATCTGCCTGATGCAGGCAGCGCACCCGATCGGGCCCTTAGTGAGCGGGACGAGGTGAGGAGGCATATCGTCGGAAATTCTCGGATCACTCCCCTGGTTGATGGCTGACACATCACACCCTCCACGCCATCATCTTGCCCTTGCGCGTACTATGTATTCCCATCGCATCACGATCTCTGGCACACTGTTCTTCCCGCATTGAAAGAGCAGAATCTCCCGCATTGAAAGAGCAGAATCTCCCGCATTGAAGGAGCAGAATCGAATACGTGCTGATACGTGCTGATACGTGCAAGGTGTAAACTTGGGAGCCGCAGGCGCGTCTGGTCCGTGTCAGCCCGAAAGAGATAGACAGTTCTGAAACACGTGATATGTTATATACAGTTCCAGCGAGTATCACATGACCTCGCGATTTCAGATGAGGGACATGGGTAGCCTTGAGCTTTAGGTTTAGAGAATCAATTGATTGGAGTGTGTGTCCCACCTGTGGAATATCCACTGCAATGGCGAGAGCACTTATACTTGTGTGTTTGTGTCACCAGTGTTCTCACGGTTGAAATTAATCACGTGCTGCTGTGGTTGGAATATCAATACTAATAATAATAAAAAAGCGAATCGAAGAGCGAAAATCTATGGAACAAAGGAATGTATGGATATATGCGTATATCAATATCAATATAAACGGTGCGAATCGAACCTCAACGCCCTCAAATCACGGATGACACTCTGCATGTCCCCGCGATTCCACTCGCCCGTCCACACCTCGCCCTCCGAGTCCGCATCGTCGTCCTCGTCATCTTCGCCGCCGTCGAGGATGCCGCCGTAGTGAGCAAAGGGCACCGCCGCGGCGTGCTTCGCGGACGCGAACATATCCGGCGTCGGCGTGGCCGAGCGCGACTCGAAGCCGAGGTCGAAGCCGAGGTCGAACCCAAGGTCCGACGCCATCGACAGGACCGAATCCGCCTCGAGCGCGTCTGCGTCTGCGTCTGCGTCCGAGTAGTCCGAGTCCGACAAGTCCATGTCCGGCTGCACGTGCACCTCGCCGGACGAGAGCGACGGGTGGTCGAGGCGCACGCCGGAGGAGCGGTTGGAGGATGTGGGCGAGGCGAAGCGGAGGTCGTACAGCTCGGACTGGTCGTTGATCCAGTCCTCGTACGCCATGCCGGTGGTGTCCTCGTATTCGTCGTCCTCGTAGTACCCGTCGTCGATGCCCTCCTGCGAGAACGCGTGGGATGCGGACACGGGGGACGCGGATCGCGAGATGGTCCTCCTGTCGTCGTCGTCGTCGTCGCCGTCGTCGCCTTGACGCTCGCGGGTGGGTGTGAGCGTGTTGAGGCTCGCCCGGCTTCGGAGCCTGCCGACGTCTGCGTGGGGTGTTGCACGGAGAGAACTAGGCAATGAGGAGGGCATATCCATCCCCAACGTCCGCGCGAGCTTGTTCCCTCGCGCGGAGGGCACGAACAACGGGGCGCGGACCTGAGGGTCCAGCGGGGGAGGTGGGAGGGGTGCGGGTGCGGGTGCATGCGTCCTGTGACTGTGGGCGATCCACGGCAACAGCCGGAACTCGTCTCTCGCTTTACCCTTCCCCTCGTCTCTTGTCTTGGGCTTTTTGCTCTTCTTCACCCGGACGTGCGAGCCAGCACCGCCGCGCCCCGTCGGGCGATACACCATCTGGACCGACTCCGCATCGATACGCGCGTCGACATGGGGAGCAGCCCTAGGCTCGACCCGCACCGCAGCCGGCACGAGCGCCAGACCGCGCGGCTTGGACCCGACGCCACCGCGGCCGACGATGCGCGTCCCAGCGAGCTGTTGCTGGGCTGCGCGCATATACGCCGAGGCCGAAGCAGAAGCAGCAGAAGACGAAGAAGAAGCAGAAGCAGAAGCAGAAGCAGCAGTCGAAGAAGTGGGAGTGGAGAAAAAAGAGGACGGCAAAGCCCGGGGCCGCGATCCCCGCCCGCCGCGCCCAACCATGCGCACCGCGGCCAGTGCCGGGCCCGGGGCCCGCTCGGCTTGCGCATCTGTGTAAGCATCGCCTCGTCAGCCCAATAAAAAAAAAACCACGATTCGCAAGGGGGCCGACGCACCGGCGTACTGAATGGGGCTCCGGCTATCACTGCGCCCACGTGCGCTGCTGGAGCGGGGCCGGGGATCAGCATCATCGCCATCGCGATTATCAGGTGCATCAGCATCAGCATCCGCATCATGCAGCATCTCGCCACGGCGCGCATCACGAGCATCCGTTTCGGGTTGCGCATCTGCGCGGCCCCGGGGCCGCAAGGACGTCTTCGAGGTCGAGGAGGAGGCGGCAGAGGGAGAGGATGTGTGCGTGTGCGTGTGCGCGTGTGGATGTGGATGTGTCGAGGACGTTGAAGGTAAAGAGGAGGAGGAGGATACGGCTGCAGCATATCGCGCAGACAAGGCGTCCTGCGCGTGTCCTTCCACCGACTTCGTCACCACTCCGCGCAGCCCGCGTTTCCGCTTGAGGGGCCCTGGCACCAAGGTCGACACGCTCGCAAGCATCAGGCGCGCGGGCTGTATCCGGGGAGGAGCGACTGGTGCACGGACGCCAAAGTAGGTTCGACGACGATTAGGAGTGCGCTGGAAGCTGGCGATCACGGTGGAGCGGTAGGTAGTGGGCGGGTGGCAAGGCAACAGAAATCAAGAATAGGGAAAGTTGAGTGGGGGGGCCCCACCGGGACCGGGGGCGGGTGGTGGTGGTCAGAATGCAAGAAGTATTTCACCCGCTGCTCGTACGTAAGCGAAAGGTTGCTGCTGCTGTCTCAGCAATATCAAGCCCTTGCGGAGATCTAGAACCCACGCGCGCGCTCCTCGACCGGAGGTGCACGAACTGTGCATACAGTTGGCAGGAATTCGCCCCGTTACGCACACCTGGACGCAATCAGCATCAGCATCAATCGCAAGCACCCACGCACTGCGCGCTTCTTCGAACCGTGATCCCGGCTGCGTGGTCGGTGGCGGATCTCCGTGAAGTCGGCTGGTGGGTCCGCGGAGGTGGGCTGGCGAGCCTGGACGGAGAATGCGTTTGCGTGGTGGGTAGTTGAACGTCGGGGCCTGGGGCCTCTCGGGGAGTCTCGGGCTCTCTGGCTTGGAGTCCAGCGCAGGATGTGCCCCGTCTCCCCTCAGCCTGCTCTCCTTCGCAGTCCCATCCCATGTCAACTAGCGAACCCCCTCATGCCAATGCCAGCACAGGCAGCCGCCATTGCATCGTCATTCCACCTCTAAGCGCTTTCTCGACAGAATCAATGACAGCCTGTCGATGGCCAGACACGGCGGGGGCAGCCTTCTAGATCCTCGTCCCGCCAGGCGTTTCACGAGGCTCGGCAGCACGGAAGCACTCTGCCAGCCCCGGCTGGTGGTGGTGAAACAGGGTGAAACAGAATGTCGCATGGATAAATGGACGCGGTAGATATCGCGAGGCACTAAAACAGTATATACGTCACACCCTTGACACCGACTAATAATTATCGACCCACTCCCAGACACACAGAATGGTGTGCGCATGCGCACTGATGCGATCTAATCGTATCTTATCTGCCTGCCGGGTCCGCTGTGTTAACTTCTCAGCCGCAAAAGACAATCTGGGAAAACAGCGTCAGTGGGCGGTGGGCATCAGGTCAAAATCAACATGGCTGACCGCGAGGTTACAGTTGGCCGTTTGGCAGCCGACGACGACCGGCTGTCCCGGGAGGCCTTGGAACCCGTTGGGGCACCCAGGGATGGTACCTAGCAGAAAAGAGGGCGGAACATATCAATAGAGCGCATGCAGCACATGACCAACGAGCACTGACAGTCCGAGCCAGCTCCGTCACAGCCATTGAAATACCTGCGGATGATGAGTCGCCTCAACGCCACGACCGCGTTCCTCAGCTCACCCGAAACCAGACGCCACAGAGAACGCATGTCTGCGCGGAACGCACGCAGGGTCAGAGCCCCGATACACGCCAGAGGAAACGGCAGACTCACGGAGGCGCGTCGGAGACATCCGCCGTGCACGACCCGTTCTTGAGCGTCACGTCGATCGTGGTGCATCCCTCGCCGTGCAGACCGCATTTGCCTAAGTACAGGCACGGTCGAATTCAGCGAGGAGCTGCTGGGTCAGGTACGTGATCTCATCGTACCGGTCTGGAGATAAGATACGGCACCGACGAGCGGGCCGTTGATCGTGAAGTCCGCTGGACACGCCAGTCAGTGGTTGGTTTGGTTCAACGCTCTGGGGTTCAGTCACCTCCAGTCGAAAGGACAGTCGAACCCTCCACGAGCGTGGGCTAGATGGAAACCGCACCCAAATCAGCCGAGTCCGACATTTGGCTTAATGTGATGAACGTACAGTTCCGAACCCGCAGCTGTCATTCACGAAACGACGCATCAGCCAGGTCGAAGACGCAGCGGGCCCACGGACTTGTTTGTGAACACGACAGTGTGTGTCTCCGCTCTGCTTCCAGCCACAGCGAAAGCTGCTATCGCGAGGAGCGCCCAAGGGGAGGAGAGTTTGAACATTGGGATCACGACACACAGCGTTAGATGGAGATTGTTCATATGCACATTCCGGGTTTATATATAAATACTAGGAGCGGTAACGATCCCGCGCTACAATCCGCTAGGCACCACAGGTCTAACAACCCCCAGAGGACTAGCCGCGGTCCCGCTGCTGTATTCACACATCTCGGGAACAGATCACGTCTTCTCCCGAGGAGGACCAGGCAAGGGTATATATTTGTGGTTTTCGTCTCGCCAACAGCTGGACTGCGCACTTGTCTCGAAGAGGGACTGATGTCATCCAGCTCGATCCAGTACCAACAAGACAACATCGCATCATGCATTTTTCTAGTCAGATGTGCGTAGATAATCACGTCCTTACAGCTCCCCGAAATGCAAGACTTCCAGGGACAGCGCATGGGCGATCACACCAAACTACACGCACAGTCAGCACCGAGCACAAAGGAATCACACGAGCGCACACGCACCTGCACGCCCAGGATACACTCGTCGTTGATGATCGCCGCGCCCCAGTCGAACAGCTCCTTCGACGTCGTCTCCACATACGGCAGCGTCGAAACCAGGGGCCGGCGGAACGCCCGGAACTGCCTGAGAGTGCCCCTGACCTTGCCACCCTCCATGGGCTGCACGACCGCATGCGGGCCATCGACTGCACCACGCCGCAGCGCGTCCTCGAAGCGGCCGGCATTGAAGTCCAGGACGCGCACGGGGGCGCGCGCCTCCGCCGCCGCGTGGTCGATGTACACGAGGCGCTGGCCGTGCGTGACCGTGATGTAGCGGAAGTGCAGGTCCTCGCCGTCGAGGTAGCACATCGCCGGCGCGGCCCATTCGTCCCAGCTCAGGCGTTCGCGTGCCATCGGACCGCGGAGGAGCTTGTCGTACAGCGGCCGCTTCGAGACGATGAAGATGTGATCGTCGGCGGCCTCGAAGAGACCCTGCTGGTCGAAGCGGCCCATCGTGAAGGAGAGGAGGATGATCGCGTCCTCTGCGCGCGGCACGAAGCGTGACGAGGGCGCGGATGGCGCGGGGGGAGTGGGGGACACGGCTGCAGTGGGCGACACACGGCATTGAACGTGGAGCACTTCCTGGCCGCCTTTGATGTCGGGGAACTCGAGGAGCGATAGCTCTGGCTCGGTGTCCTCGCTGTCGGAGTCGGGGTATTCGACGACGACAAAGCATTGCACGCGGACGTCTGGCAAGAGGAGGTGCCTTGGTGTCAGGAAGATCAAGCCCGGCGAGCTGAGAGGGAAGAAGTCACTCTGCGGCAATCAGGGGCGAACGACGAGTAGAAAGGGACTACACACCTTCTTGCGGATCCCTGTGCGCCAGTTGAAGACATGCAGGCTGTCTTTGTCCGCTGTCCGCGCATTGCCATAGAACAGCGACATCGCCAAGTTCTCGCCAACGATCTCGATCGACACGCTCGGCGGGCCGTGCGTAGTGTCCGTCTCTTGCACGGGAAGCACATGCTGGCGGGCCTGCGAGTGGGGCGCGCCAGACGAGAAATGGAAGAAGGAGACGTCGATCTGGCGCCGCGTCTGATCGAGCGACACGCTGCGCGACGACGCGTCAGCCCCACGGGGACGCAGCAGGCAGAGAAGAACACGACGCACTAGGTCACCATCACGATGAGATCGTGCTCCTCCACCGCCAGCCCGAAGTCGATGACCGGCTTCCCGGCGTTGATCCTGCGCCACACATCCTCATCCACACCCTCGGCCGGTCCCTCGCTCTGTGGGGCGGCCGCAGCAGCAGCAGCAGCAGCACGCGTCCGCAGCACGCGCACGCCTGTGCAGCGTCCGTCAATCATCTCCCCGGACCCGTCGCCGAGCACGAACACGTCGCCCGCGAGGTCGTAGATGCTCGTCGTGGGGAACGGCACGGTGAGCGAGGCCCGGTGCGCCGGGTCGAAGGCCGCGAAGCGCTCGTTCGTCCTGCGCAGCAGCCGCAGGCGGTCCGAGACAGGCGGGGGCGACGATGCGGGGTGTGCGAATGCCGGGCTCTCCTCCACGCATGCGGAGTCGAGGGCGCGGCGGTACGCGATGGCTACTGAGCCAGCGATGAGCGAGCGGAGGAGGGTGTTTCCGACGAAGTGCTCGAGGGTATGGATGTCGGAGAGCGGTAGGTATGACAAGCAGACATGGATAAGCTCTGGTGGCAGATCGAGTATGCTGTTCATCTGCATCGATGAAGCTTGCCAATGTCTCACTCCAGGACAACGGGTAAAAAGTGATTGTCACGTCATCGTCATCGATGACGGGATCACGTGAGCCACAACGGGGTTCACTGAGGTTCACGCATGAAATTGGCAGATGAGGCCGAGTCTGAGTTGTATTTTTACACTCGAATATTTTAGCCATGATCTTCATCTTCATGTCTATTCCAGAGTTTCCGGTAGTCCGCCTGGACAGCCTGGCAAGCCAACATTAATGATGAGACCTCGCGCGCAGCAGGGCTTGCCGAAAGACATCATGGTCATGTTACTCTTCGCTGCATCGATCGCGCGTCTACCGGGTCCCCATCCATATTTTCTATTTCTCTAAATGTAGAAGAGCGATTTACGTCATCGCGCACGTTCAACAGTACCGACGACCGAACCAAAAGCGGTTGACATCAAACTATTTGGGTCCCGCATAGGACGGGAGTGCATTGAACAAGATGAGAGCGCTTCGTTCAATGTTATTCCGCGGCGTCCGCTGCTCTTGTTGCTATATGTGTCCACAGTCCGGCTTGCCTGACGCCCAGAGCTATCCAAGGATTATGACACAGAATCTGGCGTCAACATCGCCCTACCGGTTCATTCCAAGCGCTCTATTACGGACTGAGCGCTATAATGATTATCATCGTACGTTTCCCTCTATTCGGGTCCGACTCCAGTACATTCCCGGTCAGCTGTGTTCAGTTGTGCATTATGAGTGGAGCCTGGTCAAGACTTGGATGGCCCAGTGACGGAAGGAAGTGTCGTTTGAATAATGACCCTTACGGCGAACTGAATTCGTTCACGGCATCCAAACACAAAGCGCGTGGGAGTTCTGCGTGAGGCTCAGACGGCCGACAGGTTCTGTGTTGAATCGCGGGAGAGAATCATCGGGGACCATGCCCGTGTCCCCAGAATGCGAGCATTGATTCCCCATTGCCTAGTAGTTGCAAAGATTTGTATCATCAGGCGAGCTACTGGGTATAAAATCCAGTAGAGTAGGACTTCGAGTCTCCAGGCTCCCACTCAAACGGTACCTACCCCCCACTACCTCTCTTCCCCACCCAGAAAACCATGTTCAAGCTCGCCTCTGCGTTCGTTCTCGCTGCCTTCGCCGCTGCCGGTGTGATGGCTGAGCAACACACGGTTCACTTTTCCAACAAGTGCGTTCGCGGTGCCCAAGCCTGAATTGACTCGGGACGGCGCATCTGATTAACTTCACAGCTGCGGGTTCGGCACTGTAAGCATCTGACAACCGCAAGGACTCGCCTCGCCTCGCTCACGGGAAATCTCAAATTCACACAGCCCACGCTCATCCAAGGCCCCAACGTTCTCTCGACCGGAGGTAAATCTCACACATTTCATATTTGTGGCTCTACAGCGGCTGATCCCGAGCCGCAGGCGACTTCACCAGCAACGGCCCGCTCATCAGCGCCATTGCCTACCTCCAAACGGGTCCGTTGTGCATCCCCTTCATCTTCGGTCATCCGTTTTGACCAGTCATCGCAGGCAGCTGTGGCTTCAACGGAGAGGGCTGCACGCTCGTCGAATTGACGCTGACCAACGGCTTCTCCAGCGCCGATATCTCGCTGATCCCCCCGTGAGCCTTGATGTCGTTCGTGCTCTAGTCGGATTCTTACAGAGCGAACCCTACCAGACATGCGTTCTCTGTCACCTCGGGCTTCGGGTGAGTATTTTCAGCCGCGCATATGATCAGCACAGATTGAGAACGTACGCAGCTACTTCAACGGATGTGACGGGGCTGGCGCCGACTGCGAGTCCACACCCCTTTTCCTGCCTGCGGCGTGACTGACTGATTGGTTCGACAGGCACCAACCCGAGCTGCCCCACGGCGTTCTTCAACCCCGACGAGACGTTCAAGCAGGTCGGATGCCCCGCTGCGAACTGCAACCTCGCCGTGAGTGCCGGATGCTCCCTCGTGGATTCGACTGAACAAGTGCTGATATCCCCCTGCACAGATCACCTTCTGCGAGTGAGCGGCGCAAATCGCGCGATCCAGTGTACAATATACAACAAATTAGCACTGCTATATGAATTGAATTACCTACTTGTGAACCCATTTCTTGTGAACGTCCGAGCGTCCCAGATTTTTGATTTTCAGGCTGTGTCTAACAGGGAGCCCTAATACGCTGGTGGCATGTTTGTGCTACATCCATAATTGCTCGCTTCACCTGGTCAACGCCACCGGTGCGCCACCCCTAGAGTCAGGGGAAAAGCACCGGCGAAAGCCGAGCTCCGTCCTTCCGGGCCCTAGCAGAATTCAAATCGAATTCACTTATGCCCAATGCTGCTCAGGGATGAATTTTTGCCGCCTCGACCGCACGATCTTTCGCAGAGAAAGGCGAGATCGAACCCAGGCCGCTCGTAATGGGCCGGCTTCCTGCGGTTGCTTCCGGGTGGCGTGATCTATTCCAGTCGATACAAAAGGCGCTGGATGAGGGAATACTGTCCCCAAGCCCTCACTCCATCCATCATCTCATACGCCGAATCACATTTTTCTCCAATGTTCAAACTCGCGCCTGCTTTCGTCCTCGCCGCCCTCGCCGCAACGGGTGTGATGGCCGAACAACGCACTGTGACTGTGGTCAACAAGTACGTCGATCGATCGCTTTGTCAGGCCCACCGTATCTGACTAAATGCGCAGCTGTGGATACGGCACTGTACGTTCTTGACGAACATCTGCGACTGGGACTCGCCGACTGACTGGTTATCGTCCCATCGTACCGATTTACAGCCCACCTTCACCAACGCCGGGAATGTCGTCACTACTGGAGGTATAGACCTCACTCTCCTTCCAATGTTTCCATATGCTGAGACCATCCCCAGCGTCCTTCCTGTTCAGCCAAGCGACTGCCGTCTACCTCCAAAATGGTACGCCTACAGCACTGCCTCGCGCACTCACTCACGTGTGTTAAACCCCACGCCCCGCCAGGCAGCTGCGGGCCGAACGGCGAGCGCTGCACGGCGGTCCATCTCGCGCAGGCCTCCACCTTGGGCCTGAGCTACCGGATCTCTGTCACTCCCCCGTAAGTGCACTGGATCTCGGTTTCGCTCCCGTAACCTCACTTGGAATGGAAATCCAGCAACGCGTACACGGTCCCCGTTAGCGTCCAGTAAGCCGCGTTCCCTGAGTGAACAGCCCAAAATATTGAGTCTCATGCAGCTTCTACAACGGCTGTGAGGGTCAAGGCGCCGAATGTGAGTAGAATTTCCGTGCTTGATGTCTCATCCGACTGATCCCGTACCGTTATCGCTAGGCAAGGATCCTTCCTGCCTCGGGAGCGCCTTACGCGGCGAGTGTTTCCTCAAGGACAGCGACCTGCAGGTACGTGGACATGGTGGTGGAAATCCAGGGCGTGAGCTGCATCTGAGTCCCTTGCACAGATCACATTCTGCCCTTCGGGACCTGTGGATGTGCCAGCGCCCGCTGCGGCTGCCTAAACACGTAGCTTACTTCACTCTACGAAACGCAATCGAATCAAAGATTCTGAAAATCCAACACTTTCGTGAGGGACCTACATCCCGTGGTAGAGTTTGAAGTTAGCAAGCAGATTTGGAACGGCTCCGAGAACCGCTGAGTAGCGGGGATTTCAATAAATGCCTCCAGCTCACTTACGTCCTGGGATGTAACGATAGTGAGCGAGCAACTCGTACCCAACTGTTTTGGCAATCGAACAATCTGGGACATACCCGGACAGCCAACCAGCAGTGTCTCACGGTTGACACATCCCAACTCCACCCGCAGTCTCCCAACGTATCAAATAAATACAACAGATACAATCATCCATATATGTAGATCGTCACAGTCCTCAGAGAACCAACGCCCCGCCCGCCAACGCAGCAATCAGTACGACCCACGTGCACAGCAGCAACTGCACACGCCATACGCCACTCCCCACCGCCGGCGCCGCCGCATTCGAGCTCTGGCTCGGCGACGCGACGGCGACGCTGCCACTCGGCGCACCGGTCGTCTGCGCGACGCTGAGCGCACTAGCGCTCGCGCTGGCGTTGGCGGCGAGCGCGGGGTTTACGGTGTACGTGCGGATGTACGGGATCTCGAAGTATGCGTCGGCGTAGTTCGACCCGTTGCCGGCGATGTTCGACGAGAACTGCTCGGGGGTCGCGTTCAGCAGGCGGGCTAGCGGGGAGATACGGATGGGACACGTACGCAGGTGCCCTTGCAGTCTTGGCTGTATATCGTATCGATTCCCGCCCTGTAATTAACACGCTCCAGCCAATGAAGACGTGGAATGAACAGACACGCACCAGAGCCCACAGAGTGTGATATCCACGATCAACTGCTGCGCTGCAAAAAAGTGCGAGATGTTGCAGCCGGCAGCCGGGTACGACGCCGACGGCGTGCCCCAGTCGGTTAAATTCATCGTCTGTTTCGGCGTCGCTTGGTCGATGGATGCCGGCGTCGCATTTCGCTTCCGGACTCAGTTAGCACTTAGCCAGCAAACTCGACACAAACAGGCACGTACGGGCCAGAACCACATGAACACCCCGGCGGTATCAAATTGAAGCGCAAACACGCCGCCGTTGTTCGCGTTGAATCCCGGGCCGTACGAATTGGGTTTCGTCTCGGCGACCGTGCACCCGGATGCCGAGGTGTCGTTGCAGTTTTTAATCAGGGACTGGAGCTCGGATAAGCTACATATGTATGGCAGCAGCAGAGCAACTCGCACCTGCCCCAGCTGTGTCACATTCGCAGGCTGGACACATCCCTCGAAAGAATGGAGAGCCATTTGATTGGCCGTCATCTGCCCGAGATAAGCGTCATCTACGCGGTATCGAAACAACGCACGAGATTGATCGCCTCGACGAGATCGATCTCTCCCCCGTTCGGCCACACCTGGCCCGGCTGCAGCACGCCGTTGAGCCAGATACTCGGCCAGACGGAGCAGCCCCAGGGCATGTGCAGCGCGTCGATGACGAACAGGGTCCCGAGGTCGAACGCGGTTTTCGACGTCAGCCGGACCTAGATCAGTATCTACATAAGCCCTGGCTAATCGAAGAGAGTGTGCGACGGGGAGACGCACGCTCTTGCGATACTGCACGGGCCCGACGTCCAACACCGTGCTCCGGTCATCGACTTTGATGATCGCGTTCCCTGCGGCGTTGCTGAACGCCAGCGACTCGGCGGTCGCATCCGCAGCCGTCACGTAGGTTACGTTGCCTGTAGATTGGATGATGCATGGATGAGTCCCCGCCGCACGCCGCTGAAAAGCTACCAAGCAAGACGCACCCCACGTCGTGTTGTCAATCGCGCCGTAGAAATCGAATCCGTTGAAGAAGGTCGTGCCGGAGTACTCGATGTACGGGTAGTACGTCGCGCGGGCCGGCGTGAGAAGGAGGGAGAGGAGAAGGCTGAGCGGCAGCATGGTCGTCGCGGTCGTCTGCGTCGTCAGTCGTGGGTAGGTCGTAAGTGCGTGCGATGAGGGAGTATAGATCCGTCCTCGCGTCTGTGACCACCATTCCCCATCGTCAGCCTTCTCCCGGTCCTCGGCCGCAGCGGGCTCCTCCGCCCGAGCACGCACCTTCGTGTCCTCCGTTTATCTGCAGCTGTGGTCCCTATGCTAGCCGGGGTCGATGATGTGAGCGACGGGTGTGAGCGACGGGTGTAGGTGCGAGTGCGGAGCAGGACGGGCCACGGCCGTGGTGTGCAGCAGAGCGTGGGCTGTGGGCTGCGATGACGAGTGTCGCGCCGGAAGCGGTAAACGAACCGCCATGGCAGGCACGTGGGTGCGCGTTTTTTCGGAGTGCCGGCCTGCCGGGGGTATCATGTGACGCAGTTGACAAATGATCTGATTCAGATAATCACTCGGCACGGGGCGGTATTTGTGTCCCTTGGCTCTCGCGCTGGCCTACTCCTCGTCGCTCTAATCGCGCAACAAGCTTCACCTCCAAACCTTGAATGGTGCGTCTACGGTTGCCAGCCTGTCCAGCTTGCTCACTTACTCCACTCTCGCATGCCCGCAGGTCCTCATCGACACAACCAACTACGCATGTGAGCCCTGCATCCGCGGCCACCGCGCCTCGAGCTGCACGCACGAATCCCGGCCTCTCGTCGAAGTTGCGCCTAGGGGTCGCCCGCAGACGCAGTGCGGGCACTGCAAGGAACTGCGGCGGGTCAAGCAGGTGCATATAACGTGCACGTGCGGCGCGGGAGGCTGCGGTAGCAAGGGGAAAGGCAGAGGCAAAGGCAAGGCTGCAGGTGCGGTTTCTCCTCCCGGTTGTCTCTCGGATCTCCAAATGCTGAGAGGTCTATTACAGACCCGGATGCTAAGCCAGCATGCATGTGCAGCTTCTCGCTCGAGTGCACATGCTGGACACCCCGCGCCCGGCCGAAAGCCAAAGCCACGCCCAATCTCCGCTCCCCAGCCTCCTCCTCCCCCTCACCTACATTGACATCTTCCATTACCATATCCGGCCCCCCTGCGTCGCCGCCGTCAAGTGACACCTCGGACGAGCCGGACCCCGACCGGGAATGGTTCGCGGCTATCCTCCGGGGGGACGAAGAGCCGTACGCCGAGCTGCTTGAGCTTGCGGTGCGGGCGGCGGCGGCGCAGGGTGTGCCTGTGCCGGTCTAGAGGCCGGGCAGCCCAAGCGATCCCGACGAGACTGGATTCGGCTTTTATTTCATTGTCATACTTTGTAATGTTCAGTTAGGATATTCTTCGTGGTTCTGTAGGGATAAGCAGCTGGCCTCTCATTTTTTGTGGGGGGCTGAGGGTTATTCAGGGCGAGAAGCGGGAGACGACCCTAATTCCAATGGCATTCTAAGTAGAACCGTGAGAGTGCGAACGAGCGAGGATCTTGCCTGAACCTTCGCGCAGATCAATTGCGGTTGCGGCCCAATCCTAACATAAGAGATCATCCTCTGTGCCACGCGCCTTCACAGAAGGAATGAGATACTGGCAGGATAATCCAGGCTCTATTAGACGTTCCATCGCATCGGGACTCACGATCGGTCCTAATAACAGAGCACTTGGACAGACCGAGCAAACATAATTCAGGCATTGCAGGCCCGGGCCGAAGTGGGCTACCCTGCACCGCCACACCCGGGGATCTCAATCTGATGGCCGGATGTGTAACTGTCAGCGCGCATCTCTGACAGGTCCGCTCCCTAGTTCCCATCTGTCTCTGGGTCCACAGCCAACGGAACGACACGGGGATGATCAAGATGACGGACGCATGAAACGTACATGGGCGCCTCAGATGACGACGCCAGCCGAGTCCCACCTTCGTCTTCGCCTCCACCACCTTTTTTCTGCCAGCCTTTCTACTCGGACCTTGTGTCCCTCACCCCTTTAGCTTTTATCTTTATCTTTATCTCTTTCGTTCTTCTTCCTCTTCTTCTTCTTGTGATCCGAATGAGCGCACCGAGCTTTGAGCTGCTGTCAGTACCGGCGAATGGGCGTAGTAGAGTCGGCTGAGCTGTGGACAGGTTCGCGCCGCTTTTGTTTGGGGTCGTCTTGAACGCGATGCTCTTCGGGGTGTTCTGTGTACTGGTGCGTCTTTGAAGCTTCCGACATCCGTTATACCGAGTTCGAGCTCATTGTAATTCGCAGGTGTATTCGTATTTTCATCTCCACAAAGTGTGCGTCGGCTGTTTGATCCCACGCTCCTGGTGTTCATGCGTACCGCAGCGAGCGCGGCTGGGTGCGATATCTTGTATACTATCTCGTGGTGATGGAGGTCATCAACACTGTATGCGATATCGGTCTCATCTACGAGCCTCTTATTTTCCTCCATGGTAGAACAACCTTCCCATTGATAAAAACGCTTATCTGATCCTATGCGATAGACAACCCGCAAGTCACTGTCCGGTCACCGAAGCGTGGGTTGTCTCCATGGCCGTTCTTATTCCTTTGCTCATCTATATTCTGTAGTATTAGCAGCAGGTAACCCGATTGCATGCTTTCTGTGGATTCACGGGAACTGACGATCTCGATCGGCGATACAGACCCGGTTGTTACGGCAAGTCCTGAGACATTCTCTCCCACGTACATATGCTGAGGGAGCCCGCAGACGCTGATATCAACACCCACCCAATTATTCATGGCCTGGCGGATCAAGCTGATCACCAAATCTAAAGCCCTCGGGGCATGCGTCGCATTTCTCGCGTTTCTCTCGCTCAGTGCGTACACAGATTCCCCATCTCTCGACCATCTCGTACTCCCCACTGACGTGAATTGTTTGCAGCGGGGGGCGTCGCGTCATCGATCGGTGTTGCCCAGAGCCCGGATTTCAGCGATTTTCAGCACCACCAGGTGCCGCTCACGCTGTGGCTCACCTCGACCGCATTTGCGGATCTGTTCATCACGACGTTCCTAGTCAATTTCCTAGTGAGTTTGTCTTCCTCGTATTATATCCGCTGTGTGTTCCAACGCGTCCCGCAGTGGAAGCATCAAACTGGATTCCACACACGCACGGACTCGGTGGCCGACAAAATCATCTCGTTCACTGTCCAAACGGGACTCTTGACGTCCTTCGCTGCGATTGCAGATGTGACGCTCTTCCTAATTGTGCCGGTAACCTTCTTTCTCTTCAGATCCGCAGCTGGAGATGATAATAGAATGATCAGCACACCACCTTGATGTTCATTTGGGACTTTTCGTTGTCTAAGATGTATTCGATCTGTTTGCTTGCCGCGTGAGTCTGGTTGCTGTTTAACATGCCTGACCAAACAGAGTGACGATTCAAACAGACTCAACGCCCGGCACGAGTGGAATATCCTGCTCGATCGCCCACGACCGCAGGATCTGCGAGATGACAAATCTGGGATCATCAAAATCCGCAAAGTGGTCAGTCCGTCCGTGCCAATCACGCCCCCGGGGCCCTGATACGCGTGCACACAGAACGACCTCGAAGGGTTGCAGCTGTACAAACCAGAGAACTTTTCTCAGCCGGCGCCGATATCGCGTCCTGGCGCAGCGTCGACGAAGAGCAGCGCCACCCTCGTCTCGAACTCGAGGTCCGCGAAGCAGCCTCACGCGGCGCGCGCCTACTCGCACAGTGCCCCGCCGCCGCCGTCTTCATCATCTTCACGCTCTCGGTCGGGAGATCCGAACCCACGATCGTGCTCGGAAGCTGGAGGGAGGGGCGGTGATTCTCGGCGTGCTCGGGACGACCGACGGCTGCCGGCTCCGCCATCGGGCCGCTCGCGGACGGAGTCACCGCCGGATACGCGCTCTCGGGGGTCTCAGCCTAGGAGGATAGGGTAAAGGCGTGTGGGTTTTCCGGTTAGGGACTTTTGTATGTACATTAGGGCCTGATCGGGTGCGACGCTTCACCGGCCGTTTTGAAGCGTCCCCTGCCAAAAGTGAAGCGTGCCGCTCCAACACGTAAAGATCACACGCTTGCATTGCCGGGCGTTCGGGTGCCACGCTTCAAAGCTGTCACACCTTTCCACGCACATACCATACATACTCGCGGTGGCCTAAGCACTGGTGAAAATCACTCGATGGCCGAGCGTTTGCCACCCGTCAACACAGTTCCTGCTGCAGCTGAGCCCGCCCCCACCCCCGCCCCTGCAGCTGAGCTCGCCCCCGCCCCCGCGGCTGCCCCTGCCCCTGCCCAGAGGAAGAAGAAAAAAACAACGGGACCTCGATGCACCTGGAGCGACGAAGACGACGAGAAGCTTGTGCAGAAACTTCGCGAGCTCAAAGACCTTGGATTCCAGTCGGATAGTGGATGGAAGCCAGGCACTTGGATCTCTTGCGCTACCGTTCTGCAGGGTGGTCGCGGTGGCGAGAAGACCCCCGACAAAGTGGCTGATCATTACACCAATGTACGTACCTTCCACGGCTCCATCGCTGAACCTGATTCGATGTGAACAGATCAAGGGGGACTTCAATCGTGTCCGCACCATCCGCAATCAATCGGGCTTTGGATGGGACGCAAACAAGCAAATTTGCACTGCGAGCGAACCTGTTTGGAGTGCATATATTGCGGTGCGTGTTTCCGACGCCCGAATACTCGACCGCTCAGAGTAACCTTCCCACAGCGGCACCCCAAGGCCAGCAAATGGCAGTCGACACCGTTCCCATTGTACGAGGACATGCTGTATCTCGTAGATGGCATCGTTGCGACTGGTGAAGGTGCTTTCCATCCTGGGATCCCGACTATCACCCCTGCGGATGTGGTGTCCTCTGTGATTGACAATGTGCTTGGCAAGTCGTGGTCGCAGTCGCAGTCGCAGTCACAAGCGACTGATGAATACCAGGAGAACGATGGTCTTGCAGGTAACCTGTCGATCGAGGTGTGTGTGGCCTTTGCATTCAGAACATCGGAACTGATCATTGAGCCAGACCCTTGTCAACGATGATCTGACACCTTCGTCACCGGTGCGACTTCTGCAGACCCCAGTTTGCTCAGCAAAGCGTGCAGCATCACGTTCTCCGCAGGACACTGGACGTAATCGGCGACGGAGGAATGCCGAAGCCACAGCAGATCTTGCTGTTGCTCTTCGGAACGTCACATCATCAATGGTTGTTGTGGGAAGCCCTGAGATTCGTCGCCAGGCCATATCTATGATGGAGGACGACAATGAGTTTTCGGATGACAAGGCTGTGACTATAATGAAGGTATTCCAACGTGATTCCTCAGTTGCGCAGACATACATTGCTTCAGCAAGCAAAAAACGTCGCACCGCATTGATTCGTTCGGTTGTCGAGGATATTGATAGTCGGAATTAGTACGTAGTATGTATTCAATTGCAATTCGCTATGCTACTGTAATGGATTCCGAGCTTGATACACCAAGTAATCTTGCCACATTTGTTCAGTGATCTGGTCTCGACGAAGCACTGCTCGGTTTCTTTCCTTGATGCTGATATTCCATCCAAGCTCGGCTTCAGTGATTTCTGGTGTGGATGTGTCTGCAGGCAACACAAAATCCGTGAAACTGGTAGGGCTATCTTCTGATCCGAAATGGTCTATGTGTTCATCGGTCCGATCAAATAGACGGAGGAAGTTATGCAAAGCAGCAAGGGCAGCAACCAGCTTGGCTTGTGTTGCCATGGAGTATTCTGGGGCACGTGAAAGCACCATGAAGCATCGCTTCATGATGCCAAATACACGCTCAATAACGTTTCGCAGTTGTGCATGTCGCAAATTGAAGAGCTCTTCTCGGTTCTTTGGTCTAAAGTGTATCAGCTCAGGATTCAGAGTTCTATTTTGGAGACATACTTCTGATTTGCTGTGCCCCACTCTTTGAGATGGTATCGGACACCACAGTATGGTGTGAGCAGAGCATCACATAAGGGAAATCCAGCATCAGCAAGATAGTACTCCCCAACTGGAATTGCCAAGTCTCGCTCTCGTGCATACTCATAAATCTTGGAATCAGAAGCACTTCCTTCCCAGCCACTCAGGATGTAAATGAACAGCATCACAAAGTTGCATGCAGCCAAAACATTCCGCCCCAGAAACCCTTTCCTGTTTCGGTATTGAGGTGCAGCCTCTGCTGCAACCCAGGCGTAGAAGTGAGACCCATCAATGGCTCCTCGACAGTTGCGGAAGTATGGGTAGAATTTGGGATTGGACTTGACTTCTGGTGTTGTCTGGTCCAGGGGCAGATGCACATACTTCTTGTAAAAAGCGCCAACGAGGCATTCTAGAACAGTGTGCACTGACCTACAATAATGTATGTGAAAATGAGTACCGCAATATATCTGAGACATCTGTGTACATACTTTGAGATTGTATCTGCGCTTCGTTGAAACCGCTCTTGAAGCATTCGACTGGTAGCTCCCGTGCGAACAAAATACAGAAAAATCCCCAGCTTCTCTTCGCCCATCATGTATTTTGAGTTTGACAAGCCTGACATGGTTCTGAGTTCAACAAGAAGCTTGATGAAGACCTCTTTCCCCAAGCCAAGTTGGTCCCGAAAGCATTCAGTGTTTGTGCAGTGGTATAGCTCTGTCAACCAACTCTGACCCGAAAGGATAGACGTGTATTTGGGGATGGGCTCAGCTGTCGAAAGAAGCACAGATGCAGTGAATGTGACTGCAAGGGCCACAAGAGCACCAACAACATGGTTATGGTGTTGGATGGCCCGTTCTTTTCTCCGTTTTTCGCTGAGTGCCTTCTTGTATGTCTTCCGGGAGATCAGACGCGCCATGGCAGCGTTTTGGCGCGACATCGAGCAAGCGCGCAGTGAAGGAAAGGTTATTGATTGAAAGTAAGGATCTGTGACATGATGTGACTACCTGCGTGGAGCGTAACCAAGGGCGCTCCGGAGCGGAGCATAAGCGGGACGCCCAGCAGAGCGTCGCACCCGATCAGGCCCTTATGTCTACCTGGAATTATGCGATTTTATGCGTGCGGGTGCACATGCCGCTGTCAGAGGGCCATCCGGGGTGATGGTCGATCAGATCAATCAGATGATGTTCTGTGCTTGGGCGTTGTTTGGAATGCTTGCGGTTGACGCACTGAATGTTAATTTATGCCACTGTATTTCAGTCAGACCGGCGCCAATATGCAGTGGTCTCCATGCCGAGCGGAGCACCCACTCAGCATGCTACTAGTCCCGATGGACTCGCTGGCATTTACTGATCACGTCTCTGCCAAGTGAATACCGTGCTGCCAATATCCTTTCCGCGTTTCTTCCTTCAACTTTATCTTGGTACTTATTGTATGGAGCGTCCCGCTTTTCTCTCGCGGTGGCCGGCCCCGGGGACTATCAATGAATTAAAGAAGATTATCAGACTGTGACCGGTTGGGCCGAGGGTCCACTTGACTTCATTTCCGTGGAAGTTGGAGCGGAATGTCCGGTGCATTCTGTTCCTCGAGGAGATACACCACACACAACACACGCAAGGAGCTGACGTAGGCCGCAGCGCTGCCCTGAATCTGCTTGCTTCTTATTCGCGCATCACAGCTCTGCGCCGCAAATCCGATGGGCGATCCCCCTATGTCAAAACAGGTAAGCTCCTTTCCCACGTTTCCGTTCCGAGCCCGCGCACTTTTAACTCGATGGGGCTCACGTCACAGTGACTACTTAGCTGTGCATACGACTCTCTCGAAGCGCGCGGGAACGAGGCTCACCGCCCCACCCCACCCAGCATGCAATGCGGGCCATGATGCTACGAGTCGCCATCGCATTTGCGATGTCCGAGAACCCGATCTAGCATCTGTCCAATATCTCCATGAGCGACCCGGGAGATCGGATCCATATCACAGGAATTCTGATTTTGGCTGGTGGCTTTTTTGTGCGTGTGCACAGTTTGGGGGGCGGAGTGGATATCAGGCCTCGCGCTTTTCCTCATCCTCATCCTCATCCTCATCCTCATCCTCATCCTCGCTCCCTCCACCTCCTCCCCTCCCCTCCTCCCCGGCCCGCCCGGCCGCTCGTTCATCCACCGCATCCTCACCGCGTCGCGCTCGGATCAAGAGGGATGGCACCGCCGCTCACGCTGCAGCCTGTGACGCTCGAGAACACGCTGGGGGCGGTCTTCCTCGGCCTCGTCGTCTCGTGCATGTGCGTCTCGTGGACCTCCTCTCCCTCCTTCGTCGCTCACGCGTGCGCACACGCAGCCTGTTCGGCGTCAGCTCGCTGCAGATGTACTTCTACTACCACCACTACCCGCACGACACGCTCCTTCACAAATCCTCCGTGCGTCCCGCCCTTCCTCGTCGCTTGTCGTCCGCGTAATTGACCGTCGCGTAGATTGCGGCTCTGTGGTGAGTTGATACGCGCGTATATGCGTGCGTAGGCGATCGCTGACGCCGGTGCTCCGTGCCGATAGGGTCCTCGACGCGCTGCACCTCAGCCTGACGGTCTACTCGACGTACTACTACGGTATACTCGGATTCGGGGACCCTTCTCGGCTGGCATCTATCATTTGGTTCGTCGGTCCTAGTATGTCGCAGGTGCATAGCTGATTCGAACTCTGCTTGCAGGCCAATCAAGGCATGTTTTCTCCCGCGACTCTTCCTGGACAGAAGAACTGAACTCGTATCTCCCCCCTGCAGTTGCACATCGCGATTAATGTGCGCTATACCTCTCATGCCGCCTTCGCGCGTGTGCTGATCTCATTCGATCCAGGTGGTCATCATTTTGTTGGTCCAGAGGTTCGTCTTGTTTCTGCCTTCTCAATCGTAGGTTGCCTGACGCTGATTCGAATTCCACCCAGTTTGTATGCCTACCGGGTCTGGATTCGTGCGTTGCATCGCATCCTTCCTTCTGAATGCATTCTCTGACGACGGAGGACCCTAGTGGGTGGATACCATCACGGTATTCTCGGATACTTCGTCGTGGGTTCCGAGAGACTCTCTCCCTTCCTAGCCAGAAGCACTGATAGGCCATCGTCACGCAGGCTGCGGTTGTGCTCGGTGGCTTCGGGATCGGCATATGTGCGGGTCTGCTTCCTTGCGTCCTTGGACTCCTTCCCGGCTGATCACAATTGCCGCGCATAGTCACCGCATGCAAAGTTTACTCGATATCTTCTTTCCGGCAGCTGCCGGACATTGCGTGGGCCATCGAGGCGTCGTTCGCTGCGTCCACCGCGATTGATATTGTCATCTCGTGCGCCATGTGCTACTACCTGAGGAAGAGCAAGGGCAAGGAGAGCCGCTTGAACAGTCGTATATCGGTGTTGATGGTGAGGCTCCATCGGGTGTGTTTTGATGGCAGTTTCCTGATCCGTGTCAGCAATACACTCTGTCCGCAGGAGTCTTCACGAGGTGCGTCGTCGTAAGGTCTTCAAACAATTTATCCTGAGTCGGACTGTGAAGCGCTTGCTCTGTGGTCTGCCTCTTCACGGTCGGCGCCTCATCCGTTCCGGTCGTGCAGCCAGCTGATCGAAGCCGCAGTTCATTCTCATGTCCGACAACTTCATCTTCCTCGCGCTCACATTTATCCTCACCCGGCGTAATTGCTCGCTTCTACCCCCGGCGCTCTTCTCTTTCTGATCTCCCCCGGCAGTCTACGTCACGTCGTTCATCGCGATGATGAACGCGCGGGAGCGGTCGTCCAACGGCGGCGTCTCGACGTTCGAGTCCTCCAGCCCCCGCGAAGTCCAGGTTCTGACACACCAGTGGCCCATGGGCGGCGGTGCTGGAATGATGTCGCTGGATGACCTGGAAGCGAACGTACGCTTGCGGCTTGTTTGAACATACCGCTGCTTACTCGATTTCGAACTTGCAGACCCAGCTCTCACCGGCCGACAGAAAGCGCAGCACCTTCCGCCCCCCATCGCAGTACGGCTCGTCTCTGGCCTATCCGCCGGCGTTCACCCAAAACGCGGGTGACAAACGCCACGGGTCGCTGGGCGAAGTATGGGACGGGAGCGGCGCCATCGGCAGCATGGCATCGAAGCACCACCACGCCCTCGGCAGCGAATCTTCTCCTCGGGCGCTCTAAACCACTCTCCTTCGTTTCTCTCAAAAGGTGTTCTCAACAATCGGTCTCCAATCTAATTTGCACAATTCGCATATCGTCTGTATTTCCTAGTAGTACATATCCTTTCGGTGGAACCCAGCAGTTAGGAAGTGCTGCCGCTGCTTCGGGGGCATGTGTGTATGAGCTATACATACAGGCCCGACTCAGAACCAGCGCCGCTTCCCCACCTTGAGCCGATCGCGTATCTCCTCGTCCGTCATACGAGCATAGAAATCGCTCGCATGGATGCACACGAACTCGTCCCCTTCTCCGTCCCCGACCCCACCTACGCCCGACCCACCGTTCCACCGAATCGCCAGTGCCGACGCGCGAGGGCACCCGATGTCCCTGACGACGCGTGCAGGGTCGGCGGACTCGGCCCACCACAGCGTGCGCAGGAAGCTGGGCCGCGAGACGCTGGAGCCGCCTCTGGAACGCGCGTGTGAACTTGGACCCACGCCAGGTGCCCGCAGATGTCGGGAAGGTGGGTGTATTCTCCGAAAAACGGTGGTCTGACTAATGTACCGTCTAAACTAGGAAAGACCAGCTCTAGACTCCTGGCACAGCCACAGGTGCCCCCCCTCAAGCGATGTCCGTCCTCGGACATGTCCCCCCGTCTTGTCAATGGAAACGCCACGCATTGGGCTCCGCAGTTGCGGCCCTACTCGCCCGACGCAACCCCAGCTGCCCACTGGTTTTAGAGACTCGACTTCCACGCGTCTTCCGCCATCCGTTCCTCCGCTGCGGCGATCTCCAGGTCCTGGGTCGTAGGATCTGGCGTTGTCGTATCCCGCGGGTGCTTCTGGTCCAGGGTAGAATCACGTAGCGGGATGTAGTGTCGTAGCCGTCTCGAATGAACGAATTGTAGATTGGCGAGTGGTTTGCCCTCTAGGTTGCAGAGGGAGAACGAATTCAAGTGCTGCGCGTAGATTTGCACCGGCGCAGACCAGCGCGGCTTTAGCTTGTTCACCGAGAGGCGGTTGTTGTCCGCTTCCGAATCGTACCATTGCACCAGGTCGCCGATCCTGAAGTGGACAATTTTGGAGTTTGCTTCGAAACTGGACTTCTGTTGTGCTGCCCGTTGGAGCGATCTGAGGTGTGCTGTCCAGCGGATGCTGTCTGCTATCGCGAAGTGAATGTCCGCGTCTGATGCGGTCGTTTCACTCAGCTGGTCTGGTATGGCCTGGTCCCGCGTGAAGGGTCGTCCGAATAGCAGCTCCCTCGGTGTGGCTTTGAGGGCAATCAGGATCCGGTCGTTCATCATGCTCAGCGCTTCGTCGAAGTGATCTGGCCAGTTCCTCGGTATATCACCTGGGTCCACCGTCCCCTCGTCTGCATCGTGATCGGGTGCGCACAGTCGTTTCAAGATCTTGAGCAAGATCTTGTTGCTTCCCTCGATGAGGCCATTGACCCACGGTGAGTATGCCGGTGTCGTAATGTGCTTGACGTTGTTAGCGGCGCAATAGTCTGACACTGCGTCATTGCGAAAATGCTTCCCCCCGTCCGCCATGAAAGCGTCAGGCACCGCGTGTTCGTGGAAGATATGACTTAGCGAATCAATGGTCGTTTTTGCGGTGCCCGCCGACTTCAGTTTCGTCCCCCACACAAAGTGGGAGAACACATCCACGTAGAGACCCACGTTCTTGAATCCACCCTTGCCGTCCGGTAACGAGAGATAGTCGCCTGCAATCAGGGCAAATGGAAGTGTACGGCGGATCGGTTGCAGCAGTGAGTTACGAGTCGGGGCCCCAAAGCTCTTGCACCGCGGGCATTCGAGTATTACCGACCGGCAGTCTGTGTCCATACCCGGCCAGAAGTAGCGGTCTGAGAGCTTGAGCTTCGTGCTCTCCACATTGAAGTGCCCGTTCTGCGCATGGACCTTCATCGCTAGATCAAAGCCCTGCGCTGTGGGGATGCATTCCGTCCGTGCTACTCGGCGCGCTGCCGTATCCGCGACTCGCCAGAGTTTACCCTCTGCAATCATGAACCCTTCCGCGCGGTGCGCGAGTCTTCTGCGCTCTGCAATCGAATCCCCGACTGTATACCCCAGCAGGTAGTCGATTACCGGGGCAAAGAATAGGTCGTCAGCAAACAGAGCTTGGAGAGGGTGACTCGCCGCGTGTGTGTCTGCCACTGTAAACACGTCCCTTATGACCCCTCGTGGTGCTTCCCAGTCTGCTAGGACCGACCACGCTGATCCGTCCTGCTCTGTGCGGTCCCGGTTCGCCCACTTCCTGCTTAGCGCGTCTGCCACCGGGTTCTCAATGCCGGGTCGGTGTCGAATGTCGATGATGTTGCGCGCAAGGATCGACTCCTTCCAGCGGCTATGGTGGGAGTTTAGTTTCTCCCGCATCAGCGTGTCGCGCAGGGCTTGGCAGTCCGTCTCGATCTCGATGGGGGAGCCGTAGGTGTACATTTCAAATTCGTCTAGTGCGTATTTCAAGGCAGCAAACTCGAGTAAGAATGGTTCATACTTAGCTTCGCTCGTCGATGTGCGTTTGGAGCAAAACGCTATTGGGTGCCATCGTTTTGATTCCTTCCCGTTCTTGTCTGTGTGGGGGAACTCCTGCGCCAAGTAGCCCGCAAAGCCTTCTGCTGAGCCATCTGTCGTGATCTTGAATGGCCGGCCATCGTATTGGGGCGTCTTCAACACCGGTTCCTGTGATAATAAGCATTTGAGGGTGACAAACGCACGTTGTTGAGCATCGCCCCATTTGTGTCTTATTGACGCTGACTTTAGGGCCCGTTTGTAGTCGCCTTTCCGCACACGCCAGTTTGAGCTTGGTGGGGCTACCTCCACGTTTCGCGTGAGGTCTGTGAGTGGGGCTGCAATGCGTGCGAAGGCTGGGATCATTTTCCTGAAGTAGCCCGCAATGCCGAGGAAGCCCATGAGGTCGGACACATTCTCGGGCACCGGCCAGTCCACCACTGCACCGACCTTGTCCAGGTTCGGCTTCAAGCCCGCTGGTCCAACTACCGCGCCCGCAAACAAGACCTCCGTGAAGAAAAGCTTTGTTTTGGATGGTGACAGTGATAGCTGTTTCTCGCGGCATCTGGTAAAGAAGCGCTTCAGATTGGCTAACTTGACTTCGAATACATCACCTGGTAGGCAGATGTCGTCCATCCAATTGACAAGTTCCCGGCCAATCATGTCCTCGAGTGCGGCTGCTACCATCTCACAGAAGGTGGTTGGAGCGCCTGTGAGACCGAATGGCATGCGCAGGTATACGAAATATCCCCTTCCTTCGACGTAGAATGCCGTATAGGGAACCGTCTCGTCGTCTAGGGGGACCGCGTAGTATCCAGACGCGAGGTCGATCACGCTTGCCCAGCGGTGTCCGGCTGCAAATTGATGCTTGGCTCCGATGTCCCCGTGTGGGAACGGCGGTACTTGGGACGCCTTGTTGAGGGCCGTGAAAGCGTGGCAGACCCTCCACTTTGTTGTCTTGGTGCCCTTCCCGGTGTCTTCCTCTGTTGCCTCCAGTGTTGCTTCATCTCGGCTCGTGTCTTGGTTCTGGGTCTCGACCTCCTCCCAAAAGGGCGGCAACCCGTTCTTCACACACTCTTCGTTCACTCGTCTGAGGACCTCTGCTCTTGTGAGTCCGGTTTTGCCTGCGTCTTTGGGAGCCAAATTCGTGCTATTCAGACATTTCAGAAACTCGCCTGGGACCCTCTGGATTACGTGCGCTTCCTCCATCTCATCTAGGACGTTGTAGAACCAAGACTTCTGGTTCTCCGTGAGCGGGCGTTGCGACATGCGGGTCGGCAACTTGATATTCGGGTCGACGTCTATGTGGTGTTTCCACCAGTCCACAAATAGGACTTCTGACATGGACAGGGCGAACACATCCGCGTATTCTTTGATGAGCGCAACCACTTCTTCCTTCTGTTCCGTTGTCAGGTCCGTCCCAATCTGGACCGCGTCTATTATCTTGTTGACTCGTTCCTCGTTGAAGGGGTCCGTTGCACGGATCGATCTATTTGTTCCTCTGTCAATCTTGAAGCCCTCTGAGCCTGTGGCCGTGCTCATTGTGAATATTGTGTCTGGTGTGGACCCTGCCCCTTCCTTGTCCACGTCTGCCATTTGTTCCGTGCAAATGGATCTGAGTTCGTCCAGTCTCGACCGGAGGTGTCGAAGTCGGTGGTCCGATCGGCGAAGCTTGTTCTCGTCGTCTTGTCCACCTGATGTCCGCCACAACGCCGCTATGATTGCTTCTCTTCGCCTTGTCCTCCATTTCGCCGCATCTGCCTCTGTCTGCCTCTTTCTGGCCTCCCTCGCTGTCTCCTCTGGTCTGTTGTCCCCGTACTTTGCGTATCTTGTTTCGGCTCCCCGTCTCGACGACTGGATCTGCAGGACACGTGTGAGCTCGTCGTTGACCATGTCGTCTTCCCTTGTTGCTGAACTCTGTTCCTTCATGTCGTTGCCGTTGTGGTGTGTCCGTTTTGGCGCTGTCCTGGTGGGTGGGGGAAGTGGCTGCTCGGGGGGTGGTCGGGGTGGTTGGGCGTCATGTGGTATGTCCTTCGGCTCGTTCTGCAGGGTTGTTTCACGTCCTGCCGCTGTGATGCGTATCTCATCGTTCCCGTAGTTGTGGATAGCTCGCACGCTATGCAGCCACGGTTTTCCTAGGATCACGTCGAATGCTCCGCCACCCTGGAAGACCTCAAACCACGCTCCTGTTGTCACGCCGCCTACTGATACTTGGCCCCACCACCTTCCTTTTGGTGTGATCCGTTCACCGCTCGCTACCTTGAGGACTGTCTTCGACTGGGCCAGCCTGCCCAAGCACTGTCCGTACTGTGTCCACCGCTCCGCCGAGATGCAGTTGCGCATGGCGCCGTTGTCGATCTGCGCCGTCAGGCGGACCGTGCTGCCGTTGTCATTGGCGAGCCGGATCCGTTGGTAGAACGGTTCGACAGCAGTGTCTGGGTCGGATCCTATGCTCAGTATGGCGCTCGGCAGGGGTGCCCTATACTCGAGAACCCGTGTATTCGATGGTTGGCCTAATACAAATCGTATTTCCGAATTGGTGTCCCGCGTAAAAACTTCCCGGCGCCTCCGTGCTGAATGGTCTCTTTCCGGGGGATTTGGAGAATTTGGAGCAACACCACCCCCTACAAGGTGTGCTCCCCTCCGTTTCCCTGTTCCTCGTTCTCTTCTTGCTCGCCGAAATCGATGGGCTCATTTGCATCCAGCTCACCAAATATGGCGTTGATTGGCACCGCTCCCATCTGACGGGGAGGGAATACCACTGAGTGGACCCATCGTCGGATGTTCGACTCGATGATTGGTAGCGGTAGCGGCACAGCACAACTTCCAGCGCCGTGGGGTGGGTCTCGAAGGCCGCACCGGTAGCATTCCCGTGACCCCGGTGGGAGTGTCCCTGGCGTAAATGGGAAGGTGAGTACGTCCTTGTTCCCGGTCTGCCAGGCAGCGAAATCGGTTTGGTATTTGCGGAGCCCCTGTGCGTCTTTTGCGTACAGGTGGGTAGTCTGTGTCAACGCCCGTGCTGTTTCGTCATTCCCGAGCGACGGTATTGCGGGTTTCGCGTTGGGGATGAGGCTGCGTCCTGCTGATGGGCTGATTGGCGAGGCAAAGACGTCCCTGCTGAATGAGCTTGTGGGTCGTATAGTCGTGCCCGTCCATTGGCTTGCTGTGCCCATGTGCGGGGGTTGCTGTCGTACCGGTGTTGTCGGTGTGAACATTGAGCGTGGTTGTTGCGCCTGCTGTTGTGTCTGTGTCGGCGCTGCTTGTGTCATGAATGCCGGGGCCTGAATGCGCGTGTTTGATAGCTGGAACGCTTGCCGATGGCGTGGGCGGGTCGGGGAGAGGATGTGGGTGACGTCTAGGGCATGCGCCAAGCTGGCTACAATGGACTCCGCCCCTTCCCGTGCTGATCCTGTGGTTGTCGCTGGGCCTTCCTGCCGTTCTATTCGATTCTCCGCCATCCAATCGTTGATGGCGTAGATTGATATTGCCTCGAATGCCGCAAACCAGGCATCCCAGGTCTTTTTCGTTGCCTCCTCCGAGATCAAGCGACAGAATCCGGGGGCAAGGTGGCCCGTATCTCGCCCATCAGCAGCATCGATGGGTCCCCTCCCTGTAGGTCGTTGACAAGGCGTCTCGCAATCTGCGCCCATGCCCGATGTGCTGGGATGCGCGTCCCGTCCTCATCTTCCACCATTTCTCCTACTGCCTTCGCCTCTAACACATTCTCCTTTAGATCCTTCATTACCTCGGAATTCTCCCGTGCGGTGTAAGAAGGCGGCGGCCACTTCTTCTCGAAGGCTGCGGTGATCCTTTGCCAGTCTGCCTTGTCTGTTGCTGGTAGCGCTTTGTACCAGACCTCCGCGGGGCTCCCTGGGTACAACGCCCGCTCGAACCTCCACCTCTTTTCGTCATCCTTCGCATCGAATTTCCACATCTGCTCTAGCTGTCTTAGCCAGACATTCGCCTTCTCTGCTGTTCCGTCCCCCTTGAAGAGCTCTGTTTTCGGGCCCATACTATGCTCGTCCTCGTCGTCTGATGTTGGTGGCGTTTGTGAGCTGTGCAGTGTCTTTTCTTGCACTTGATTCTGATACGGCCCAGTTGTGTGGTCCGCGTTGATACCAATGGGTTCTGATGACGCTGTCCTTCGTGCTAGGCGGAGTCGTCGAAGCTGTTTTTGAGCTTCTCGTGCGTTTTTTTCAAGTGCGTGCGTGGCTTGGATCCGCTCGTATTGGCGGAGTTGTCGGTCCGAAAGGTACGACGGTGTTTCAGGTGCCAGGGTGTGGTATTCGATCCCTCCAATCACCAAATGGAGCCGCCTCTGGAACGCGCGTGTGAACTTGGACCCACGCCAGGTGCCCGCAGATGTCGGGAAGGTGGGTGTATTCTCCGAAAAACGGTGGTCTGACTAATGTACCGTCTAAACTAGGAAAGACCAGCTCTAGACTCCTGGCACAGCCACAACGCGGATTGCACCGCCGGCCGAGAGCACGAACACCCCCGCCGCCGCCGCCGCCGATGACTGTGCGCCCGCGAACGCGAGCAGGAGGTCGGCGAAGTGCTGTGCGGGGATCGGGCGGAGGAACGTGTCCTCGAGCACGAGCTGCTCCACGCGCCGCCCCACGGCGCGCAGCACCTCCGCGAGCCGGCGCACAGTCCCGTCGCGGGCGGTCGTCGACCGGATCGTCAGCGTGCGCAACGCGGTGTCGGGCGGCAGCGCGGCGCCGATGGGCGCGAGGAGCCAGATGTCGTGCACGGATAGCCGGATGTGCCTGGCGTCGAGGGAGTCCCGGGAGATGCCGTGCGACGTGAGGAAGGGGAGGAGCGCGAGGCGGCGGAGGCGGCGGGAGGTGTGGATCGGTGCGTGGAGGGTGTGCGTGGAGGCGGCACCGATGGGGATGGTGCGGGTGCGTGCGCGGTCGTAGTGAGCTTCCACGATCATGGCTAGGATCTCGTCGGGCAAGGCCGAGAGCGACGGCATCGAGGTAGGAATGGCGCGCGGGTGGTGGTGGAGATTGGAGAGGTGGCGGTGGGAAGCCAGCGTGCAGCTTCCCGCTGGCAGCTGATCGTCAGACTCTCCATGCTGGGCGGGCTGTGTCTGAGATTTCTATGACAGCAGTCGTTGGAGGTAAAGATAGATAGATGATCACCGTATGCAGACCTGTAGGAAGGAAGATGTGAGACAAGTCAGACGATGGTCTTGGGTGAGCAGATGCCGCAGAAGGAAGTGATGCCATCACGGCAATCATGCGAATGACGGTGTTCTCTTGACTGATGCATCCTTACGAGACAGAACGAGTCGAAGGTACTTTTTTTTGTACAAGCTTCTTTGAATAACTCCTGTCCATATCGAGAAATACTTTCCTGCCGTTAAAACAGTAATCATGAGCTGATAATATAACAAACAAACAAAAGACTGTCTCCGATCTCACACACGCGACTGAAGCATACCAACAGAGCCCTCACTCCTCGAATAATTGTACAGCCCACTTGCACCACTGCAGAGCAGCGCCTGATCGTACTCGGTGATATCAACGCATCGCAAAGTCCGCAACGCCCCGATGACCTGTTGCAGGTCCCCCACGTTCCACTCGCCCGTCCAGTCCGGTGCGCTGGGCTCCGCGGACTGTGGTTCTGTGTCCCACTCGAAGGCGAGGGTGTCATCCGAGGGTCGAGAATATACAGCGAGTCTCAGCGTGGGATTTTGCATATTAGTCGGGGGGAGGTCCTGCAGGGCCGGCTCTCGAGGCAGAGTGCCCGCGTCGAGCAAGCCTTTTCGCGACGTATTAGGCGTCGACCACCGCGCGGATCCGCTCCGCGAGCGTTTGTGCAGTTTGTGCTGCAGCTTGCATGGCACCGCGGCGTCACCGAGCGCGCCGCCACCCAGTTCCCGGGGCACCGAGATGCTCGATCGCCGACGCGCATATCCCGCGCGCCCATCATCAGAGAAGCAAGACCCTGCCGGGCCGGGCGCACCCCCGAGTAGTATCCGCGCCGCCTTAGTACCGCTCCGCGCATCAAGCACAGTCGCCGAGCGACCCAACACCCGAGGTTCCGGCTCAGCCACACAAGGCTCGTCCACGCCGGTCGTCACGCGCTGATACCGCGTCGCTGGCCCAGCGGGCCTGGACTGCGGGAAGAAGAACTCGACGGGGCTGGCGTTGCTGATGGGCGAATCCGTACGTGTGAGCGCGGCAGCGCTCAGGCACCCGGGATCGTCGTCGTTGCGGAAGGCCGGACTCGTGGAGTCCAGCATGGGCGGTCTATGGGATCTGCGGGCGGGGCGCGGGCTCGGGTGTTTGCTGCCGCGGGGCGGCCACACGAATCTGGCCAGGGTTTCTCGCGTCGGGGTGCGCTGCAGGCCGGGCGGGCGGGGGCTGGTGCTGATGTCTTCGTGCGAGCGGTATCCCTCTTCCTGATCGCTCTTGCCTCTGTTGACGGCGGCGTCTGAGCGAACTTTCCTGAGCGATTTGGTGGATGGCCGTTCGCCGACGGAGGAGTGCACAGTCTGATCCTCGCGTTTCCTGCCTGGGACCATTCAACCATCGCCCAGCTTCCACCGAACGCCACTCACTGAACAGACGAATCAGCGCCCCGGTTGGTGACCACGGTGGGGCACATCCATCCTCCACCCTTCTGCCCGGCTTTTTCCCGGATTTCCCACTCCCACTGCGAGATCCCGAAGCAACAACGCTGAACGAAGTGACGATGGAGAGAGTCCCAGACGTTTTCGGTTGGAGTGTACGCTCTCGCTGCTGCATGGTCGTTCTCACCGAGAGGCTGGGGAGAGGTGGGGGCCCAAGTGAGAACGACACGAGAGTATCAGTCTTCCTTCATCTGCATCTTGCAGAACACCTTATGTATCAGATGGAAGAGACCAAAATACGGATCCATCACGTCCCAGGGACCGCTGCTCAGGCTGTGGGGGTAGCGTGGAGAGTATCAGGCTTTGAATGTGGGAGGTAAGCTTTGATTGAGTGCATCGGGTTCATTCACGATGGGTGGGCACTCCATATTGTGAAGCTTTCTCCGAGATCGAGGACTTGGAAGTATGTATGAGTATAATGAATGATAGGAATCAAGGAGCATGGGGCTGTGCGGACTCAGCACACTGTGGGAAATGTTGCGGCGATGACCGATATCTTATTGATGGATAAGGATAGATGTAGATATCCCAATATGGGCGCTCATGGCATCCGGCTGCTCGACCCTCCTTTCACGTTTTTTTGTGGAGCTTTCCTCCGCAGAAATCACATTTTCTCTTTCTATTTCACGTTCTTCACACTCTCTTCATAACATGCCGTCACCACCCTCCACGTGGCGGTCATGAAAAACCAGGTACGGCAAGCATTAGGGGAGTCACCCTTCACTGTGTCAGTGTCAACGTCAATAAAATTTGATTCTAAACCCATCCCTTGTGTTTCTTATTCCTCCTCCTCCTTCTCCCTCAACATCCCCACCCTAGCACCCTCGTTCCATCCTAATGAAGTCCTTCGCTTCGCTCACACTCTTTTCACTCACAGCCGCCGCCACCCTCGCCAGCGCCGCGCTGACCCCGTCCCGCACGCAGTCCACCGCGCGCCACGCCGAGCAGCTGCAGGCTGCCGCGCGTGATACCGCACGCGGCGACATGGCTGCGTACAACCGTGCCTTCGAGCCGGTGACGAACGCGAAGCGCATGGCGCGCGGTCTGCCCCCGCTCAAGCCCCGGCGTCGCGGTGCGTGATTTATCCTGCGTCGTGCGGTGGCGCCGCTGGATTGATTTTGACTGACCATGTGTATGTCTGTTTCAGGTGCCCACACTGCCCGCGACGCGGCGTCGTCGACACCCGCCCAGCTCACGTGCGTGTTACAATCTTGCACGCTGTCTTCACCCGGATGCCTCGGAGCTCATTCCGGCCCACAGCCAGCGCTGCAACATCGCGGTCACCTCCCTGACCACAGGCAACTCTCTCGGGTTCATGAACCGGCAGACGGCGAACTACATCTTCTACGACTTTTTGTCCGCGACGCAAACCGCGGCGGACACGATGATCGTGAGCTTCGGCTACACACCGGGGCAGGTCAGCCGGGGACTCGACCTCCGCGTCGAGAACCCCGCCACGGCGTTCATGAACTACTTCGGCGCGATCGGTGCGTCGTCCGCTCCTCGTACCCCGTCTCAGATACTCACCACCCACTGCAAACAGCGTACCAGGGCCAGAGTGCGAGCATCGCCGCGGGCGCCCAGGTCGCGCCCGCGACGCAGTCGAGTGGCTTCGAGAGCGCTGTGTGGACGTACGAGCCCGCCAGCGGCAACATCGGCGCGCTGTGGTACGACCCGGCCTCCGGCACGACGATCGACTATGGCATCTACTACCTCGGTGGTGCGTATGGACGCTTGAAGATCGGGCAGGTTTGCTGATTTTATGTGTGGCTCGTTCCTCACCGCGGCGTCCCCGCCTACGGGCTTCGGGACCAATGTCATGCCCGTGGTAAGCGGCTTGTTGTGCTCGTTCCGAATGTAATCCTGAATGATGCGCAGAAATTCACTTGTGTCACGGCACCAGCCATCCCGCCTGCTTAAGGCGCGCACTAGACAGCTCTCGCATACCATATATATCTCCGACGTAGTTTACATTACGCGCACGGTCTCTAAATATAAATACACGTGCCTTCACCCTCTTTCACATGCCTATGACTGCCAGTCGCGGTCCCGGTGTTCGCCCAGCAGCTGATGCAACGAAAAGTGTCCCGCAATTGAGAAATATCGTAATCGCAAAGCGTTCAGATCCAGTAAAATCGTCTTGATAGAATCGGGTCCCACCACTTCGTAAGGTAGAACGGCCTGCAGACAAATCAACGGGCGTCATATAAGACTCGCAGGGATTCCAAAAGCATTGCGCGTTACCCATGGCCGCACCCTCGCTCGGGAGCTGCTGCTGATCTGGTAAGATTTATGGTCAAGAATTTCAGCCAAAAACCATCGTTCAATTCCCCCGGAACCCGGCCCGAGCCTGAGTGGAACAGTAGCCTCAGACATGGGAGTTGTCAAGTCCGCGGTGTCCTTTACTGAGACCAGATGCACAGCGCACGGTTGTCACCGCGCGCCAATGCACCTAATCCGGCCCTCCAGCTCATGCTCGCGCGACTCCCGACCCAGAGGAGCACCACTCATGTGGATTTGGGACGCCGGTTTGCCAGACCGCGGCGCCGTGCGAGGCTTGGGCTTGCCAGGCCACAAGCTCGTGAGTCTAGACGACGGCTTGTCAGACCGACGTCGTAGAACGCCCCCAGAACCCGAAATCCTGACGCCGGGTTGCCAGTCCGCACGTCAGGGAGTGAAAAACTGCTTATAAACGAACCCGAGAGACGATCATCGTCTGGGTCGCAGGTGAGATTGGATTTTTGAATGTGAAGAGGAATGCCAACTCACAGAGATGCTGTGTAGATCCTACCTCCACGATTCTTCATCGACCACTCGTTGCCCCGGTCGATTCGACCAATATTAGCTTTTTTTCACCAATCTGGTACACCACGAGCGAGGGCCTCGACGAGTACGATCATCGACAGGCTGGGATGGCAAATCAGGGGGCCTGCGGTGGAAATGGTAACCAGGTTTACCGAAATAAGATCTAAATCCTGCAGACCGGCTCACTTACCCCACGTAGATCCATTTCAAAAGGCGCGGACACACGCAACCCAATCCTCCTGCCTGTTAGTACATCTCAGTGACGAGGAGGGCTCCATCGACGTCACCGGACATACCGACCAACCACCCCCACTCCCGCCTCATCACCCTCCGCCCGCGCTCCCCGCCTCCTCACTCCCTCCCGAACCTCACAAGTACTGGGGCACGGCTGACGCACAAGACTGCGCGTCGCGCCGTTTATCCGCCAGCCAAATCAGGTACCCTTTCACAGTCGGCAACGTCGGCCGCGCATGTGCAGCAACACTAACCATCTGCAGCTTCGGTGGGGTGGTGGGTGCCGTCGAGTCCACCGAGCTCTGCGTCGTGGCAGATGAGGCGGACGCGAGGAGCGAGGACGAGTCATCGGAGCACGACGAGCTGTCCGAGTCCGACGGCGCCTTGGGCGGGACGACCGGGACAGCAGCTGGAGCAGAGAAAGCCGCGACAGCGTCGACTACGAACACATCAATCTGCTGCACGTGCAGACGAAACTCGTGTAGTGTCGGGCGCAGCTCTGGGTCCCGCTCGAAACACGCGCGGAACAACGCGGTGGCCGGGTCCACGAGACGCAGTTTCGTGCGCAGATAGCCGTCGGGGTCGCCGCTGAAGCGCGCGAAGTGCCGGTCGTCGCTGTGCGCCGCGCCCCAGGGCAGTTTGCCCGTGACCAGCACCAGGAGGAGGATGCTGCACGCCCAGAGATCGTTCGATCGCGGCGAGTACGTGCCGCAGGCCAAGTCGGGGTCCAGAATCTCTGCATCGTCGGGCGGTGAGCATCCAACGAGGGCGGACGACGTGCACAGGGCAACGTACCGGGACTCATGTAGAAGTGCGTGCCGAACCCGAATTCGTTGGACACAACATCGGTGGTGGCCAGCCCAAAATCGCAGACCCGGATGTTGCTGCCGTCCAGGTCGCACAGGATGTTCTCCGGCTTGAGGTCGCGGTGGAACACGCCGCGGTCGTGGAGGTACTCGACCCCGTCTAGGATCTCAGACATCGCTCGCTTAGCCCGGCCCAGCTGCCCCCTAAACACCTTCCGCTCAATCATCGCCTCGAATAGATCGCACGCGGACAGCTCGACGACGGCGAAGACGTGCTGCGCGGTGCGGAAGGAGCGGAAGAACCCCGTGATGTGGCGCCCGCTGCGCACCGCGTGGTGCGTGCGAAGTTCGTTCACTACGCTCGCCTCGGAGCGCGAGCCCGCGGGGCTCCTGCGCATGCACTTCACGGCGACGAGGCGAGGCGGGGACGTGCAGCGGTCGGGGCTGGCGGAGTGGTCGATGGCCTTGTACACCATGCCGTGCGTGCCGGCGCCGAGCAGCTTAATGAGCTCGAACCGGCCGTCGTCGATTTCGGTGTTGACGAGATTGGGGAGAGCGAGCAATGACATTGGATGAAGGTGAAAAGAAGTGAAGTGTAGGTGATGAAGCGGTACGATCACAGCTACGAAGGGAGAGAATGCAGGTGGAAAGTAAGAAGATTCGGTGCTTCAGGAGTCTTCATTGTATTCTTCAGACTTTACATACCGGCTTGGGAGAGTGGCTTGTGATGGCTTGTAGCGGCTGTCGGAGTTTGAATTTGGCTGACGGGGCTTGGCTTGCGTGATGCGGGCTTGGGCGTGGCTTGTGAGTAATTTCTCCTCCTGATTGACATCGTCCCCGACGTTCCCGACGCTTTGGGTCTCCCACCGAAGTTAGGTTTATTTTACTAGGTACCATTTATGTAATCAAGTACTTCCCGACACTATTTGAGCTACGGAACGTTTGGCACTGATTCAGCTCTCGTTCAAGCCGGGGGTAATGACAAGCATCAGAAATTGGTTCTACTGAATGAGTTGCGCCGTCGTCTCATGACTGTAATAGATGTATTCATCTAACAATATCCTATTTCTGTGAGGTCCCCCTGATCTGGCGCGTTGTCGGCGCCACAGCTGGCCTGTTCCTCCTGAAGTTCTTGTTCTTCGGCCTCGACTGTGGCCGCGGACCCTGCTGGAGCTCATCGTCATGCTCCCTCGCTCGTTTGGGCGTGATTGCGATCCCCGCGTTCGTGGGTACCGCTCCTCCAACCCGGCGATAAGGACGAAACTAGATGCTACGATCATAAACACAGTGTTGACGACGAAACTCGATTCGGTCCCCGAGAGGATCCCCACGCTTGCCGTCAACAGCGTCGTTGTTCAACACACGCATGACGTGGTGAATCTTCTCGATATGCGTGGCTATAAAAGTCCGCGCCTAGCAGTAGCCCACAGACATGTCACATTGTAGTTGCCTATTAGAAAAAAATTACAATGGACTCTCCGGACAATAAGGAACTTCGTATGTAGAGTTTAGAGTTCGAGATCAGTCGGAAGTCATCAAACAAGAGTTCTGGTGAGAACAGCGGGCCAGGAATTATACAGATGATCCTAACATGCACATAGGTTGCTCCCCGCCACTAGATAACTGTGAGATATGCCCCGTTTCCCATTGATATGAAGATCGATTCGACTATTTGTGAGCGGACGCAAGCCAAAATGTTGGCTTGGCAAGCCAACATTTTGGCTTGCAAGCCCTGATGGCATCATTTTACAGCCAAATCCACGCCCAAGCCAAAAAAAGCCATTCTGCGCCGGTACAAGCCACTTGGCCAAGCCGAAAACGTCACTCTCTTGTATTCTTATATGCGCCGCCGCGGTGAGACAGAGTTCGCAATTTTCCCCCCTTGGGTTTCCTTTTTTGGAAGCACCATATAAGGCAGTCACCGGCTGCAGCATGTAACTGTACCGATGTCACAGCCTGGGATCCTACTTAAAAAGCTGATTTATCTTAACTTCATTTTGCAAATATAAAGCTCAAAATAATCGCAGTGAATATGTGACTTTATTCTGACAAAATAAACATCCTTTATATTGACCTCTTAATAACTGAAATCGATGTTTGTGAAAAGTAAATTTATCAGACAGATATAAAATCTCAAGATCATGTACCTTTTTTTGAGATCTGTAAACAGGTTAGATATGGTGCTTAATACATGTAAAATCAGTAAGATTGTTATCGCACTTAATTTCCCACGAATAAAGAGCAAAATAAGCTGCAAAGATTTTCCTGATATAAAGGCTCCCAAAAAGGATGACTTGATATCATCGATATCGAGGCCATTTATATCTATCGCCGATGGTCGGCCGATCATCCGAAGCTCACCTGCCGCACATCGTCAATTGCAAATGAGTATGTAGCAGTAGTATGGCAGTAGTAGTAGTGGTAGTAGTAACTAATAGTAATGTACATGGGAGTGCGTGCGAGGTACAGAAACAAAGAGTCAAAGCTTTTGTATGAAGTCGGTGGAAACAGCATCGAGGTTTTTGGCCAGACGGGCAGAGGCACTGTATGAGCGGATCTTTCGCTTCCACCGTGAATTGTTGAGAACTTCGGCTGTACCATTCTGCATGTGGCTGAGAAGGTTTTGAAACCACGCCTCGCAATCAGGTGACCACCAGCCAACATTCATCCCGGAACTGTAGAAAGCGCCCTCTTGAGGCCACCACGAAACACGTTTTTCTTGATGGCCAACAACCGTCTGCCACTTGTTGAGCTGGTCTGAAATGGTTCAGTAAGACAGAAACAAAGAAAAGAGACGAACCCACTGATTTCAAGAGAGTAAACCCCAAGAATCAAGTCGTGTTCGTCCTGTGTCAGAGCATGGAAGAACCACGATGAATCCGTCAGCTGGATTCTCTCCTCGGCTGTCTCGATATCAACATCCTCTGATCTCAGCTCCAACTCCGCGTTCTCGATGACCAGCCGAGCCAGCCGAGCAACGACGCCTCCAGCTTGAAGTGCAAGGCGGCCACGAGAAGAGCGAAGGAAACGCTGCAATAGATCCCAATAGATGTTCAAGTCGTGGGGGTTAGGCTTATACGTCTCAGGCCGGACTCCCAGGCCCCTCCATTGGAAAAGGTTGGGCTGATGTGGAGCCAATGGGACAGCGGCACTCTCAACGGTGACGTGGAAAGGAACACCGAGATCGAAGAGCGCTGAGATAAGGTCTGGCCAGGTTCTTGTGCGCCGCCTAACGATCTCCATGACAGTGGCTGCGCTGAAGATGAGAGCACTTCGGTCATTATATTGTTCATCCCGTGGCTTGAGGACATAGGCAGTCGACCAAGGCGCTTTCTGGTAGATGCTCTCCTGCATGTCAATGATGACACCAGAGTTATCCCAAACGACATCAGATGACTCGGCTCCTGCGAGATCGAAGAGATTGGCGGGCATGTCACTGAGCGTTTTCGCTGTTGACAAGGCGAACAGAAGTGCACGCGCCGCACGGCCGGGCGGATCAGGTGCGTTCGTCCGTCCCAGATAGCGGCAGCAGTGTTCTACTCCTAACAGTTCACTGTCTGGATAGTGATGCCCCGGATTGTCCACGAAACCTACACGGTACTTGAGCACACTGGCTACGGTGTGTTCGGCAGCAACGTTGATGCCAGGCAGTGCAAGGGTCTCTTGGCTGCAATCGTGATACGAGTCGACATGTTCGAGAGCAGCGCAAGGATTTTGGAGCGCAGTCACTACTTCAGCAGGAAGGTCTGGAGGAAGCTGAGTGTCGGAGCCAGCATACAAGCTGTAGCTGGTGTTTGGGGTGGGAGCAGCATTGGTACTATCATCACCCGTGGAAGTAAAGAAGCTGTCATAGGGATTGTCGGAATCGTCTTCATCATCACTATCAGAGTCCCATGAATCGCGTGCAGGTTTAGGATCAAGGGGAGGACAAATGTCCCAAGTATTGGAGAATGAGTCATATATGCGCTGGGTTGTCGCAAAGAGAGACCACTCATCCTCGGCTTGGCTTCGTGGGAGGTGTTGACGGATCCAGAAGCCATCGATTTCTCGCCAGATGTACACAGTCGTCCGTCGAGTCAGAGTGCGCCCGGACGCCACAAGCGTTTCCAGCGACAGACGTCTCTGCCGTTCCTCCGAGCTCTCCACCGCCAGCTTGCGCTGGTTTTGTGCCTGACGGCGAGCAAAGAAGTCAGAAAAGCTTGCCCCCTCCCGCTGTTGGCTGTGAGGTTCTACAGCCGGGAATTGCCGCGGTGTATCCTTCAGTGCTGCATAGTAGTCCGGATTCGGGAAGACTCCATTGATACGCATGGATGTCTTCACGAAAACATATTCACACGCTGCGATTGGGTTTGGAGGGAGCTTTGCAAGAGTGACGACCATATCCTGGACACGTAGACCAATCTTGTGCATCGACGGGAAAGCTTCGATATGACTGGCCCGTTTCACGGCCGAATCACCCTCACCCAAAAACAAGTACACTGGCGGATGAATGCTGACGGTGGGATTGAGGAGCAGTAAGAAAAACCAATCGATTTCGAGAGTGCTTTGTTCAGTACAATCGATGATCATCCCTGCTGGATCTTGGAGTACGCAATCTACGACGCCTTCAAGCGAGTCCATGATCCTATGTGGTAGATTGAGTCTCCTCATGATGTGCTCTCGCCAGCCTATGCAATTTGACAACCCGTCCAGAGCAAGGAAATGTAGGGCGATGGCCGCGACCAGCTGCACAAACGCCTCTTGCGAGACCGTGATGGCCGAAACGAGCTCAGACTTGGTTTCGAAAGACCTCGTGTAGCCGTAACTGACTGGCCGGTGCACCATGGCTCCGCAATTCACAGGGGGCTGGAGCAGACAGACTTCGTTTTGCAACTCAGTCGCGAAATTGACCAAAAGGCCTTCCAAGCCCGTCCATTGACGAATGACCCACGGAGCCAGGGTCCACTTTTGCGTACTCTCGTCAAGCGGCAGCTTTCGTAACGAGATATTGAGCACCCCCAAGAGATCTCCATGATAAATGGGATACTGGGGGCTGCATGCAAGGTGGACTCGCTGCGGTGTCATCCAAGCTGTCTGAAAGAGTGCTGGCCTAACGTAAGGCATCAGAGGACGGGCGGGGATGTTGAGGAGGGCGCGTCGATGGGCGTTGAAGACCACAAAAACACCGGCGGCATTGCGTACGAGGCCGTGAAAATGAGGAGTGGGCTGTGACTAGGTCAGCATTTTGAGGCATTAATACAAACGGGTCTTTGCTCACTCACTACAAGTGTTTTCCGCTCCTGTTCGGAGAGGGACTCGAGCTTGATGAGCGTATGGCTGCCGTCCTGCGACGATCCACTAAGTGGTGAGACTGAGACGAGAGATGCAGTTCCGCGCGGCAAACGCGTCGGATCTGAAGTACTAAGGCCCGGCGGCAAACGCCTGAGCCCTCGATGTTGGACAGTTTCTCGGTTCATGGAAGCATTGTCGAGGAGTGGGAGGGGATTGAGGATTGATAGCTATGATGTGATGTGGTGTGACGAATACGATGTGATGTGACGATTGTGAGTGTCATGTGATGTGACGACCGTGATATCATTTGATGATGATCAATCTCACTTCTCACCTCTCTTCCCACTCCGCCGTGCCTCCTCGTCGGGATTCTGCCAGGCGTTTGCCGCCGGTAGAATGGGCTCTCTTTCAGGCGTCTGCCGCTGATAGAGAGCCCTAAGTGGGTCATCTTCACAGCATGCGCACAAGTTCTGCCCTGCACCATCCGAGTCTGTCTTCCGGACGCTCGACTTGAATCTTCTACGCTTCTATCAGCCGCCGATAAAGACATACCCTCGACTTGTATGCTTATATCAGGCGTTTGTCGCCGATATAATCCGAGTCTGAAGAGCGTCTTTCGCCCCAAGAACGTGCTCATTACTCGCCTCCTTGCACCGTATGGTTTAGTCTTCAAAGCGGTAGACTTCATTGGCGAATTGGACATATTCCAACTACCGACTATGTGGACTACTTGGCCATACGGTTGTTGGCTGCCGCAAACAGCTTGAAAATCTCCTTTGAGACCTTCAACAACGTCACTTGCGTCGGAGTCAGCGACGCAAGCCACTCCGGACTATACAGGACCTTGGGAAGGCCCTTAGGCGCCGCTCTGGTACCTTTCTCCTTGGTCCTCACGCGAGGAGCAGGCTTGTTGCCGTTGTGGAGGGCGTGGAAGTGCTCGCTCTGCGTGTCAATCATGCGCATATAGTCCGCAACGTCCTGCGCACGCCAGATGCAGACTTTGATCTTGTACATGCGGACTTTTGTGCCTTGCTTGGTTGCACTTGTCTCCTCCTCTTCAGACATACCGCTCGGGCCCAATTTGGCCAAGAGCTCGAGCATTCTCTTCCAAGTCGCAAGGTCTGGGCTTCCGTCTTCTTCTTTGAGCGCAATTGTCGCTTCGACAGTCGAGCGACGATGATCGAATTTCTTGTGAATTGGTCAGCAGAGTGAAGAAACCAGCGCGGGGCTAATCAAACATTATGCTGCGAGTTGACAACTTTTGTCACCAGACGATTGAGAGCCACTGTCGTCTTGCCTCGATGGATAGCCTCGGTTTTCGTTTCGTGACGCTGCTTTTGGAAGTCAAACTGGGGCTGGAAGCGTTTCCATTCCAAACGATAGCGTGCCAACTGCTCGCTGAGCACGATCTCCAGATACTTTCGGTTGATCAGCCCCTTCTGAACATATCGCATCCCTTCGTTGTCCACTTTGATAGCTTTGTTGACAAGCTGTGTTTTGACTGTATCGTTCCACGCCGAATATTGATAGCCTTCGTTGAAATCCCACTGATACGCGCTAATGGTGGCCGTCTCGTCGCTGGCATATGCGTCAACCTGCTCTACCGTTGCCGCCTGGTGGAAAGCGAAGTCCAATGCTTGTGTCGTCCCAAACTTTTCGTGCACTATACCACGCATCATGGCCTGGATCACGTAAGTTTTCACCCCCAAATGTTCTATCAGTCCACTAACCTGAGCTTTATTGATCAAGGCTCGAGTCTTGGGCTCGACGGCTTCCTTCTCATTGGATCCCTGCTTTGCTCTCGGCTTCGGCTCCGGCTTATTGACCACTATCTCTGTATTGCCCTTGGCTTGGACAAGTTGCATGGCTGCCAGGAATTTGGCGGTCATTTCGACGTCGAAATTGAACTTATCTGCTAGCGCTGCCACGAATGGGTCATTGGCCAAAGCGTTGGTCAAGTCTGATGTAGGAGCTGTCGATGATAGCTTGCTTTCCGTCATCGAGTCCGTCAACGAGATAGGATCAAGCGGAAGCTCGATTGTGGTGGCACGTGCTTGGGGAAAGAGTTTGGCATTGATGCGCCCACTGCGTCTGACTGCGCCGGGCTGAGTCTTGGCTCTCGTTGCTGTCTTGAGCTCCGAACGAAGGCGCATGTTCTCATCCTCTTGCTCATGCATCTGCCCGCGAAGGTCGTTGACTTCTCCATCACGTGCGATCTGTTCGGTGTCTTGAGTTCTTCACCACCGAAACTGAAGATAACCAAGACTCGCCAGCTTCTCCTGGAGGCTACGGGCAATGCCGGCCTGTTCAACAGCTTGGCTCTGGCTCTGGGCCAATTGCGCGAGCTACACAGATGCGTTAGCAAATGCTCTTCGTGGTGTTTCAATATACGCACGAGTGTCCCGAGCTGCTCTTGGGTTTTTGCTCTCATCTCATGCGCCGTATCCCTCCGATTCAAATGTTCTTGCTGCTCTTTGACCTGGGCTTGCAACAGTTCGACCTGGGCTTGGTGAGTAGCGAGGGCGCCTTTTGCGGTCTGCAATTGTTTGCCTAGTTTCTCCGTCTCTTCACGGCGCCTATTGTGGGCATCCTGCGCGATCTGTTTGTAGTAATTCTGGTCGTGAAGCGCCTATGGAACAGTCAGCAACGGAACATCTGTCATAAGCTCGTTCACATCGTCAAGAGCTTGACGCTCAGGCCCAGGGGCGGCCGCCTTTTTGTTTGGTGCGACAGACAACACTGTGTAGCGCTTAGAAAGCATAATGCATCAGTCTCAATGAGCGGCGCGCACGAATTCCATGTACACACCGTCGCCTTTTCGTACGGCTTTTCGTATGGTTGGTCTGACATGGTAACGTCCGGCTGGCTCATGTTGTGTGAAATAGTTGGCGTCGTTGAAGGGAAGGATGGGACGACGGGACGACAAGGCTGCGGTCAATACGTCTTATATTGCTCGACGCCCTTGTTGTTCTTTACGATAGGCAAGTAATACAATAGTAGCGTAGTGTAGCAACAATTACAATAAGATGTATTGCCAAATATAGCCATTTTTGTCCTGGATTTGGAAACAATGAACAGTGTGAACGGTACCTATGATATGGCGCGAGAACGTACTTGAGTCATCTTTGAGACAAAAGCAGGTGCGGCTCCATCCAGCCGTAAGCAGCTTTTCAAAATAAAAAGCTTGGCCAGATAAAATTCAGTAGGTCACACTGAGATTCGAACGAAGGACCTGCCAATCACATGATCGGCAAGCGTCAAGCGTCAAGCTATTTAACCAGTGAACCAAATCACCATAGGTATACGAATGTTGTAATGGAATATATCACCTCACCATGCGCCGCGATGGCATCAGACATCAGACACTCGCCCAACTTGGCAATCATCTCTTTCCTTACTCCCTCATCGCTCTCAGACGTTTGCCGTCGAGACGACCCTCACCCCTAGGACTTCGTTGTAATCTCAGACGTTTGCCGTCGAGATCACATTCTTGTCGTGTTTCCGTCATCTCAGACGTCTGCGTCAGGATGAGCGTGTCCTTGCTCTGCCCTTCCCTTCATCGATATCTCGCACGTTTGCCGTCGAGATGACCTTCTTGTCGTGTCTCCAGCTGTCCTTCCACGGATGCCTTGACCTCCTCCCAGACGTATGCCGTCGGAATGAGCCTCAAGTTCTTGTCCTTCGGACTGATCAAAGATATCTCATTTCTTTCTACGTGTCTACATGTGACGTCTACATGCGAGATCCTAGAGCAAATCCGAACGACCACTCTCCAAAGATCTTCTCGTAGCCATACGCCACAGCAGCAAGAATAACGACGACGTAGACGACAGATCTCAATACCATGACTACCTTCACTAGAACCTTGGGAACGGCGGGCCTCTTTTGAATGACGAGGATGTTGTTCCTCCCGCTAATCTCGCTCGACTTCGCCGCGAAAATAGTCGGAACGCCTGCGACTTCTGCTGTCTGTTTTCCGTTAGCATCCTGCTAATGTGGAGCAAAATGGAGCTTACCGTAATAGTTTGAACCCACTCGTCTGAACCAGTATCAACCGTCGTCAGGAACTGGTCTCGTCGAGTGTAGATGAAGAGTTTGCCGTGGTCGCTACCGCTGACAACAACCTGGTTTCCCTCGAGAAATCCCATCTGCTGGATACGACGAGACTTTTGGCTGGGCACATGAAGCTTGACCTGCATGTCCCAACCAGCACCGGGGACAAGACTGTACACATTGACCCCCGAATAGGGATCGCTGACGGCGAAAATGTTGTCAGCAACATCGAGGGCAACATCAGTGCTTCCACGTCGTCAATAACAGCCAGAAACTTGCTGGAAATCCCACGCACATGCGGCACCCCAGAGACCAGGCTCTGTCGCTGGTACAGATTTTTGTTCCATGGACTTTGTATCTGGCATTTGGTGAGTCATCTCGTGCTATAGTGCTATATCTCGTGGACAATATCACTTACACTAGACCACAGTACAGCCCAAAGACCAGGAGCTCGCGCTCATCGCCGTGCATCGAGCCGAACTCGACAGCACGGGGCACACAATGCGCAACTTGCAAATCAACGGGATTGGTTTCGGCCATTACCCTATTCAAAGTGGACAGCTGCACTCTGCCCCCGCGATGGCACATTGCGAGGCGGTTGGTTGGGGGATCAAAAGCCAAGCCGGTGACCTCTGCTGGCACAGAAGGCATCTGGCGGTTCCACAGCTCCTTGAACTGAAACGGCTTTCCATCCTCCCGGCGCACATCATTTCGGTTCGACGGCGGGCACAATACAGCTGTACATACCTCGGTCTCAAGAAGGCAACAGACGATGTAGCCCAGTTGTGTTCCGTAGATCAGGGCCTCGTTAACGTTGTCGTCACGTTTGATCCAAAGGAAGGTGGTTGTTATGCCGCGAATGTCGGCATCCGGGGACACCACCGGGATCTGGAGTTTTGTTTGTAGGTCCCAGACTGTGGGTGCACCAGCAACAGCAGCTATGACAAAGTGCTCAGTATTGCTCGATGAACATCTTGTCGCATCTACCTGAGCTGGCCAGATATCTACCGTCCTTGCGAACGTTGAGGGCAACAATCGGGCCGGTATGACCAGGGAGTTCATCCTGGATGCAGTAGTTAGGTATCTGTGCAGGCAGATCCTTCATTTTCGATGCGCGGTACGCTTTCACGCTCCAGGCTTTTAACCTTGCGAATACAATTACTTTTGTTCTTCATTCCCCACGGAGTCGCGTTGTTTTCTTTTCGGCACAATAACATCGTAGAGTTACGTAGGGTTAAAGCCTATTTTACCCATATGGAACAATTAGACCATGGGGGCGACTCTTTTTCTTTTGACACGACAGGCCTTTATTGTTTGTCAGCAGGGATACAAATTTGTCAAGTTGCTACTAAAACCGCGACTTGGTCTGGCGATGATTCTCACAATGCCTTTCCGCGCCCCGCCTCAGCCCCCACCTGCCCCAGTCATCCTCCTCCTCGCTCACACCGACCTTCCATCGCCCAAGATTCCGTGTCTTGTGATTCACGAGGATCTCCAAAACGGCCCTCCTCTCGCGTTCACCGAGGAGTCGATCGCAAAGAATAAGAAGACTGTCACGTTCCAGGCCCCGTCGGTACTCCATGACAAGATATCAGACACCGACATTCACGAGGAAAACACCGCCCAGCCTGCAGACTCTGCCCAGCCGCTCGATTCTGCCCTGCCTCCGATGCAACGTGGCAAGCGCGGGGTTTCTCGCATCAAGAACGCCGAGTTCCAAGAGAAGACCCGGTGGAGCTCTCAGTTCATCAAGGAATACCAAGTACGTACCACTGGCCTTACCTTGACATTGATGCTGATCATCTGCCATCAGACTGTATCTGAACAGCTTCATGGCGAGTGGCTTGCCCCTGGAGTTTCTTGGGAACGCCAAGACCTAGAGCGCCAGCGACAGATCCTTGCCCATGTCAGTGTCTTCACTCAGATTCACGGCCCCAATTCTGACTGGCATCTGCAGATGAGAGCACGCTTTCCCATGGTCGACATGTTCGCACACTCTTGGCCTCTTTACAGAGAAATGATACGGGTCTGTAAGATTTCCGTGGCTCAAGAATTGCGAGTCACGGAAAAAGCGGCTTTGAAAGCTGTTGATCGAGTTTTGCGCTCGGTATACATCTTATATTCATTGTGAGCTATGGAACTAATACTTTGTACAGACCGCCAAAAGATAGTAGTACCAGTAGTAAATCTGTCGTAGTTTCTGAATTACAGTGGTTCCCGAAAACCTTGAGACTCACAAAAAAAATATTTTGTACGCGTAGACACGATCAATCTTTGATGCCCCCCCTGTCTGCAATAAGCGGCCGAAGCGAGTAAAGATAGTTCTGCCACTTGCTAGACTCGTCGACAGTCACCATCCTTCACCATCATTGAAGACAGGGATGTCGTCTGTGCCATTTCATCTCTTGCAATCCAATCCACGATCTCGTCAAGATACATTTCTGGGAAGTCTTGAAGCAGGGAGCTGATATGGTGGAAAGGCATTGAGCCAAGCCGAGCCTAGCTCGCTTTGGCCGCTTATTGCAGACCGGGAGGGAGCCTGGAGGGCATCAAAGATCGATCGTGTCTACGCGTACAAAATATTTTTTTTGTGAGTCTCAAGGTTTTTGGGAACCGCTGTAATGAGTCAGTGCTGCTGATTTTCTTGGCTTTGAAAGCTGTCCATCAGGTTTTGCGTTCGGTATGCATCCTATATTCACTATGGAACTAATAGTTTGTACAGACCGCCAAAGGTAGTACTAGTACATCTAGATCTATCTTACTGTGTAGTTCCTAAATAGATGAGTCGGTGTTTCTGATGTTGTCGGCCAAGTATCATACAATCGGCCAGACCGCTGATCACCCGTGTGGCTGCCGAACACTTGACTGTAAGTGCCGATGCTACGGGACACTGAGCCGCAATGCCGATCAGTTGACGATTGCTGTGCTGCCGATCAGATGACTCCGAGCCGATCAGCTGACAATGGTGCCAATCGGCTGATCATGGCGGTGAAACAAGGGAAGAATAAGACATTGTACATGTCGGACAGGCACATGTGAGGTGCTTTCGTGGCCAGGAAGGCGCCAGGGCGGAAAAGATCGTCCCGGGGTACACCTTGAAGACAGAGTTTTTCCCTAGACTGGGAATCAATGAGCCAAAGACAAAGGCCAGCAAGTGGAAGTAACGCACCGAATAATGATTCACTGCGGGCATCGCCGCTGGATTAGATCTGGGAGCTGGCCATCCGGCGCCATTGTCCAAACGGAGACTGCGTTACATGTTAGTGTTGGTGTGAGCTCGGTGGTGAGCGTAAGCACGAAGATTGCGGCGTTGCAAATGGTCTTGTTCGTGGGTGATGGTCCGTGGGTACGCGTCAGGAAGGCAAGCCTCATTCTCGTCTTAGACCGATTGATCGTGAGAAGGGCGAGATCCCTCTCGTCGTAATGGTGCATGCACAACGCGGATATCATGGCCATGCTGTAGATGCGCAAACAAGAGAGTGAGGCAACGCGTGGAACCACCCTCCACATGACCTTTGCTAGTGCTTTTGAAGCACACCTTCTCGCTAAGGAGATTGCGGAGGCAAACGTGAGTGTTGTTGTATCTCCCGGGCAACCATTTCCGGGCACATTTCAGATGCGGAGGAGGTCGGCGATTCGCGTTGTTGACTACAGACGAAGACGATTCAGAGGCGTGTGAACCAACGCCTGGGCGTTTGAAGGCACGAGGACAAAGTGAAGACACGAGGACAAGGTGAAGACACGAGGACAAAGACCAGTCCGCCTTGAAACCATGAGCGCAGGGGACTTTTCGATGAGTCCAGTGAGCGAGGCTCTCCCGGGGTACATATAAGTGCCACTGCTTCCTGGTTCACGACGGCAGACGTCTGTGAGCTCGTGAAGCCACTGGTAGGCTCGCGACGGCAAACGTCTGCGAGCGTTAGAAGAAAGATGAAAGCTGTGCTGATGACATCAGTGTGTAAACAACCAAACAAATCACTTCTTCCTTCCTCCCACACCGCTGTGTTGTCAGACGTCTGCCATCGACAACACTTGTGCATGCGCCATCTGGGCATCGCACAGGGCCATTGTCCTGCCGGACGTTTGCCGTTGGCAGGATATGGCTGACCCGGTGGCGTCGTCATCGTGCAACCTTTCCACTTTGCTCTTATTGTGTGCTATACGGGGCATCCGCCTAGCACGCTTTTTTTGTTCAACGGCATCGAGTCTCTTATTGTCCAGTGGTCTCTTAAAGGCACATAGGGAGCGGCCAGTATCGAACAGAAAGCCGTGCTGGATATGTACTGCCGTCATCACTCCTGTGCATCTCTGGGGGCTTCCTCAGGCTACCGATCCGCAAAATCTTCTCGAAATGCTCCCGCTTTCACATCTCGTAAGTCTCTTGCTTTTTTGTTTCATTTCTCTTGTTCTAATCGCTACCGTAGATCCCGATTTTTGTCGTACATGCGGTGCTTGTCCTACTTGTGGTGCACCCCCCCGGGATGCAGTCCTAGTCACACCCGAGTGGCTCCCGGCGGCTGTCGCCGCTACCCAGGCTGCTGAACCCCGTACGTTGGGCACTCTCTGTGCACAAGTGTCTTTTAACGACCTTTCCTCCCCAGGCCATATTCTACCTCGCCTTCCTCCCCAAATGCTGATTACACTCTTCCTCTTCGAGGCTCAGCTCACCGGCAACTGGAAGCAACTGCTTCTTCCGTATTTAGCCATTCTGCTTCTTTTTTGCCTGTAGAACGGAAAAATGCATCCCCGTACGAGCACAAAGTTATTGCCACATTAGGAACAATAAGAACTACGCCCTTTTCATGGAAGCATTCACACCGCATCAGCACGGACTCTTTTCCCCCCCTCCCCCCCACCCCTTGTCTTCCTGCGATATTCGTCAGACGTTTGCCGTCGACGAATGCCGCTCCCTGCTGTCTATCTCTGTCAGAACTGTCCTCTGGTTGGAGGTGGTACCCACCGTGTAGCCAGAAACAAACGAGTGCATCATCTAGCGGATATTGGATCTTTTCTGGAGGAGACAAATCCCGAGCCCTTTGTACCTCGCGCTGTGGAATCTGAAAGAGAGATTTCTGTCCAATCCGAGCATGAAGTTCTCGTTGAGATGGCTAGTGCATTGCACATGAACGCAGCCGCTGTCGACGATGCAGATGCGGAGATCGAGAGACTAGCCAGTCTTTTCACCGGTCTGGTTGTGCTGGACGACGGAATCAGTTCGCAACGGGATGCACACTCGAAGCTTTTCAGCTCGCGAAACGATTTCCAAGCCACTGTGCCTGAAGTTCCTACAACTTTTACGCCCGTTCCAACTGCCGAAGCAGTCTTGGGCATCAAGGCTGTTATTGAGACCCTTCGTCCCGCAGAAGCGCAGTCCAACAAGATCAACGCAAAACTTCTGCAGGAGACGCTAGAGCGTATCCGCACTACCCGGGCCACACTCAATTTCCAATCTGCTGTCAATGCAGGCCTGGAGAGTTTACCAGCATTGACTGATCTTGTTGACTCTGCGTGTACTGTCGTTCTTGAGGCTGGGCGTCTTCTCTCCAGCCTGAAGCTCAGCGCATCCCATGGCACGACGCCCAGGGCCAGGTCTCGAGCACGTGATGTTGGTAACGAGGCGTTAGCAGCTCTAGTGAAGGAAGAAGCGGCAGCTCTGGACAGGCTCATTGACGCTTTTAGTGGTGCCCTGCCAACACCGGCCGATGAAGTGGTACACGATACTGGTATGACTTTCCATCTCTTTTGCTGTGTCTTTTGCTAACCCAGTTCCGCAGAGCATCATTTCGAAAATCCGATCGCCAAATCTGATATAGTAGCGCAACTCTCTATACTTCTAGCTCTCATCTGCCATGTGATCGTCGGCATCAGCACTGAGCCGCTGAATTTCATCATCGCTTTTATCAATACAATCATCGTAGCTACCATGTCGATCACGTCGCGCACAGGGCAGCCCAGTGCCGCACAAGAACATGTAATCAAGCAGCTGCCAACATCACTAGAAGCTGCACTTCGCAGGTTCCAGATTGACCCTTCGACCACCATCTACGCGGTCTGCCCAGATTGCCACCACGCTCATGCGCCAAAACATGATCGTCTTACAGAAGAACCCTCATATCCAGAGACGTGCCAGGGATATGTGTATCCGCAGAAAGGTCAACGACAAGGTTGTGGGTCGACTATTCTGATTTTACGATCCGGGAAGATGCGCCCAATCAAACCCTTCGTATTCACATCGTTTGTCGACTTCATTGCGGGCACAATGTCCGATCCTGAACTGGAGAGGATGTGCCAACAAACGTGTGACATCGCGTTCGCTGCAGTGCAGAAGGCCCTCACGGAAGATCCTATAAAACCTGTCTCAGAAGAGTATGTGAACAATGTATTCGAAGCCGAGTTCCTGCGTACATTCAAGGGGCCTGTTCCTGATGAGCTGTTCATCCAGTGCAACGGTCGCTTGAGGCTCGCATTCCAGGTTATGCTGGACTTCTTCAATCCAAACGGCACCCGAAAGCGCGGCAATCACAACTCCATCAGGATTCTGGCTGTTGTTAATCTGAACCTTACTGAAGACATCGGCTATCGCCCGGAAAACATGTGGCTGAGTATCATTCTTGGGCCCAGCGAGCCTAACCACGACCAAATTGACAACTATTTTCGCCCTCTCATTGACCAGTTTGTCATTGGATGGGAGCGGGGGTTCCGCTTGAGCTGTACTGCCCTCCATCCTGGTGGGCGTTGCATTGATCTCGCGCTTGTCATCAACGTAAATGATCTCCCAGCCACACGAAAAGCGCAGGGCATGGCCGCTCACAACTCTCACCATTACTGCTCGGTTTGTGAGTGTGTAGGGGTCAGCACAATGCATAACACAGACTTTGAGACATGGAAACGGCGAGACGTTGCCACCCTCCGTACGCAGGCATACAAGTGGCGAGAGGCAAGAACCCAGGCTGCTCGCGACAAGATTTTCGAGACGTATGGGGTCCGCTGGTCCGAATTCTGGCGTTTACCGTACTGGGATCCAACACGAATGGCTGTCGTGGACTCGATGCATTGCATACTGGAGGGATTAGTGCACTATCACTGTCGCAAGGTCTTACGCATTGACACCAAACTAGCTGAGCGCAAAGAAACAATGGGTGCTGCCTTCGACTATGCGTGGCCCAAATACAACGAGGCATTAGCACCGGCTGCCTGCGTATTGAAGAATGAGAAACGTGAATTGCCTATGATTCGTGCTATCCAAAGAAAGCTATCCCAGCCCATTCTTTCGGACGAAGATGAGGATCCGGAAGACGAAGACGTTGAGATGGCGGGTGTTGATGACCCCCTGGAGATGCTTGATGTTGCTGATCCCCGATATATTCCGGCGCTCACTCATAAGGAAATGACCGAACACCTGATGAGATTCAATCTGCAACCGCTTCGTTGGGTTGTTTGGGCGCTTGGTCTTGATATGACTGTGAGTAGTACTGCAACGAAGATTGCGTGCTGCAATCAGCTTCTTGTCTGGGTGAGCACTTTTGATTTGTATCTTGTCCATCTTTGACTGACACCATTACAGTGCCTCGCCCAGCGATTGACAAGTGAAACATTTGTCCCCCGGCCAATCAATCTCAACAACATCTACTTCATACAGCGGGTCATTGCACTGACAACAGTGCCGTCTTTTGTCGGCTCTGTCCCCCACAATTACGGTGACGCCAATGCCGGGACCATCAAAGCTGCTGAGTGGCGTGTTCTATCCACCATCTACCTTCCCATTGCTCTTGTGCTGCTTTGGGGTGATTACGAACCATCACAGCAGCCTACGAGGCATCGAGAGATGCTCGATCACACCATGTCCCTGTTTTGCTCAGTCATTCTGGTGTGTCGCTATACCATGTCTGCCGCCCGTGCATCACAATATCGTGCATTTCTCAAGAACTGGGCTGATGGTCTTTATCATAACCACCCGCATACTCAATCTCACGCTTTGCGCCCCAACATGCACATGGCGTTTCACATCTATGACTTCCTTCTCCTCTTCGGTCCTGTGACCTCTTGGTGGACTTTCCCATTTGAGCGTGTCATCGGTTACCTCCAGAAGATCAACACTAACAATCACATTGGGGGTGACCTTGAAGCCACATTGTCCAGGTCCTTCATGCGGGGAGGCAACATTTGACGGTGGCTGCAACGGCCCGATTGTCCTGCTGTCTTGTTGGAACTCAGAGCACTTTTCGAAAAGACCTTCCCAGCCTACAATGTGCCATCAGATTCTCCTCCCCCGAACGGTGAATGTGCAAGCTACAAGCGCCATGGCATCAATTTCTGTCGTGCTCAGCTCAGTCTAGCGAACAGTCTGGTGCTTTATTATCCTCGTAACTCTCAGGAGATGATTGCAGGAAGCATTGAGAAGATTGAGATGTCTGGAGATGATATTCAATTCACGATCCGCCGTCAAACACCCCTGTCTCCCGGGATGCATGACCCCTTTGCAGCCTATCGACCATACTTCCCAGCAAGTATGTACTCTGACAAGATGAGCAATGTTCGAGATAGTGTCCCATTAGATGATGTAGTATGTCACTATGCTAGATTCAACCACACTCGTGGCCGTTGTGTTGTTCTTAGTCTAGCTACTAGTTAAACAGTCCTCTGCATTGCCTTTGTGCTTTGGTTTTGGTCTTGCCGATGTGTGGCAGATGAGCTTCGGATGATCGGCCGACCATCGGCGATAGATATAAATGGCCTCGATATCGATGATATCAAGTCATCCTTTTTGGGAGCCTTTATATCAGGAAAATCTTTGCAGCTTATTTTGCTCTTTATTCGTGGGAAATTAAATGCGATAACAATCTTACTGATTTTACATGTATTAAGCACCATATCTAACCTGTTTACAGATCTCAAAAAAAGGTACATGATCTTGAGATTTTATATCTGTCTGATAAATTTACTTTTCACAAACATCGATTTCAGTTATTAAGAGGTCAATATAAAGGATGTTTATTTTGTCAGAATAAAGTCACATATTCACTGCGATTATTTTGAGCTTTATATTTGCAAAATGAAGTTAAGATAAATCAGCTTTTTAAGTAGGATCCCAGGCTGTGTGTGTATGTAGGCGACAGCTCCCGGAGCGTTACCTCCGCCCGTTAGCGACCGAGCTCAAGTCACGCGTTACATCTTCGAAATTAGGCAACAGGCCGGCATCTCGTCGGCACAGGCTCGGATTGACAGTAGGAAGCCAGTAGGGACCGAATAAGCATGCAAACAAGCTCGTTTTTCACACTATTTTCCGACAATCTACTGTTCTACCCCAATGCCCGGACTTAAGCGGCGCCCCGTTGAACCAGCGGTGCCGAAAGGTGTACCGGAGGGCCTGAATAACAAAATGAAGGCCCTTTTCAAATATATCGATCACTTGCCGCAGTCTCTTCCGCTCGATCCTGATGAATCGACATATCAATTCCATCTCGACCAGGAGGATCTGGGCGAGGAGGGTCCGGGATATGCTTTGAATCGTCGCCTGGAATTTGCATTTCAGACACACACGCTTGGGGACCGGCCTTTGCGATTCCGGGAGTAGTGGTCTCACGGTTCGGTTCGGTTCGGGTTCGGACAATTTTTTGCTGAACCTGAACCTGAACCACGGTTCGGTTCAGCCAATTTTCCGAACCCCGAACCTGAACCGCGGTTCAGGTTCGGACGGTTCGGTTCAGCGGTTCGAACCGGTTCGAACCGCTGAACCAACTTTTCATGAGAATATGGCATTTTTCAGTCCAGTAGGACTTAAATGCAAGAAAATCATGTGTAATAAGTCTACAGATGTAAAAAGGCAGATCTTGACAGGTTTTGAAATTGTTTTGGACAATTTGTCAGGGCATAGTTGTCCAAAAACTTTGACATTGAGATGATTACATCAGCAACACTTGGCCTTACATTTGACAGAATCCTTGATCCATCCCTAAATTTATTGAGACACACCTCAAACAAGTTCAGTTGTATAGAATTTGAACTTTTGAAGGATGGAGATAGGTTCTACAAGCCTGTTCAGCTACAAAAATGCCTTAAATAACTTTGATGGTCCGAACTGGTTCGAACCGGTTCGAACCAAGTTCGGCTTTTTTGGTCTCCCCCGAACTCCGAACCGAACCACGGTTCAGGTTCGGGCATTTGGCCGAACCCGAACCCCGAACCGGAGTTCAGTTCGGTTCAGTTCGGGTTCGAACCGATTTCCGAACCGAACCCTGAGAGCACTATCCGGGAGCGAGGGACAAGACTGTCAGCTCTTTGTCAGTTCCTCAAGCAACATGTGAAAGATTACAACTCGCCGGACGCCAGAGGACATCAAGAGCGATGGATTATCAAATTGACCGTAGCAGCGAAGGCGACAGGAGCAAAGATCCCGGTAAAGAGGCGCATGCACTTGGAGTTTGAAAAGCTCATCCCAGCGACAAGGATTCTGAAGACCATGCACCAGAGATAGAGGACACCACACAAACTCCAGCCAAATGCATTCGCGCCTCGCCTTCCCATGTCATTGACTTGAGCAAGGACTCGGATGACGATTCCGGCACTATAGCATCCACTGTGCCTCGGGTATCCGTTGCAAAGCCAAAACCTGCCCCAGCCAAGCTTCGACAAAAAACTCTCTTCGAAATGGGCGCACAAAAACTGGATCAGAAAGAAGCGAAGAACCACTGGGACCGGGAGCGGGGGGGAGCAAAGGAGAGGATGGCCCGTGCGGCGCAGGACAAGAAGGAATTGGTGGAGAGGAAGCGGAAGAAGATTCAGGAGCAGACTCGAGAGAGGGTCCAAAAGCATCGCGCACATAAGAAGTCAGGCTCCAAGAGCACGGCAAAGAGGGTGAAGGTTGCAACACTGTATGCAGTGAGCAGTGGGACGTCGATATCAGATACGGCGGAGCTTTTGCGACCTGGGATGACGAAGTGGATGAAGAGGAACGGGACAAAGAATGGGGTGATACGCACCAAGCACCGTCGTGTGAATTGGTACCATCCGTTGCTGTGGTGTGGGATTGACGAGATGGCCCCACGTGTTGGATGGTCTCCCACCATGCTTGTCAACGTCCTTCAGAGGCAGAATCCAGCACTGTACAAACACTTGCATAAAGGCACTGTGCAGAAGTGGATGAAGCGCAAGTCACCAAATGGAGGATGGAGCCAGAAAACGCTGGATAACGTGGCACGACGGCATGTTCTTGGTGGCACGGGGCGCGTTGGAATACTGAGCCTGTTCCCGGAGGTGGTCGCTGAGATCAAGAAGGCCCTGGAAGACCTTCGAGGCTCTGGCATTGCCGTTGGTCGGATGCTCACGCGGTCAATCATCTTGGCGATCATCAAAACAAGACAGTCACATTTACTCGAGAACTTCAAATGCAGCGAAAGCTATGTGAGCGGTTTCCTGCAGAGCGTGATGAATTGGAGTTTGCGCACTGGCACCCATGCCGCTGCGCACTTGCCTGAGAACTGGGAGCTCGCTGGCGTCAAAACATTCTTTCGCATCGTCCATCTCATCAATTACTACGACATTCCTCCGTCCCTGATAATCAACATGGACCAAACGGGGGTTATGCTCATGATTGCAAACAGCAAGTCTTACGATGAACGTGGCACGAAGCAGGTGGATATTCAGGGAAGGGATGAGAAGCGGGCTTACACCTTAGTGGTTGCGAGCACACCAAATGGAGATCTTCTCCCATTCCAACAAGTCTGGTCCGGCGCCTCGCCCAAGTCTCTCCCAGCTGCGGACGCACCCGGAATGGCAGAGGCTCACCTTGGTCAGGCCGCCTACCCTACCCAAATGGTAGAAACTTTTAGTGAATAGTTTCTACCTAAATGGTAGTTGGGGACCGGGGCCATATAGCGTTGGGTGGCCCCACAGGGTGTCTTGGGCGTACCCAACTGCTCCTGTGGGTGTTCCCAATTTAGCTGTTGGGGACACCCATCTGGCGCGAAGCGACAGAAAAAAATAGTGTTTTGGGCCTTGTTTTAGGCTTCCAAGAGCACCATTTGGCACACTGGTATGTCTACTAGACTCTAGTACAAACTGGTTGTATTGCTTCTGCCCTCAACTTTGATCTACATCATTTCTCAATTGATCTCATCATGTAGATCATTTTGAATGCTGTGTTCTGATCAGTGATCCAATCACCTATGTGTGTTGGTGAAAGTTGTTCAGTTTTGCAAGGGCTACAACTTTGATTTCCCATCACTTTCTTTGTCAGCATCAGTCACATGCTCTATTGCCATGTAGAATGGCACAACTTTTGATTGCATATCAATTTTTGATGATACTGATGATGTGAATTGCAATCTCATCTTATCTGTCAGACCCAGATTGACATTATCTGCTTACTCAATAGTGGACCCTGATAATCAAATCCAAGAAAAATCTAATCTTGATGTGGCTATGTGTGATTGGATCATTAATGTGGCACAGCTTCTATTTCGGGCTGGATAATCATCTTATATGATCAAAATTGAACATATTGGACATGTGACTTCCTTTTGTGGATATTTTGATGCAACTTATAGCAACCCAAAAAGGAAATTCATCTCAATTTTGGAATAGCTCATGCTCATGGTGTGGGTTCTGCCTGAGGTTTTCAGGGTATATTCTGCCATGTAATCACTGACATTTGTGCTCTTCAAAGTCACTGCATTGTTGTACAATATCTCCATATCCCAATTCTTTCAGTGATACCCTACCTAGCTTTCCATGACAACACATGCTTCTCTAGGCACATCCCTATCTCTCTCTAACATTCTATGCCTCTTAAGTAATGTACTTCTATCTTGGATCTCACAGTAGAGCCAGCCATTGTATATATATATATGCATAGTAACCATTTCCAACCCATCTTGCTTTGATACATAACCAGTGATTTCTACACCCCCAATTTACATCAGCCATGCTTTCATTATTACAAAGAAGAGTCAGTGAGATGGATATGGACATAGAAACAAGAATACAGTGGAAGTGTGACAATCAACCCAAAAATGAAGTCGAAAAGAGAAGTGAATTCGAAGACTGGAGAATACAACCAGGTAGCTACAGTATTTATACCCAAATCCAGTCTGAGTCATATCTACAACTAATGAGTCATAAGACTATGTACCGCATGGAACGCTGGTCATGGGTTGTACTAGAACCTTCCGGAGCATATGTCGCGCAGCCTCGAATCGATAGGGATAACCCCTGGAACCCCTAGCCCGGACCGTCTGATGCCGTGATCCGTGATAAGATAAGTCGTGCCAAGATAAGATAAGATCGTCGATGATAAGATGAAAAAGTGGTCGAACTATGACATTACCCCCTCTCTAGGGTCGATGTCCTCATCGACTAGGCCAATGGGCGTGAAGACGTTCTCGTAGGGGTCGAAGAGTTGTCGTTCGGGATATGGGAGGCGCTTGTCCCTGGGCTTGTAACGATGAATGAGATAGTCCCAGTGTCCAGCTTTGAGCGTTGGCAGGAGGCGAATGCGTGTGTCTGGATTTGATTGTTTCCTCTGCCAGTCTCTCAGGACGTCCTTCGCGTGGGTAAGGTGACGTGATGGTTCCCAGGTGTTCTCGCTGTGCGGCCATCCCTTCCATTTGACCAAGTACTGTTTTCCTCGGCCGACTTTTCGTTCTTTCACGATTTCTTCGACTTCCCACTCCTCTGCTCCTCCGATCATCTTGGCTACGGGTCTCTTCTCTCGGCGATGGGGGGGTGGTTCATGATAAGGTGTCAATAGTGACTCGTTGAACACCGGGTGTCTTCGGTCCGTGTCCGGCAAATCCAGCTTCCATGCGGCCGCTCCAACCTTCTCCAGTATCTCGTATGGTCCCAATCTCTTGTCGCTCATCTTCTTTGATGGTCTATCCGTCTCGATATTTTCCCCTTCTATGTACACCTTCATCCCAACCTTCAACTCCGGAACTTCTTTTCTTTGTTTATCGTAGTATTTTTTCATTTTTTCTTTTGCTTTTTCCAATGCTGCTTTTGCTTCGTCTTGTATTTCTTTGATTCTCTTTACAAATTCCTCCGCCGACTCGTTCCTTGATTCCATCCTTTGCTCCACTCCCTTCCATGGGTGATATCCGTGATTTGCATAGAACGGCGACATCTTGGTAGACGTGTTCATTTTGTCATTGTATGCGAACTCCGCCATTCCCAGCCACTCCGACCAATCCGTCTGATGGTAGTTGACGTAAATGCGGAGATAGTGTTCGATCTCCTGATTCATGCGTTCGGTTTGTCCATCCGTGATCGGGTGATATGCGGTCCCCGGGTTCATTTCCACACCCAACATCCGATTCGTCTCCTTCATGAAGCCCTTGATGTAACGCGAGTCCCTGTCGGTGATGATCTTGCGAGGGATCCCATGGTAGCGGAAGACTCGGTCCCTGGTTAACCGTGCCACTCCTTCGCTGCTGATGTCAGTACTAATTGGTTTGACATGGATCATTTTGGTGAAGGTGTCACACCACACATGGATTGCGTCATACCCATTACTAACCGGCAGGGGTCCGATTTGATCCATCGAGATGATTTCCCACGGCGCATTTGGAACTGCATGCGGGTGTAGAGTCCCTGTCCTCGCTCTCCTGGTCTTGGTCCGTTGGCACGCCTCGCACGTCTGGATGTATTTCCGAATTTGGTTTCCCATCCTGGGCCACCAGTAGTTTCTTTCCACCATCTCCTGCGTTCGGTTGATCCCAGCGTGTCCGACCAACGGGGTGTCGTGGTGTAATCCGATGATCTTGTCCCGTAACTCTTCGTCTCTTGGTACGTAGAGCTTCCCATGATACGTGATAAGCCCCTCTTCCTTCTTCCATCCGACGAGTGACTTCTCCAAGGCCGCCTTGACGCTTCCATCAATTGATCGAATGGCCTTGATTTCATCGATTAGCTGCTGATCCTGTCCCTCGAATGTGACTTCTTGTGATCGGAAGAACTCGGGCTTCAGTAGCGTGACGTCCTTGTTGTCGTTCTTGCCCTGATCGTGATCTGCTCGTCGAGACAGGAGATCCGCCTTGCGGTTGAGTGCGCCGGGTCGGTGTCGTAAGGTGAAATCGAACTCCGCCAACTCCGTGATCCATCGTGCTTGCCGTCGATTGAGCTTCTGCGGCTTTCGGAAGTACTCGAGATTCTGATGATCAGTGAAGATCTCGAATGTTTCCGTGGCTCCCAGGAGCAGCTGCCTCCATTCATCGAGTGATAACATGATCGCGAGCATTTCCTTGTCGTAGATCTCGTAATTTCGCTCGGTTTCGGTCAATGCATGTGAAATAAATGCGATTGGGCGCCAAATGCCGTCTTGGTTTTGGCTCAAAACTGCTCCTGTTGCCCCTTCCGAAGCATCGGCTTCCAGACGATATTGGCCAGTGTCATTTGGCAGTGCTAGGACCGCATCCTCTGCGATTCTCTTCTTCAACCCATCAAATGCTGCACGCTCATCTGCACCCCATGCCCATCCTGCCTTCCCTGTCAACCGTGTCAATGGTTTGGCAATCTCCGCATATCCCCGAACAAAGCGTCGATAGAAGTTGGTGAACCCTAGGAAGGCTTGTACTTGTTTGACGCTCTTTGGTTCTGGCCATTCCATCACGCCCTTGATTTTGACTGGGTCCATCCGCATCGAATTGTGTCCAATAATCACCCCCAAATATTCGATTTCCGTGCGTTCGAACTCGCACTTTTCGGGTTTCAGGTACAGCTTGTGTTTTTGGAGCAGTTCGAGTACTCGTTTCGTGATCCGCCGATGTTCGTCCAAGTTCTCTGTGAAGATCAGTATATCATCAAGATAGACTACCACGTGGCCCTCGTTGATCAGTTCTCGGAGTATGTCATTCATCATGTTTTGGAAGGTCGCCGGGGAGTTTGTGAGGCCGAAGAACATGACCAAGGGCTCGTACAGTCCGCGGTTCGTGCGGAACGCAGCCTTCCACTCGTCGCCCTCTTTGATCTGTACGTTATTGTATCCCCACCGGATGTCGAGCTTGGTGAAGAACTTTGCACCGCATAGATTATGGACCAGTTCAGAGATCAGCGGCAGCGGGTACCGATTTCGGATTGTCATTTCGTTCAGCTTCCGATAATCTTGGACGGGGCGTAGCGAGCCATCCTTCTTTTTGACAAAGAAGAACGCTGATGCCATGGGTGATTTGGAAGGCCTGATCCGTCCGCTGGCCAGGTTCTCTTGTAAGAACTCGTCGAGTTTGACCTGTTCGTTTCGTGATAACGGGTACACCTTGCAGTCCACTGCTTTGGAACCAGGTTTGAGCTCGATTGCATGGTCCCATGCCCGTCGGTCTGGCAGCGAGTCGAACGATTCCTTGGCGAATACTTTGACAAATTCCCGATATTGATCCGGAATCTTTCCCTCGGTCATTCTCTCCTTCTCTTTTTCCGCTTCTTCTGCGAATTTCTGCGCCGGCGTTTCCTTCAGCCGCAGATCCACTTCCTTCCCAAAATCGACCAACAGGATCGATTCTCCCTCTTCCAGATCTGGTGTGCCCGTGTCCAGGTCGATTGCATCCATGTCGATCATTGCTTGATGCTCCTCGTGACCCCTCATGTGACACGACTCTGGGCATCGACTGAACCTCATCGTCTGCTCCTGCCAATCCACCTCGGGGTTGTGTTCCGTCAGCCAATCAAGACCGATGAAGATCCGAGCTTTTCCTAAACACGTGAGAAGGAACGTGCGTGTCTCCACGTGAGGACCGATTCTCATCCTTAGGTCGACGTAATGCGTGATCCGACCGCTGATGTTCTCGGTGTTGTCGGCGTTACGAGCCACAATGGGTTGGGGAAGTTCTTGGATATCCAGCTTCTCT